CAAGAATTATAAAAATTTGTAAATATTTAATACCTTATTTGCAATTTTGACATGTTTTTACTCACAATCAATCTATCACCTCAAATTTTACCAATAAAAAAAACACAAGATGTGACAACTCCCTTTAAATCTTGAAAAACAAACAAACAAACAATAATTATGAGGTATATCCTCTTGATATTATCAACTCTCATTCTAAGAAACAAGCAGCATTTTACACAAAACTTCTCCCACTTACCAACACAAAAAAACAAACAAACACATAAATTGATAATGGGTACACACACACACACACACACACACACACACACACACACACACACACACACACACACACACACACACACACACACACACATACACACAGGCCTCACACACATGAACACACAAAGCTATCACCTCCCACCCACCAGCCTGGAAAATATTAACCTTTTCGTCTCATGTCACCTTTCCGTCTAACTCTGTGCATCACGCTTGCGTGCCCACAGACACATGCAACACTGCACAAATGCACTGGTGTGGCTACACACAGATTCATACATGCAGAAAGTCAAGCGGCTACAGATATCTCCGAGGAACTTCTGAGAATTCAGGGAGTGGGGAGTCATTTGGTAGAGAGGACTAAACTGCAGGAAATGAGAATCATTGACCCTCCCCTGTGACTGAATTTACAATCTGTGCCTGAAATCAGTTGGAGGAAGAAAGAAAGTTAGCTGGAGAAGGAAATGTTTGAGCGTCTATAAATAGATGTTTGAAATGATTCTGAAAGGCATGCAGTCATTTATTACCCAGCTCTCCCTGCTGCATGTTTATCGCTTTGAAACATACAAACTTGACAAGAAAAGATTCAAGACTGACTTCGCTGACTCTAGTTTCCATATGATGTGTTTGAGTACACCACTTAGAACTCACATATATAGGGGAAACATAAATGAGGCTTTAAGTGATCAAATACTGTATATGCCAAAAGTTGGTGAAATCATATAAATTGATGGACCTAATTTTAGCACAAAGCAGTCATACTGTTTTAGATCAGCACCTACTGTACAAGCCATCTGCTTTGTGTGCAGCTCAACTGTCCTCAAACAAAGGCTGATCTGAAATATGCCTCTGACAAAAATTCTCTCCATCTTTATTTAAGATTTTTAGCACAACCAGCGATGATGACGGGGTTGTGTTGCGTTTGAGTGCGAGGCATTAACGAAAACAAACAGTAGCTATATTGTGAGCATGAAGAGAAGGAGTCTTTTTGCATTGAAGAGGTGCATGGGGCCTCATTCATAATTCAGAGGCGTCGCAGCGATATGAGAGAGGAGGACGCATCTGTCTGCATTACGCCAGTGTTGCCTCTGCGTTGCATCACCCTCCCGGGTGGTTCGTTTTCTAGAGTTTTATACGCTCCCTATCAGTTGCACGCTGGCTGTGGCTAATTTCAGCCTCAGATAAGAGCCTTTATTTGTCACCCAGCTCCTTTGGCCTGTCACACAGCCTGAAAGTGCCTCCTCTGTCTGAAATCTTTAAAGGAGTGCTGACTGGATGAGCCACTGTTGTCTTTATTTTACTTGTGCCTGCTCAGTGTGCAGCATCACAAGTGAGGATATTATGAACCCTCAATGCTAACTCCAAACCCATCCCCCACACACACATGTAGGCTATAGCTGTCTCCCCACACAAAGAGAGGCGCATGTGCCTTATTACACACACGCGCGCGCTCACACACACACAGCTGGCTGCTGGTCTGTCTGACCTAGTTTATTTCTGTAGGCTGCTCTAATGGAGGGAGCTAGCATGGTGAATTATCTGACTGTATCTGATTTGCATTTCTGCCCTGTCACTGGCAGATGGCACCAAAGGTCGAGAGCAGAACTTTTCTAAGGCAACCACACACACACACACATGCACACACTCACACTCACACGTGCACTCGCGCTGTACGTTTAGTGCATGCACACAGAGGGGTGTAGAGCCTGGTGTGCTGAACGTTTGGTTAACACCCTCTGCTCTTGCAGTGTTCGTGCCTAATAGGAAGGAAGTGATGAATCACGCTCACTTATTTGTGGTAGCGGTGAGTGTTGAAGTACAGATAGGGCTTCTTTTTCTGACCCTCTCTCTTTTTTTCACACTCACACACACTCACACACACGTACACACTCACTCTCTAGAAAAATCACAGAGGAAGTGAAAAGACATGAAACCTCAGCACCTTGTATCTGATGGAAGTCTCTGTCATGGTTGAAAGATACCGGGTTTAATTGTGACATATATGGCATGTTAACATGGCTACAGTTGCATCAGAGCAAATTGGCATTGACACAGAGACGAGAGCAGATGTAGTGCATCCTCTTTCCTCATGTGGTGCTTTTAAATGAACAGGGTGTGTTGCAAGATAAGCACACAGTGTCAAAAAGGTGTGTCCTCTTATCCTGATTCATCTGAAGTTTCGAACATTGTAGGCATGATCTCAGCGTGATATACAAATAAACTGGTAATAGACTTTTAAAAGTAAAATGACTAAAACAAAAAGTTATTTTAAAGAAATGCAGGGGTACTGCATCTAAATATTATCTTATTATATGAGTGATAACTTTAAAGTAGTGTTTAAAGGTACTATGAGGATATTTTAAGAACCTTTGAACTCACACTTCCTGTGATACCTCTTCATGACCTACCTTGAAAAATTGCACTAGTCATTTTTCTATGCTGAGTTTTCTGCAAAGAAGCTGGGTTGGTATTTGGCTGTGACAGGTAACCTTAAACCTCTGGTACGTCTGATCACAATCTGTAAGAGTTTCCGAAAGTTTGTTGTTGTAAGAATTTAAAGTTCTGAGTGGCTACAAATCAATTCATAACGTTTTTACTCCGTGCAAAGAAAATTAGTATCTTTAAAAAAAAACCTCTGTATTCCCTTCATTTGCATCTGAAACAAATGCATGTTTGCCAAAAGCCACAACTTTACAATAATGGGTGAAGATTCTCATGGGAAATTCAGTCTTCAACCTTTAATCACTGCTCTGTGCTTTTATTGCACACACAGATTTGTGAAGTTTGGATACATTTTACCATCTCAAAAGAAGTATGTCAAATTAGATGTACTGTTTTAATAAGTCTATGAGTAATTCAATATTATATCTATTTCAGGCCAGATAACAATAATAATGCATCTGATTTCATATAGTGTTTAATCAGAGACCCTCAAAGCGCTTTACATTGGATACATCACTCATTCACTCATACAGTCACACCATGGTGGTGGTAAACTACCTTAGTAATTACAGCTGTCCTGTGACAGACTGATGGAAACGTGGCTGCCAGTTTGCACCTACCACCACACAAAACTCACAATCAAACACCAGTGGAGGACACACAGTGGGAGCAAGGTGGGTTAAGTGTCTTGCCCAAGGACACAACAGACAGACATGAGCTGCGTCCGAATTGCCGAGTAGTAGTCGAAGTAGTAGTCGAAGTAGTATCTAGCATGTCCGAATTGGCCACTGGAGCGAGTAGCATGCTACTTCAGATACTACTTCAGATACTAGACACGCCCACATTGTAGGTTGGTCGCGGTGCATCCTACGGGCATGCTACTGACCCAAAATGCACCGCGGGCTTCTTCTGCGTCCTCTTAAAAGTTGTAGAAGCGCATGTGATGCTAGCGCCACCAGCATAGATGCGTCGCGAACGCCGGCTGGCCACAGCAGCGCGCACCATGGCGGTTTCATGTAACTTCACACACTGTCCTAAAAAATGTGCAGTTGTATCTCTTTGTCATGTCATGGTGTCATATTTGCCCAAGTAATCATTTTATGAGCAAATATGTGGCGACATCATGGAAGTAAAGCTCACTTATTCCATCATTAAACTGCACAGCTGCAGTACTACAGCCAGGCCAGCAGATGAAGGGCTTCAGTTACCACTGTCTGGACGGGCGCAGTACTCTCTGCCTGCGGGGGCCGTCTTTCCCCACTGCTCATCTAGTGTGTCCGAATTGGGCCAACGTGTTTAGTATGTAGGAGTAGGATCTAGCAGTAGTATGTAGCATTTAGTGTCCGAGTAGGCAATTCTGACACAGCAATGGTAGAGAGGGGACCTAGAACATTGCTCATACCAATGAAATGCAGGTGCTTTGAGCAGGAGTTGAACCAGCGACCTTTGCATATGAGGAAGTTCATACAGTCCTCTGCTCTACCAACTGAGCTATCAAGGTGCTGTGGGAAACACTGCAGAAAACAAAGTGGCTGAGAAAACACACTATGCCCACAGTACTATGAGAGCTACATGGTCAGTGAAAAGCCCAGCCGTACCTTCAGAGCACAGCTTCTCAGTTTGTACCCAACAGTCATTGCCAGGGACCCAGAACTGATAATCAGGACTTTTAGGCTGGCTGAATAAAAAATTGATGGTTGGAAAATAAAGCAAGCGTTATCTTGTTTGTGTTTTTAAATTTTGGAGGAGCTGACAGATGAAGACAAGGGTTGCTTTGACCGCGAGTTGAACCAGCGACATTGGATTGACAGCGCTTCATATGAGCAACTGCCTAAAGACCTGTGCTCTACCAACTGAGCTATCAAGGTGCTGTCTACTCCAAGTGCAGAAAACATAGTGGCTATGATGACATACTTTGCCCACACAACTAATCCACCTATATGGTCAGTGAAAAGCCCAGCCCTACCTTCAGAGCACAGCTTCTCAGTTTGTACCCAATAGTCATTGCCAGGGACCCAGAACTGATAATCAGGACTTTTAGGCTGGGTGAATAAAAAATTGATGGTTGGAAAATAAAGTAGGAGAACTCTTGTTTGTGTTTTTAAATTTTGGAGGAGCTGACAGATGAAAACAAGGCTTGCTTTGAGCGGGAGTTGAACCAGCGACCTTGGTATAACAGCACTTCATATGAGGAACTGCCTACAAACCTGTGCTCTACCAACTGAGCTATCCAGGGGCTGTCTACTCCAAGTGCAGAAAACATAGTGGCTATGATGACACACTTTACCCACACAACTAATCCACCTACATGGTCAGTGAAAAGCCCAGCCCTACCTTCAGAGCACAGCTTCTCAGTTTGTACCCAATAGTCATTGCCAGGGACCCAGAACTGATAATCAGGACTTTTAGGCTGGGTGAATAAAAAATTGATGGTTGGAAAATAAAGTAGGAGTTATCTTGTTTGTGTTTTTAAATTTTGGAGGAGCTGACAGGTGAAGACAAGGCTTACTTTGAGCGGGAGTTGAACCAGCGACCTTGGAATGACAGCACTTCATATGAGGAACTGCCTACAGTCCTCTGCTCTACCAACTGAGCTATCAAGGTGCTGTCTACTACAAGTGCAGAAAACATAGTGGCTATTATGACATACTTTGCCCACACAACTAATCCACCTACATGGTCAGTGAAAAGCCCAGCCCTACCTTCAGAGCACAGCTTCTCAGTTTGTACCCAACAGCCATTGCCAGGGACCCAGAACTGATAATCAGGACTTTTAGGCTGGGTGAATAAAAAATTGATGGTTGGAAAATAAAGAAGGAGTTATCTTGTGTGTTTTTTTTAATTTTGGAGGAGCTGACAGGTGAAGACAAGGCTTGCTTTGAGCGGGAGTTGAACCAGCGACCTTGGAATGAAAGCACTTCATATGACGAACTGCCTACAGTCCTCTGCTCTACCAACTGAGCTATCAAGGTGCTATAAACAACCAGTGCAGAAAACATAGTGGCTATGATGACACACTTTGCCCACACAACTAATCCACCTACATGGTCAGTGAAAAGCCCAGCCCTACCTTCAGAGCACAGCTTCTCAGTTTGTACCCAACAGTCATTGCCAGGGACCCAGAACTGATAATCAGGACTTTTAGGCTGGGTGAAAAAAAAATTGATGGTTGGAAAATAAAGTAGGAGTTATCTTGTTTGTGTTTTTCAATTTTGGAGGAGGAGACAGGTGAAGACAAGGCTTGCTTTGAGCGGGAGTTGAACCAGCTACCTTGGAATGATAGCACTTCATATGAGGAACTGCCTACAGTCCTCTGCTCTACCAACTGAGCTATCAAGGTGCTGTCTAATACAAGTGCAGAAAACATAGTGGCTAGGATGACATACTTTGCCCACACAACTAATCCACCTACATGGTCAGTGAAAAGCCCAGCCCTACCTTCAGAGCACAGCTTCTCAGTTTGTACCCAACAGTCATTGCCAGGGACCCAGAACTGATAATCAGGACTTTTAGGCTGGGTGAATAAAAAATTGATGGTTGGAAAATAAAGTAGGAGTTATCTTGTTTGTGTTTTTAAATTTTGGAGGAGCTGACAGGTGAAGACAAGGCTTGCTTTGAGCGGGAGTTGAACCAGCGACCTTGGAATGACAGCACTTAATATGAGGAACCGCCTTAAGACCTGTGCTCTACCAACTGAGCTATCAAGGTGCTGTCTACTACAAGTGCAGAAAACATAGTCGCTATGATGACATACTTTGCCCACACAACTAATCCACCTACATGGTCAGTGAAAAGCCCAGCCCTACCTTCAGAGCACAGCTTCTCAGTTTGTACCCAACAGCCATTGCCAGGGACCCAGAACTGATAATCAGGACTTTTAGGCTGGGTGAATAAAAAAATTGATGGTTGGAAAATAAAGTAGGAGTTATCTTGTTTGTGTTTTTAAATTTTGGAGGAGCTGACAGGTGAAGACAAGGCTTGCTTTGAGCGGGAGTTGAACCAGCTACCTTGGAATGACAGCACTTCATGTGAGGAACTGCCTACAGTCCTCTGCTCTACCAACTGAGCTATCAAGGTGCTGTCTAGTACAAGTGCAGAAAACATAGTGGCTATGATGACACACTTTGCCCACACAACTAATCCACCTACATGGTCAGTGAAAGGCCCAGCCCTACCTTCAGAGCACAGCTTCTCAGTTTGTACCCAACAGCCATTGCCAGGTACCCAGAACTGATAATCAGGACTTTAAGGCTGGTGAATAAAAAAATGATGGTTGGAAAATAAATTAGGAGTTATCTTGTTTGTGTTTTTAAATTTTGGTGGAGCTAAAAGGTGAAGACAAGGCTTGCTTTGAGCGGGAGTTGAACCAGCGACCTTGGAATGAGAGCAATTCATATGAAGAACTGCCTACAGTCCTCTGCTCTACCAACTGAGCTATCAAGGTGGTATAAACAACCAGTGCAGAAAACATAGTGGCTATGATGACACACTTTGCCCACACAACTAATCCACCTACATGGTCAGTGAAAAGCCCAGCCCTACCTTCAGAGCACAGCTTCTCAGTTTGTACCCAACAGCCATTGCCAGGGACCCAGAACTGATAATCAGGACTTTTAGGCTGGGTGAATAAAAAAATTGATGGTTGGAAAATAAAGTAGGAGTTATCTTGTTTGTGTTTTTAAATTTTGGACAAGCTGACAGGTGAAGACAAGGCTTGCTTTGAGCAGGAGTTGAACCAGCGACGTTTGAATGACAGCACTTCATATGAGGAACTGCCTAAAGACCTGTGCTCTACCAACTGAGCTATCAAGGTGTTGTCAACTACAAGTGCAGAAAACATAGTCGCTAGGATGACATACTTTGCCCACACAACTAATCCACCTACATGGTCAGTGAAAAGCCCAGCCCTACCTTCAGAGCACAGCTTCTCAGTTTGTACCCAACAGTCATTGCCAGGGACCCAGAACTGATAATCAGGACTTTTAGGCTGGGTGAATAAAAAATTGATGGTTGGAAAATAAAGTAGGAGTTATCTTGTTTGTGTTTTTAAAGTTTGGAGGAGCTGACAGGTGAAGTCAAGGCTTGCTTTGAGCGGGAGTTGAACCAGCGACCTTGGAATGACAGCACTTAATATGAGGAACCGCCTTAAGACCTGTGCTCTACCAACTGAGCTATCAAGGTGCTGTCTAATACAAGTGCAGAAAACATAGTCGCTATGATGACATACTTTGCCCACACAACTAATCCACCTACATGGTCAGTGAAAAGCCCAGCCCTACCTTCAGAGCACAGCTTCTCAGTTTGTACCCAACAGCCATTGCCAGGGACCCAGAACTGATAATCAGGACTTTTAGGCTGGGTGAATAAAAAAATTGATGGTTGGAAAATAAAGTAGGAGTTATCTTGTTTGTGTTTTTAAATTTTGGAGGAGATGACAGGTGAAGACAAGGGTTGCTTTGAGCGGGAGTTGAACCAGCTACCTTGGAATGACAGCACTTCATGTGAGGAACTGCCTACAGTCCTCTGCTCTACCAACTGAGCTATCAAGGTGCTGTCTAATACAAGTGCAGAAAACATAGTGGCTATGATGACACACTTTGCCCACACAACTAATCCACCTACATGGTCAGTGAAAGGCCCAGCCCTACCTTCAGAGCACAGCTTCTCAGTTTGTACCCAACAGCCATTGCCAGGGACCCAGAACTGATAATCAGGACTTTAAGGCTGGTGAATAAAAAAATGATGGTTGGAAAATAAATTAGGAGTTATCTTGTTTGTGTTTTTAAATTTTGGAGGAGCTGACAGGTGAAGACAAGGCTTGCTTTGAGCAGGAGTTGAACCAGCGACCTTTGAATGACAGCAGTTCATATCAGGAACTGCCTAAAGACCTGTGCTCTACCAACTGAGCTATCAAGGTGTTGTCAACTACAAGTGCAGAAAACATAGTCGCTAGGATGACATACTTTGCCCACACAACTAATCCACCTACATGGTCAGTGAAAAGCCCAGCCCTACCTTCAGAGCACAGCTTCTCAGTTTGTACCCAACAGTCATTGCCAGGGACCCAGAACTGATAATCAGGATTTTTAGGCTGGGTGAATAAAAAATTGATGGTTGGAAAATAAAGTAGGAGTTATCTTGTTTGTGTTTTTAAATTTTGGAGGAGCTGACAGGTGAAGTCAAGGCTTGCTTTGAGTGGGAGTTGAACCAGCGACCTTGGAATGACAGCACTTAATATGAGGAACCGCCTTAAGACCTGTGCTCTACCAACTGAGCTATCAAGGTGCTGTCTAATACAAGTGCAGAAAACATAGTCGCTATGATGACATACTTTGCCCACACAACTAATCCACCTACATGGTCAGTGAAAAGCCCAGCCCTACCTTCAGAGCACAGCTTCTCAGTTTGTACCCAACAGCCATTGCCAGGGACCCAGAACTGATAATCAGGACTTTTAGGCTGGGTGAATAAAAAAATTGATGGTTGGAAAATAAAGTAGGAGTTATCTTGTTTGTGTTTTTAAATTTTGGAGGAGATGACAGGTGAAGACAAGGCTTGCTTTGAGCGGGAGTTGAACCAGCTACCTTGGAATGACAGCACTTCATGTGAGGAACTGCCTACAGTCCTCTGCTCTACCAACTGAGCTATCAAGGTGCTGTCTACTACAAGTGCAGAAAACATAGTGGCTATGATGACACACTTTGCCCACACAACTAATCCACCTACATGGTCAGTGAAAGGCCCAGCCCTACCTTCAGAGCACAGCTTCTCAGTTTGTACCCAACAGCCATTGCCAGGGACCCAGAACTGATAATCAGGACTTTAAGGCTGGTGAATAAAAAAATGATGGTTGGAAAATAAATTAGGAGTTATCTTGTTTGTGTTTTTAAATTTTGGTGGAGCTGACAGGTGAAGACAAGGCTTGCTTTGAGCGGGAGTTGAACCAGCGACCTTGGAATGAGAGCACTTCATATGAAGAACTGCCTACAGTCCTCTGCTCTACCAACTGAGCTATCAAGGTGCTATAAACAACCAGTGCAGAAAACATAGTGGCTATGATGACACACTTTGCCCACACAACTAATCCACCTACATGGTCAGTGAAAAGCCCAGCCCTACCTTCAGAGCACAGCTTCTCAGTTTGTACCCAACAGCCATTGCCAGGGACCCAGAACTGATAATCAGGACTTTTAGGCTGGGTGAATAAAAAAATTGATGGTTGGAAAATAAAGTAGGAGTTATCTTGTTTGTGTTTTTAAATTTTGGAGGAGCTGACAGGTGAAGACAAGGCTTGCTTTGAGCAGGAGTTGAACCAGCAACCTTTGAATGACAGCACTTCATATGAGGAACTGCCTAAAGACCTGTGCTCTACCAACTGAGCTACCAAGGAGTTGTCAACTACAAGTGCAGAAAACATAGTCGCTAGGATGACATACTTTGCCCACACAACTAATCCACCTACATGGTCAGTGAAAAGCCCAGCCCTACCTTCAGAGCACAGCTTCTCAGTTTGTACCCAACAGTCATTGCCAGGGACCCAGAACTGATAATCAGGACTTTTAGGCTGGGTGAATAAAAAATTGATGGTTGGAAAATAAAGTAGGAGTTATCTTGTTTGTGTTTTTAAATTTTGGAGGAGCTGACAGGTGAAGACAAGGCTTGCTTTGAGCGGGAGTTGAACCAGCGACCTTGAAATGACAGCACTTAATATGAGGAACCGCCTTAAGACCTGTGCTCTACCAACTGAGCTATCAAGGTGCTGTCTACTACAAGTGCAGAAAACATAGTCGCTATGATGACATACTTTGCCCACACAACTAATCCACCTACATGGTCAGTGAAAAGCCCAGCCCTACCTTCAGAGCACAGCTTCTCAGTTTGTACCCAACAGCCATTGCCAGGGACCCAGAACTGATAATCAGGACTTTTAGGCTGGGTGAATAAAAAAATTGATGGTTGGAAAATAAAGTAGGAGTTATCTTGTTTGTGTTTTTAAATTTTGGACGAGCTGACAGGTGAAGACAAGGCTTGCTTTGAGCAGGAGTTGAACCAGCGACCTTTGAATGACAGCACTTCATATGAGGAACTGCCTAAAGACCTGTGCTCTACCAACTGAGCTATCAAGGTGTTGTCAACTACAAGTGCAGAAAACATAGTCGCTAGGATGACATACTTTGCCCACACAACTAATCCACCTACATGGTCAGTGAAAAGCCCAGCCCTACCTTCAGAGCACAGCTTCTCAGTTTGTACCCAACAGTCATTGCCAGGGACCCAGAACTGATAATCAGGACTTTTAGGCTGGGTGAATAAAAAATTGATGGTTGGAAAATAAAGTAGGAGTTATCTTGTTTGTGCTTTTAAATTTTGGAGGAGCTGACAGGTGAAGACAAGGCTTGCTTTGAGCGGGAGTTGAACCAGCGACCTTGGAATGACAGCACTTAATATGAGGAACCGCCTTAAGACCTGTGCTCTACCAACTGAGCTATCAAGGTGCTGTCTACTACAAGTGCAGAAAACATAGTCGCTATGATGACATACTTTGCCCACACAACTAATCCACCTACATGGTCAGTGAAAAGCCCAGCCCTACCTTCAGAGCACAGCTTCTCAGTTTGTACCCAACAGCCATTGCCAGGGACCCAGAACTGATAATCAGGACTTTTAGGCTGGGTGAATAAAAAAATTGATGGTTGGAAAATAAATTAGGAGTTATCTTGTTTGTGTTTTTCAATTTTGGAGGAGCTGACAGGTGAAGACAAGGCTTGCTTTGAGCGGGAGTTGAACCAGCTACCTTGGAATGACAGCACTTCATGTGAGGAACTGCATACAGTCCTCTGCTCTACCAACTGAGCTATCAAGGTGCTGTCTACTACAAGTGCAGAAAACATAGTGGCTATGATGACACACTTTGCCCACACAACTAATCCACCTACATGGTCAGTGAAAAGCCCAGCCCTACCTTCAGAGCACAGCTTCTCAGTTTGTACCCAACAGCCATTGCCAGGGACCCAGAACTGATAATCAGGACTTTTAGGCTGGTGAATAAAAAAATGATGGTTGGAAAATAAAGTAGGAGTTATCTTGTTTGTGTTTTTAAATTTTGGAGGAGCTGACAGGTGAAGACAAGGCTTGCTTTGAGCGGGAGATGAACCAGCGACATTGGAATGAGAGCACTTCATATGAAGAACTGCCTACAGTCCTCTGCTCTACCAACTGAGCTATCAAGGTGCTATAAACAACCAGTGCAGAAAACATAGTGGCTATTATGACACACTTTGCCCACACAACTAATCCACCTACATGGTCAGTGAAAAGCCCAGCCCTACCTTCAGAGCACAGCTTCTCGGTTTGTACCCAACAGCCATTGCCAGGGACCCAGAACTGATAATCAGGACTTTTAGGCTGGGTGAATAAAAAATTGATGGTTGGAAAATAAAGTAGGAGTTATCTTGTGTGTTTTTTTAAATTTTGGAGGAGCTGACAGGTGAAGACAAGGCTTGCTTTGAGCGGGAGTTGAACCAGCGACCTTGGAATGAGAGCACTTCATATGAAGAACTGGCTACAGTCCTCTGCTCTACCAACTGAGGTATCAAGGAGTTGTCAACTACAAGTGCAGAAAACATAGTCGCTAGGATGACATACTTTGCCCACACAACTAATCCACCTACATGGTCAGTGAAAAGCCCAGCCCTACCTTCAGAGCACAGCTTCTCAGTTTGTACCCAACAGTCATTGCCAGGGACCCAGAACTGATAATCAGGACTTTTAGGCTGGGTGAATAAAAAATTGATGGTTGGAAAATAAAGTAGGAGTTATCTTGTTTGTGTTTTTAAATTTTGGAGGAGCTGACAGGTGAAGACAAGGCTTGCTTTGAGCGGGAGTTGAACCAGCGACCTTGGAATGACAGCACTTAATATGAGGAACCGCCTTAAGACCTGTGCTCTACCAACTGAGCTATCAAGGTGCTGTCTACTACAAGTGCAGAAAACATAGTCGCTATGATGACATACTTTGCCCACACAACTAATCCACCTACATGGTCAGTGAAAAGCCCAGCCCTACCTTCAGAGCACAGCTTCTCAGTTTGTACCCAACAGCCATTGCCAGGGACCCAGAACTGATAATCAGGACTTTTAGGCTGGGTGAATAAAAAAATTGATGGTTGGAAAATAAAGTAGGAGTTATCTTGTTTGTGTTTTTAAATTTTGGACGAGCTGACAGGTGAAGACAAGGCTTGCTTTGAGCAGGAGTTGAACCAGCGACCTTTGAATGACAGCACTTCATATGAGGAACCGCCTAAAGACCTGTGCTCTACCAACTGAGCTATCAAGGTGTTGTCAACTACAAGTGCAGAAAACATAGTCGCTAGGATGACATACTTTGCCCACACAACTAATCCACCTACATGGTCAGTGAAAAGCCCAGCCCTACCTTCAGAGCACAGCTTCTCAGTTTGTACCCAACAGTCATTGCCAGGGACCCAGAACTGATAATCAGGACTTTTAGGCTGGGTGAATAAAAAATTGATGGTTGGAAAATAAAGTAGGAGTTATCTTGTTTGTGCTTTTAAATTTTGGAGGAGCTGACAGGTGAAGACAAGGCTTGCTTTGAGCGGGAGTTGAACCAGCGACATTGGAATGACAGCACTTAATATGAGGAACCGCCTTAAGACCTGTGCTCTACCAACTGAGCTATCAAGGTGCTGTCTACTACAAGTGCAGAAAACATAGTCGCTATGATGACATACTTTGCCCACACAACTAATCCACCTACATGGTCAGTGAAAAGCCCAGCCCTACCTTCAGAGCACAGCTTCTCAGTTTGTACCCAACAGCCATTGCCAGGGACCCAGAACTGATAATCAGGACTTTTAGGCTGGGTGAATAAAAAAATTGATGGTTGGAAAATAAAGTAGGAGTTATCTTGTTTGTGTTTTTAAATTTTGGAGGAGATGACAGGTGAAGACAAGGCTTGCTTTGAGCGGGAGTTGAACCAGCTACCTTGGAATGACAGCACTTCATGTGAGGAACTGCCTACAGTCCTCTGCTCTACCAACTGAGCTATCAAGGTGCTGTCTACTACAAGTGCAGAAAACATAGTGGCTATGATGACACACTTTGCCCACACAACTAATCCACCTACATGGTCAGTGAAAGGCCCAGCCCTACCTTCAGAGCACAGCTTCTCAGTTTGTACCCAACAGCCATTGCCAGGGACCCAGAACTGATAATCAGGACTTTAAGGCTGGTGAATAAAAAAATGATGGTTGGAAAATAAATTAGGAGTTATCTTGTTTGTGTTTTTAAATTTTGGTGGAGCTGACAGGTGAAGACAAGGCTTGCTTTGAGCGGGAGTTGAACCAGCGACCTTGGAATGAGAGCACTTCATATGAAGAACTGCCTACAGTCCTCTGCTCTACCAACTGAGCTATCAAGGTGCTATAAACAACCAGTGCAGAAAACATAGTGGCTATGATGACACACTTTGCCCACACAACTAATCCACCTACATGGTCAGTGAAAAGCCCAGCCCTACCTTCAGAGCACAGCTTCTCAGTTTGTACCCAACAGCCATTGCCAGGGACCCAGAACTGATAATCAGGACTTTTAGGCTGGGTGAATAAAAAAATTGATGGTTGGAAAATAAAGTAGGAGTTATCTTGTTTGTGTTTTTAAATTTTGGACGAGCTGACAGGTGAAGACAAGGCTTGCTTTGAGCAGGAGTTGAACCAGCGACCTTTGAATGACAGCACTTCATATGAGGAACTGCCTAAAGACCTGTGCTCTACCAACTGAGCTATCAAGGTGTTGTCAACTACAAGTGCAGAAAACATAGTCGCTATGATGACATACTTTGCCCACACAACTAATCCACCTACATGGTCAGTGAAAAGCCCAGCCCTACCTTCAGAGCACAGCTTCTCAGTTTGTACCCAACAGCCATTGCCAGGGACCCAGAACTGATAATCAGGACTTTTAGGCTGGGTGAATAAAAAAATTGATGGTTGGAAAATAAATTAGGAGTTATCTTGTTTGTGTTTTTAAATTTTGGAGGAGCTGACAGGTGAAGACAAGGCTTGCTTTGAGCAGGAGTTGAACCAGCTACCTTGGAATGACAGCACTTCATGTGAGGAACTGCATACAGTCCTCTGCTCTACCAACTGAGCTATCAAGGTGCTGTCTACTACAAGTGCAGAAAACATAGTGGCTATGATGACACACTTTGCCCACACAACTAATCCACCTACATGGTCAGTGAAAAGCCCAGCCCTACCTTCAGAGCACAGCTTCTCAGTTTGTACCCAACAGCCATTGCCAGGGACCCAGAACTGATAATCAGGACTTTTAGGCTGGTGAATAAAAAAATGATGTTTGGAAAATAAAGTAGGAGTTATCTTGTTTGTGTTTTTAAATTTTGGAGGAGCTGACAGGTGAAGACAAGGCTTGCTTTGAGCGGGAGATGAACCAGCGACATTGGAATGAGAGCACTTCATATGAAGAACTGCCTACAGTCCTCTGCTCTACCAACTGAGCTATCAAGGTGCTATAAACAACCAGTGCAGAAAACATAGTGGCTATTATGACACACTTTGCCCACACAACTAATCCACCTACATGGTCAGTGAAAAGCCCAGCCCTACCTTCAGAGCACAGCTTCTCGGTTTGTACCCAACAGCCATTGCCAGGGACCCAGAACTGATAATCAGGACTTTTAGGCTGGGTGAATAAAAAATTGATGGTTGGAAAATAAAGTAGGAGTTATCTTGTGTGTTTTTTTAAATTTTGGAGGAGCTGACAGGTGAAGACAAGGCTTGCTTTGAGCGGGAGTTGAACCAGCGACCTTGGAATGAGAGCACTTCATATGAAGAACTGGCTACAGTCCTCTGCTCTACCAACTGAGCTATCAAGGTGCTATAAACAACCAGTGCAGAAAACATAGTGGCTATGATGACACACTTTGCCCACACAACTAATCCACCTACATGGTCAGTGAAAAGCCCAGCCCTACCTTCAGAGCACAGCTTCTCAGTTTGTACCCAACAGCCATTGCCAGGGACCCAGAACTGATAATCAGGACTTTTAGGCTGGGTGAAAAAAAAAATGATGGTTGGAAAATAAAGTAGGAGTTATCTTTTTTGTGTTTTTCAATTTTGGAGGAGGAGACAGGTGAAGACAAGGCTTGCTTTGAGCGGGAGTTCAACCAGCTACCTTGGAATGACAGCACTTCATATGAGGAACTGCCTACAGACCTGTGCTCTACCAACTGAGCTATCAAGGTGCTGTCTACTACAAGTGCAGAAAACATAGTGGCTATGATGACATACTTTGCCCACACAACTAATCCACCTACATGGTCAGTGAAAAGCCCAGCCCTAATTTCAGAGCACAGCTTCTCAGTTTGTACCCAACAGCCATTGCCAGGGACCCAGAACTGATAATCAGGACTTTTAGGCTGGGTGAATAAAAAATTGATGGTTTGAAAATAAAGTAGGAGTTATCTTGTTTGTGTTTTTAAATTCTGGAGGAGCTGACAGGTGAAGACAAGGCTTGCTTTGAGCGGGAGTTGAACCAGCGACCTTGGAATGACAGCACTTCATAAGAGGAACTGCCTACAGACCTGTGCTCTACCAACTGAGCTATCAAGGTGCTGTCTACTACAAGTGCAGAAAACATAGTCGCTATGATGACATACTTTGCCCACACAACTAGTACACCTACATGGTCAGTGAAAAGCCCAGCCCTAATTTCAGAGCACAGCTTCTCAGTTTGTACCCAACAGCCATTGCCAGGGACCCAGAACTGATAATCAGGACTTTTAGGCTGGGTGAATAAAAAAATTGATGGTTGGAAAATAAAGTAGGAGTTATCTAGTTTGTGTTTTTAAATATTTGAGGGGCTGAGAGGTGAAGCCAAGGCTTGCTCTGAGCTGGAGTTGAAACAGCGACCTTGAAATGACAGCACTTTATATGAGGAATTGCCTAAAGTCCTCTGCTCTACCAACTGAGCTATCAAGGTGCTGTCTACTACAAGTGCAGAAAACATAGTGGCTATGATGACACACTTTGCCCACACAACTAATCCACCTACATGGTCAGTGAAAAGCCCAGCCCTACCTTCAGAGCACAGCTTCTCAGTTTGTACCCAACAGTCATTGCCAGGGACCCAGAACTGATAATCAGGACTTTTAGGCTGGGGAATAAAAAAATGATGGTTGGAAAGTAAAGTAGGAGTTATCTTGTTTGTGTTTTCAAATTTTGGTGGAGCTGACAGGTGAAGACAAGGCTTGCTTTGAGCGGGAGTTGAACCAGCGACCTTGGAATGACAGCACTTCATATGAAGAACTGCCTACAGTCCTCTGCTCTACCAACTGAGCTATCAAGGTGCTATAAACAACCAGTGCAGAAAACATAGTGGCTATGATGACACACTTTGCCCACACAACTAATCCACCTATATGGTCAGTGAAAAGCCCAGCCCTAATTTCAGAGCACAGCTTCTCAGTTTGTACCCAACAGCCATTGCCAGGGACCCAGAACTGATAATCAGGACTTTTAGGCTGGGTGAAAAAAAAATTGATGGTTGGAAAATAAATTAGGAGTTATCTTGTTTGTGTTTTTCAATTTTGGAGGAGCTGACAGGTGAAGACAAGGCTTGCTTTGAGCGGGAGTTCAACCAGCTACCTTGGAATGACAGCACTTCATATGAGGAACTGCCTACAGACCTGTGCTCTACCAACTGAGCTATCAAGGTGCTGTCTACTACAAGTGCAGAAAACATAGTGGCTAGGATGACATACTTTGCCCACACAACTAATCCACCTACATGGTCAGTGAAAAGCCCAGCCCTACCTTCAGAGCACAGCTTCTCAGTTTGTACCCAACAGTCATTGCCAGGGACCCAGAACTGATAATCAGGACTTTTAGGCTGGGTGAATAAAAAATTGATGGTTGGAAAATAAAGTAGGAGTTATCTTGTTTGTGTTTTTAAATTTTGGAGGAGCTGACAGGTGAAGACAAGGCTTGCTTTGAGCGGGAGTTGAACCAGCGACCTTGGAATGACCGCACTTCATATGAGGAATTGCCTACAGTGGTCTGCTGTACCAACTGAGCTATCAAGGTGCTGTCTACTACAAGTGCAGAAAACATAGTCGCTATGATGACATACTTTGCCCACACAACTAATCCACCTACATGGTCAGTGAAAAGCCCAGCCCTAATTTCAGAGCACAGCTTCTCAGTTTGTACCCAACAGCCATTGCCAGGGACCCAGAACTGATAATCAGGACTTTAAGGCTGGGTGAATAAAAAAATTGATGGTTGGAAAATAAAGTAGGAGTTATCTTGTGTGTTTTTTCAAATATTGGAGGAGCTGACAGGTGAAGACAAGGCTTGCTTTGAGCGGGAGTTGAACCAGCTACCTTGGAATGAGAGCACTTCATATGAAGAACTGCCTACAGTCCTCTGCTCTACCAACTGAGCTATCAAGGTGCTATAAACAACCAGTGCAGAAAACATAGTGGCTATGATGACACACTTTGCCCACACAACTAATCCACCTACATGGTCAGTGAAAAGCCCAGCCCTACCTTCAGAGCACAGCGTCTCAGTTTGTACCCAACAGTCATTGCCAGGGACCCAGAACTGATAATCAGGACTTTTAGGCTGGGTGAAAAAAAAATTGATGGTTGGAAAATAAAGTAGGAGTTATCTTGTTTGTGTTTTTCAATTTTGGAGGAGGAGACAGGTGAAGACAAGGCTTGCTTTGAGCGGGAGTTGAACCAGCTACCTTGGAATGACTGCACTTCATATGAGGAACTGCCTACAGACCTGTGCTCTACCAACTGAGCTATCAAGGTGCTGTCTACTACAAGTGCAGAAAACATAGTGGCTAGGATGACATACTTTGCCCACACAACTAATCCACCTACATGGTCAGTGAAAAGCCCAGCCCTACCTTCAGAGCACAGCTTCTCAGTTTGTACCCAACAGTCATTGCCAGGGACCCAGAACTGATAATCAGGACTTTTAGGCTGGGTGAATAAAAAATTGATGGTTGGAAAATAAAGTAGGAGTTATCTTGTTTGTGTTTTTAAATTTTGGAGGAGCTGACAGGTGAAGACAAGGCTTGCTTTGAGCGGGAGTTGAACCAGCGACCTTGGAATGACCGCACTTCATATGAGGAATTGCCTACAGTGGTCTGCTGTACCAACTGAGCTATCAAGGTGCTGTCTACTACAAGTGCAGAAAACATAGTCGCTATGATGACATACTTTGCCCACACAACTAATCACCTACATGGTCAGTGAAAAGCCCAGCCCTACCTTCAGAGCACAGCTTCTCAGTTTGTACCCAACAGCCATTGCCAGGGACCCAGAACTGATAATCAGGACTTTAAGGCTGGGTGAATAAAAAAATTGATGGTTGGAAAATAAAGTAGGAGTTATCTTGTTTGTGTTTTTAAATTTTGGAGGAGCTGACAGGTGAAGACAAGGCTTGCTTTGAGCGGGAGTTGAACCAGCAACCTTGGAATGACAGCACTTCATATGAGGAACTGCCTAAAGACCTGTGCTCTACCAAATGAGCTATCAAGGTGCTATCTACTACAAGTGCAGAAAACATAGTCGCTATGATGACATACTTTGCCCACACAACTAATCCACCTACATGGTCAGTGAAAAGCCCAGCCCTACCTTCAGAGCACAGCTTCTCAGTTTGTACCCAACAGTCATTGCCAGGGACCCAGAACTGATAATCAGGACTTTAAGGCTGGGTGAATAAAAAAATTGATGGTTGGAAAATAAAGTAGGAGTTATCTTGTTTGTGTTTTTAAATTTTGGAGGAGCTGACAGGTGAAGACAAGGCTTGCTTTGAGCGGGAGTTGAACCAGCAACCTTGGAATGACAGCACTTCATATGAGGAACTGCCTAAAGACCTGTGCTCTACCAACTGAGCTATCAAGGTGCTATCTACTACAAGTGCAGAAAACATAGTCGCTATGATGACATACTTTGCCCACACAACTTATCCACCTACATGGTCAGTGAAAAGCCCAGCCCTACCTTCAGAGCACAGCTTCTCAGTTTGTACCCAACAGTCATTGCCAGGGACCCAGAACTGATAATCAGGACTTTAAGGCTGGGTGAATAAAAAAAATGATGGTTGGAAAATAAAGTAGGAGTTATCTTGTTTGTGTTTTTAAATTTTGGAGGAGCTGACAGGTGAAGACAAGGCTTGCTTTGAGCGGGAGTTGAACCAGCGACATTGGAATAACAGCACTTCATATGAGGAACTGCCTAAAGACCTGTGCTCTAACAACTGAGCTATCAAGGTGCTATCTACTACAAGTGCAGAAAACATAGTCGCTATGATGACATACTTTGCCCACACAACTAATCCACCTACATGGTCAGTGAAAGGCCCAGCCCTACCTTCAGAGCACAGCTTCTCAGTTTGTACCCAACAGTCATTGCCAGGGACCCAGAACTGATAATCAGGACTTTTAGGCTGGTGAATAAAAAAATGATGGTTGGAAAGTAAAGTAGGAGTTATCTTGTTTGTGTTTTTAAATTTTGGTGGAGCTGACAGGTAAAGACAAGGCTTGGTTTGAGTGGGAGTTGAACCAGCGACCTTGGAATGACAGCACTTCATATGAGGAAGTGCCTAAAGACCTGTGCTCTACCAACTGAGCTATCAAGGTGCTGTCTACTCCAGGTGCAGAAAACATAGTGGCTAGGATGACATACTTTGCCCACACAACTAATCCACCTACATGGTCAGTGAAAAGCCCAGCCCTACCTTCAGAGCACAGCTTCTCAGTTTGTACCCAACAGTCATTGCCAGGGACCCAGAACTGATAATCAGGACTTTAAGGCTGGGTGAATAAAAAAATTGATGGTTGGAAAATAAAGTAGGAGTTATCTTGTTTGTGTTTTTAAATTTTGGAGGAGCTGACAGGTGAAGACAAGGCTTGCTTTGAGCGGGAGTTCAACCAGCTACCTTGGAATGACAGCACTTCATATGAGGAACTGCCTACAGACCTGTGCTCTACCAACTGAGCTATCAAGGTGCTGTCTACTACAAGTGCAGAAAACATAGTGGCTAGGATGACATACTTTGCCCACACAACTAATCCACCTACATGGTCAGTGAAAAGCCCAGCCCTACCTTCAGAGCACAGCTTCTCAGTTTGTACCCAACAGTCATTGCCAGGGACCCAGAACTGATAATCAGGACTTTTAGGCTGGGTGAATAAAAAATTGATGGTTGGAAAATAAAGTAGGAGTTATCTTGTTTGTGTTTTTAAATTTTGGAGGAGCTGACAGGTGAAGACAAGGCTTGCTTTGAGCGGGAGTTGAACCAGCGACCTTGGAATGACCGCACTTCATATGAGGAATTGCCTACAGTGGTCTGCTGTACCAACTGAGCTATCAAGGTGCTGTCTACTACAAGTGCAGAAAACATAGTCGCTATGATGACATACTTTGCCCACACAACTAATCCACCTACATGGTCAGTGAAAAGCCCAGCCCTACCTTCAGAGCACAGCTTCTCAGTTTGTACCCAACAGTCATTGCCAGGGACCCAGAACTGATAATCAGGACTTTAAGGCTGGGTGAATAAAAAAATTGATGGTTGGAAAATAAAGTAGGAGTTATCTTGTTTGTGTTTTTAAATTTTGGAGGAGCTGACAGGTGAAGACAAGGCTTGCTTTGAGCGGGAGTTGAACCAGCAACCTTGGAATGACAGCACTTCATATGAGGAACTGCCTAAAGACCTGTGCTCTACCAACTGAGCTATCAAGGTGCTATCTACTACAAGTGCAGAAAACATAGTCGCTATGATGACATACTTTGCCCACACAACTTATCCACCTACATGGTCAGTGAAAAGCCCAGCCCTACCTTCAGAGCACAGCTTCTCAGTTTGTACCCAACAGTCATTGCCAGGGACCCAGAACTGATAATCAGGACTTTAAGGCTGGGTGAATAAAAAAAATGATGGTTGGAAAATAAAGTAGGAGTTATCTTGTTTGTGTTTTTAAATTTTGGAGGAGCTGACAGGTGAAGACAAGGCTTGCTTTGAGCGGGAGTTGAACCAGCGACATTGGAATAACAGCACTTCATATGAGGAACTGCCTAAAGACCTGTGCTCTAACAACTGAGCTATCAAGGTGCTATCTACTACAAGTGCAGAAAACATAGTCGCTATGATGACATACTTTGCCCACACAACTAATCCACCTACATGGTCAGTGAAAGGCCCAGCCCTACCTTCAGAGCACAGCTTCTCAGTTTGTACCCAACAGTCATTGCCAGGGACCCAGAACTGATAATCAGGACTTTTAGGCTGGTGAATAAAAAAATGATGGTTGGAAAGTAAAGTAGGAGTTATCTTGTTTGTGTTTTTAAATTTTGGTGGAGCTGACAGGTAAAGACAAGGCTTGGTTTGAGTGGGAGTTGAACCAGCGACCTTGGAATGACAGCACTTCATATGAGGAAGTGCCTAAAGACCTGTGCTCTACCAACTGAGCTATCAAGGTGCTGTCTACTCCAGGTGCAGAAAACATAGTGGCTAGGATGACATACTTTGCCCACACAACTAATCCACCTACATGGTCAGTGAAAAGCCCAGCCCTACCTTCAGAGCACAGCTTCTCAGTTTGTACCCAACAGTCATTGCCAGGGACCCAGAACTGATAATCAGGACTTTAAGGCTGGGTGAATAAAAAAATTGATGGTTGGAAAATAAAGTAGGAGTTATCTTGTTTGTGTTTTTAAATTTTGGAGGAGCTGACAGGTGAAGACAAGGCTTGCTTTGAGCGGGAGTTCAACCAGCTACCTTGGAATGACAGCACTTCATATGAGGAACTGCCTACAGACCTGTGCTCTACCAACTGAGCTATCAAGGTGCTGTCTACTACAAGTGCAGAAAACATAGTGGCTAGGATGACATACTTTGCCCACACAACGAATCCACCTACATGGTCAGTGAAAAGCCCAGCCCTACCTTCAGAGCACAGCTTCTCAGTTTGTACCCAACAGTCATTGCCAGGGACCCAGAACTGATAATCAGGACTTTTAGGCTGGGTGAATAAAAAATTGATGGTTGGAAAATAAAGTAGGAGTTATCTTGTTTGTGTTTTTAAATTTTGGAGGAGCTGACAGGTGAAGACAAGGCTTGCTTTGAGCGGGAGTTGAACGAGCGACCTTGGAATGACCGCACTTCATATGAGGAATTGCCTACAGTGGTCTGCTGTACCAACTGAGCTATCAAGGTGCTGTCTACTACAAGTGCAGAAAACATAGTCGCTATGATGACATACTTTGCCCACACAACTAATCCACCTACATGGTCAGTGAAAAGCCCAGCCCTACCTTCAGAGCACAGCTTCTCAGTTTGTACCCAACAGCCATTGCCAGGGACCCAGAACTGATAATCAGGACTTTAAGGCTGGGTGAATAAAAAAATTGATGGTTGGAAAATAAAGTAGGAGTTATCTTGTTTGTGTTTTTAAATTTTGGAGGAGCTGACAGGTGAAGACAAGGCTTGCTTTGAGCGGGAGTTGAACCAGCGACCTTGGAATGACAGCACTTCATATGAAGAACTGCCTACAGTCCTCTGCTCTACCAACTGAGCTATCAAGGTGCTATAAACAACCAGTGCAGAAAACATAGTGGCTATGATGACACACTTTGCCCACACAACTAATCCACCTACATGGTCAGTGAAAAGCCCAGCCCTACCTTCAGAGCACAGCGTCTCAGTTTGTACCCAACAGTCATTGCCAGGGACCCAGAACTGATAATCAGGACTTTTAGGCTGGGTGAAAAAAAAATTGATGGTTGGAAAATAAAGTAGGAGTTATCTTGTTTGTGTTTTTCAATTTTGGAGGAGGAGACAGGTGAAGACAAGGCTTGCTTTGAGCGGGAGTTGAACCAGCTACCTTGGAATGACAGCACTTCATATGAGGAACTGCCTACAGACCTGTGCTCTACCAACTGAGCTATCAAGGTGCTGTCTACTACAAGTGCAGAAAACATAGTGGCTAGGATGACATACTTTGCCCACACAACTAATCCACCTACATGGTCAGTGAAAAGCCCAGCCCTACCTTCAGAGCACAGCTTCTCAGTTTGTACCCAACAGTCATTGCCAGGGACCCAGAACTGATAATCAGGACTTTTAGGCTGGGTGAAAAAAAAATTGATGGTTGGAAAATAAAGTAGGAGTTATCTTGTTTGTGTTTTTAAATTTTGGAGGAGCTGACAGGTGAAGACAAGGCTTGCTTTGAGCGGGAGTTGAACCAGCGACCTTGGAATGACAGCACTTCATATGAGGAACTGCCTAAAGACCTGTGCTCTACCAACTGAGCTATCAAGGTGCTGTCTACTACAAGTGCAGAAAACATAGTCGCTATGATGACATACTTTGCCCTCACAACTAGTACACCTACATGGTCAGTGAAAAGCCCAGCCCTACCTTCAGAGCACAACTTCTCAGTTTGTACCCAACAGCCATTGCCAGGGACCCAGAACTGATAATCAGGACTTTTAGGCTGGGTGAATAAAAAAAGTGATGGTTGGAAAATAAAGTAGGAGTTATCTAGTTTGTGTTTTTAAATATTTGAGGGGCTGAGAGGTGAAGCCAAGGCTTGCTCTGAGCTGGAGTTGAACCAGCGACCTTGAAATGACAGCACTTTATATGAGGAACTGCCTACAGTCCTCTGCTCTTCCAACTGAGCTATCAAGGTGCTGTCTACTACAAGTGCAGAAAACATAGTGGCTATGATGACATACTTTGCCCACACAACTAATCCACCTACATGGTCAGTGAAAAGCCCAGCCCTAATTTCAGAGCACAGCTTCTCAGTTTGTACCCAACAGCCATTGCCAGGGACCCAGAACTGATAATCAGGACTTTTAGGCTGGGTGAATAAAAAATTGATGGTTTGAAAATAAAGTAGGAGTTATCTTGTTTGTGTTTTTAAATTTTGGAGGAGCTGACAGGTGAAGACAAGGCTTGCTTTGAGCGGGAGTTGAACCAGCGACCTTGGAATGACAGCACTTCATATGAGGAACTGCTTACAGTCCTCTGCTCTACCAACTGAGCTATCAAGGTGCTGTCTACTACAAGTGCAGAAAACATAGTGGCTATGATGACACACTTTGCCCACACAACTAATCCACCTACATGGTCAGTGAAAAGCCCAGCCCTACCTTCAGAGCACAGCTTCTCAGTTTGTACCCAACAGTCATTGCCAGGGACCCAGAACTGATAATCAGGACTTTTAGGCTGGTGAATAAAAAAATGATGGTTGGAAAATAAAGTAGGAGTTATCTTGTTTGTGTTTTTAAATTTTGGAGGAGCTGACAGGTGAAGACAAGGCTTGCTTTGAGCGGGAGTTGAACCAGCGACATTGGAATGAGAGCACTTCATATGAAGAACTGCCTACAGTCCTCTGCTCTACCAACTGAGCTATCAAGGTGCTATAAACAACCAGTGCAGAAAACATAGTGGCTATGATGACACACTTTGCCCACACAACTAATCCACCTACATGGTCAGTGAAAAGCCCAGCCCTACCTTCAGAGCACAGCTTCTCAGTTTGTACCCAACAGCCATTGCCAGGGACCCAGAACTGATAATCAGGACTTTTAGGCTGGGTGAATAAAAAATTGATGGTTGGAAAATAAAGTAGGAGTTATCTTGTGTGTTTTTTTAAATTTTGGAGGAGCTGACAGGTGAAGACAAGGCTTGCTTTGAGCGGGAGTTGAACCAGCGACATTGGAATGAGAGCACTTTATATGAAGAACTGCCTACAGTCCTCTGCTCTACCAACTGAGCTATGAAGGTGCTGTCTACTACAAGTGCAGAAAACATAGTGGCTATTATGACATACTTTGCACACACAACTAATCCACCTACATGGTCAGTGAAAAGCCCAGCCCTACCTTCAGAGCACAGCTTCTCAGTTTGTACCCAACAGCCATTGCCAGGGACCCAGAACTGATAATCAGGACTTATAGGCTGGGTGAATAAAAAATTGATGGTTGGAAAATAAAGTAGGAGTTATCTTGTGTGTTTTTTTTAAATTTTGGAGGAGCTGACAGGTGAAGACAAGGCTTGCTTTGAGCGGGAGTTGAACCAGCGACCTTGGAATGAGAGCACTTCATATGAAGAACTGCCTACAGTCCTCTGCTCTACCAACTGAGCTATCAAGGTGCTATAAACAACCAGTGCAGAAAACATAGTGGCTATGATGACACACTTTGCCCACACAACTAATCCACCTATATGGTCAGTGAAAAGCCCAGCCCTAATTTCAGAGCACAGCTTCTCAGTTTGTACCCAACAGCCATTGCCAGGGACCCAGAACTGATAATCAGGACTTTTAGGCTGGGTGAATAAAAAATTGATGGTTGGAAAATAAATTAGGAGTTATCTTGTTTGTGTTTTTAAATTTTGGAGGAGCTGACAGGTGAAGACAAGGCTTGCTTTGAGCGGGAGTTGAACCAGCGACCTTGGAATGACAGCACTTCATATGAGGAACTGCCTACAGTCGTCTGCTCTACCAACTGAGCTATCAAGGTGCTGTCTACTACAAGTGCAGAAAACATAGTGGCTATTATGACATACTTTGCACACACAACTAATCCACCTACATGGTCAGTGAAAAGCCCAGCCCTACATTCAGAGCACAGCTTCTCAGTTTGTACCCAACAGCCATTGCCAGGGACCCAGAACTGATAATCAGGACTTTTAGGCTGGGTGAATAAAAAATTGATGGTTGGAAAATAAAGTAGGAGTTATCTTGTGTGTTTTTTTAAATTTTGGAGGAGCTGACAGGTGAAGACAAGGCTTGCTTTGAGCGGGAGTTGAACCAGGGATCTTGGAATGAGAGCACTTCATATGAAGAAGTGCCTACAGTCCTCTGCTCTACCAACTGAGCTATCAAGGTGCTATAAACAACCAGTGCAGAAAACATAGTGGCTATGATGACACACTTTGCCCACACAACTAATCCACCTACATGGTCAGTGAAAAGCCCAGCCCTACCTTCAGAGCACAGCGTCTCAGTTTGTACCCAACAGTCATTGCCAGGGACCCAGAACTGATAATCAGGACTTTTAGGCTGGGTGAAAAAAAAATTGATGGTTGGAAAATAAATTAGGAGTTATCTTGTTTGTGTTTTTCAATTTTGGAGGAGGAGACAGGTGAAGACAAGGCTTGCTTTGAGCGGGAGTTGAACCAGCTACCTTGGAATGACAGCACTTCATATGAGGAACTGCCTACAGACCTGTGCTCTACCAACTGAGCTATCAAGGTGCTGTCTACTACAAGTGCAGAAAACATAGTGGCTAGGATGACATACTTTGCCCACACAACTAATCCACCTACATGGTCAGTGAAAAGCCCAGCCCTACCTTCAGAGCACAGCTTCTCAGTTTGTACCCAACAGTCATTGCCAGGGACCCAGAACTGATAATCAGGACTTTTAGGCTGGGTGAATAAAAAATTGATGGTTGGAAAATAAAGTAGGAGTTATCTTGTTTGTGTTTTTAAATTTTGGAGGAGCTGACAGGTGAAGACAAGGCTTGCTTTGAGCGGGAGTTGAACCAGCGACCTGGGAATGACCGCACTTCATATGAAGAACTGCCTACAGTCCTCTGCTGTACCAACTGAGCTATCAAGGTGCTGTCTACTACAAGTGCAGAAAACATAGTCGCTATGATGACATACTTTGCCCACACAACTAATCACCTACATGGTCAGTGAAAAGCCCAGCCCTACCTTCAGAGCACAGCTTCTCAGTTTGTACCCAACAGCCATTGCCAGGGACCCAGAACTGATAATCAGGACTTTAAGGCTGGGTGAATAAAAAAATTGAGGGTTGGAAAATAAAGTAGGAGTTATCTTGTTTGTGTTTTTAAATTTTGGAGGAGGTGACAGGTGAAGACAAGGCTTGCTTTGAGCGGGAGTTGAACCAGCAACCTTGGAATGACAGCACTTCATATGAGGAACTGCCTAAAGACCTGTGCTCTACCAACTGAGCTATCAAGGTGCTATCTACTACAAGTGCAGAAAACATAGTCGCTATGATGACATACTTTGCCCACACAACTAATCCACCTACATGGTCAGTGAAAAGCCCAGCCCTACCTTCAGAGCACAGCTTCTCAGTTTGTACCCAACAGTCATTGCCAGGGACCCAGAACTGATAATCAGGACTTTAAGGCTGGGTGATTAAAAAAATTGATGGTTGGAAAATAAAGTAGGAGTTATCTTGTGTGTTTTCAAATTTTGGAGGAGCTGACAGGTGAAGACAAGGCTTGCTTTGAGCGGGAGTTGAACCAGCGACCTTGGAATGAGAGCACTTCATATGAAGAACTGCCTACAGTCCTCTGCTCTACCAACTGAGCTATCAAGGTGCTATAAACAACCAGTGCAGAAAACATAGTGGCTATGATGACACACTTTGCCCACACAACTAATCCACCTACATGGTCAGTGAAAAGCCCAGCCCTACCTTCAGAGCACAGCTTCTCGGTTTGTACCCAACAGTCATTGCCAGGGACCCAGAACTGATAATCAGGACTTTTAGGCTGGTGAATAAAAAAATGATGGTTGGAAAATAAAGTAGGAGTTATGTTGTTTGTGTTTTTAAATTTTGGAGGAGCTGACAGGTGAAGACAAGGCTTGCTTTGAGCGGGAGTTGAACCAGCGACATTGGAATGAGAGCACTTCATATGAAGAACTGCCTACAGTCCTCTGCTCTACCAACTGAGCTATCAAGGTGCTATAAACAACCAGTGCAGAAAACATAGTGGCTATTATGACACACTTTGCCCACACAACTAATCCACCTACATGGTCAGTGAAAAGCCCAGCCCTACCTTCAGAGCACAGCTTCTCGGTTTGTACCCAACAGCCATTGCCAGGGACCCAGAACTGATAATCAGGACTTTTAGGCTGGGTGAATAAAAAATTGATGGTTGGAAAATAAAGTAGGAGTTATCTTGTTTGTGTTTTTCAATTTTGGAGGAGGAGACAGGTGAAGACAAGGCTTGCTTTGAGCGGGAGTTGAACCAGCTACCTTGGAATGACAGCACTTCATATGAGGAACTGCCTACAGACCTGTGCTCTACCAACTGAGCTATCAAGGTGCTGTCTACTACAAGTGCAGAAAACATAGTGGCTAGGATGACATACTTTGCCCACACAACTAATCCACCTACATGGTCAGTGAAAAGCCCAGCCCTACCTTCAGAGCACAGCTTCTCAGTTTGTACCCAACAGTCATTGCCAGGGACCCAGAACTGATAATCAGGACTTTTAGGCTGGGTGAATAAAAAATTGATGGTTGGAAAATAAAGTAGGAGTTATCTTGTTTGTGTTTTTAAATTTTGGAGGAGCTGACAGGTGAAGACAAGGCTTGCTTTGAGCGGGAGTTGAACCAGCGACCTTGGAATGACAGCACTTCATATGAGGAACTGCCTAAAGACCTGTGCTGTACCAACTGAGCTATCAAGGTGCTGTCTACTACAAGTGCAGAAAACATAGTCGCTATGATGACATACTTTGCCCACACAACTAGTACACCTACATGGTCAGTGAAAAGCCCAGCCCTACCTTCAGAGCACAGCTTCTCAGTTTGTACCCAACAGCCATTGCCAGGGACCCAGAACTGATAATCAGGACTTTTAGGCTGGGTGAATAAAAAATTGATGGTTTGAAAATAAAGTAGGAGTTATCTTGTTTGTGTTTTTAAATTTTGGAGGAGCTGACAGGTGAAGACAAGGCTTGCTTTGAGCGGGAGTTGAACCAGCGACCTTGGAATGACAGCACTTCATATGAGGAACTCCCTACAGTCCTCTGCTCTACCAACTGAGCTATCAAGGTGATGTCTATTACAAGTGCAGAAAACATAGTGGCTATGATGACACACTTTGCCCACACAACTAATCCACCTACATGGTCAGTTAAAAGCCCAGCCCTACCTTCAGAGCACAGCTTCTCAGTTTGTACCCAACAGTCATTGCCAGGGACCCAGAACTGATAATCAGGACTTTTAGGCTGGTGAATAAAAAATTGATGGTTGGAAAGTAAAGTAGGAGTTATCTTGTGTGTTTTTTCAAATATTGGAGGAGCTGACAGGTGAAGACAAGGCTTGCTTTGAGCGGGAGTTGAACCAGCGACCTTGGAATGACCGCACTTCATATGAGGAATTGCCTACAGTGGTCTGCTGTACCAACTGAGCTATCAAGGTGCTGTCTACTACAAGTGCAGAAAACATAGTCGCTATGATGACATACTTTGCCCACACAACTAATCACCTACATGGTCAGTGAAAAGCCCAGCCCTACCTTCAGAGCACAGCTTCTCAGTTTGTACCCAACAGCCATTGCCAGGGACCCAGAACTGATAATCAGGACTTTTAGGCTGGGTGAATAAAAAATTGATGGTTTGAAAATAAAGTAGGAGTTATCTTGTTTGTGTTTTTAAATTTTGGAGGAGCTGACAGGTGAAGACAAGGCTTGCTTTGAGCGGGAGTTGAACCAGCGACCTTGGAATGACAGCACTTCATATGAGGAACTCCCTACAGTCCTCTGCTCTACCAACTGAGCTATCAAGGTGATGTCTATTACAAGTGCAGAAAACATAGTGGCTATGATGACACACTTTGCCCACACAACTAATCCACCTACATGGTCAGTTAAAAGCCCAGCCCTACCTTCAGAGCACAGCTTCTCAGTTTGTACCCAACAGTCATTGCCAGGGACCCAGAACTGATAATCAGGACTTTTAGGCTGGTGAATAAAAAATTGATGGTTGGAAAGTAAAGTAGGAGTTATCTTGTGTGTTTTTTCAAATATTGGAGGAGCTGACAGGTGAAGACAAGGCTTGCTTTGAGCGGGAGTTGAACCAGCGACCTTGGAATGACCGCACTTCATATGAGGAATTGCCTACAGTGGTCTGCTGTACCAACTGAGCTATCAAGGTGCTGTCTACTACAAGTGCAGAAAACATAGTCGCTATGATGACATACTTTGCCCACACAACTAATCACCTACATGGTCAGTGAAAAGCCCAGCCCTACCTTCAGAGCACAGCTTCTCAGTTTGTACCCAACAGCCATTGCCAGGGACCCAGAACTGATAATCAGGACTTTAAGGCTGGGTGAATAAAAAAATTGAGGGTTGGAAAATAAAGTAGGAGTTATCTTGTTTGTGTTTTTAAATTTTGGAGGAGCTGACAGGTGAAGACAAGGCTTGCTTTGAGCGGGAGTTGAAACAGCAACCTTGGAATGACAGCACTTCATATGAGGAACTTCGTAAAGACCTGTGCTCTACCAACTGAGCTATCAAGGTGCTATCTACTACAAGTGCAGAAAACATAGTCGCTATGATGACATACTTTGCCCACACAACTAATCCACCTACATGGTCAGTGAAAAGCCCAGCCCTACCTTCAGAGCACAGCTTCTCAGTTTGTACCCAACAGTCATTGCCAGGGACCCAGAACTGATAATCAGGACTTTAAGGCTGGGTGAATAAAAAAATTGATGGTTGGAAAATAAAGTAGGAGTTATCTTGTGTGTTTTTTCAAATATTGGAGGAGCTGACAGGTGAAGACAAGGCTTGCTTTGAGCGGGAGTTGAACCAGCTACCTTGGAATGAGAGCACTTCATATGAAGAACTGCCTACAGTCCTCTGCTCTACCAACTGAGCTATCAAGGTGCTATAAACAACCAGTGCAGAAAACATAGTGGCTATGATGACACACTTTGCCCACACAACTAATCCACCTACATGGTCAGTGAAAAGCCCAGCCCTACCTTCAGAGCACAGCGTCTCAGTTTGTACCCAACAGTCATTGCCAGGGACCCAGAACTGATAATCAGGACTTTTAGGCTGGGTGAAAAAAAAAATTGATGGTTGGAAAATAAAGTAGGAGTTATCTTGTTTGTGTTTTTCAATTTTGGAGGAGGAGACAGGTGAAGACAAGGCTTGCTTTGAGCGGGAGTTGAACCAGCTACCTTGGAATGACTGCACTTCATATGAGGAACTGCCTACAGACCTGTGCTCCACCAACTGAGCTATCAAGGTGCTGTCTACTACAAGTGCAGAAAACATAGTGGCTAGGATGACATACTTTGCCCACACAACTAATCCACCTACATGGTCAGTGAAAAGCCCAGCCCTACCTTCAGAGCACAGCTTCTCAGTTTGTACCCAACAGTCATTGCCAGGGACCCAGAACTGATAATCAGGACTTTTAGGCTGGGTGAATAAAAAATTGATGGTTGGAAAATAAAGTAGGAGTTATCTTGTTTGTGTTTTTAAATTTTGGAGGAGCTGACAGGTGAAGACAAGGCTTGCTTTGAGCGGGAGTTGAACCAGCGACCTTGGAATGACCGCACTTCATATGAGGAATTGCCTACAGTGGTCTGCTGTACCAACTGAGCTATCAAGGTGCTGTCTACTACAAGTGCAGAAAACATAGTCGCTATGATGACATACTTTGCCCACACAACTAATCACCTACATGGTCAGTGAAAAGCCCAGCCCTACCTTCAGAGCACAGCTTCTCAGTTTGTACCCAACAGCCATTGCCAGGGACCCAGAACTGATAATCAGGACTTTAAGGCTGGGTGAATAAAAAAATTGATGGTTGGAAAATAAAGTAGGAGTTATCTTGTTTGTGTTTTTAAATTTTGGAGGAGCTGACAGGTGAAGACAAGGCTTGCTTTGAGCGGGAGTTGAACCAGCAACCTTGGAATGACAGCACTTCATATGAGGAACTGCCTAAAGACCTGTGCTCTACCAAATGAGCTATCAAGGTGCTATCTACTACAAGTGCAGAAAACATAGTCGCTATGATGACATACTTTGCCCACACAACTAATCCACCTACATGGTCAGTGAAAAGCCCAGCCCTACCTTCAGAGCACAGCTTCTCAGTTTGTACCCAACAGTCATTGCCAGGGACCCAGAACTGATAATCAGGACTTTAAGGCTGGGTGAATAAAAAAATTGATGGTTGGAAAATAAAGTAGGAGTTATCTTGTTTGTGTTTTTAAATTTTGGAGGAGCTGACAGGTGAAGACAAGGCTTGCTTTGAGCGGGAGTTGAACCAGCAACCTTGGAATGACAGCACTTCATATGAGGAACTGCCTAAAGACCTGTGCTCTACCAACTGAGCTATCAAGGTGCTATCTACTACAAGTGCAGAAAACATAGTCGCTATGATGACATACTTTGCCCACACAACTTATCCACCTACATGGTCAGTGAAAAGCCCAGCCCTACCTTCAGAGCACAGCTTCTCAGTTTGTACCCAACAGTCATTGCCAGGGACCCAGAACTGATAATCAGGACTTTAAGGCTGGGTGAATAAAAAAAATGATGGTTGGAAAATAAAGTAGGAGTTATCTTGTTTGTGTTTTTAAATTTTGGAGGAGCTGACAGGTGAAGACAAGGCTTGCTTTGAGCGGGAGTTGAACCAGCGACATTGGAATAACAGCACTTCATATGAGGAACTGCCTAAAGACCTGTGCTCTAACAACTGAGCTATCAAGGTGCTATCTACTACAAGTGCAGAAAACATAGTCGCTATGATGACATACTTTGCCCACACAACTAATCCACCTACATGGTCAGTGAAAGGCCCAGCCCTACCTTCAGAGCACAGCTTCTCAGTTTGTACCCAACAGTCATTGCCAGGGACCCAGAACTGATAATCAGGACTTTTAGGCTGGTGAATAAAAAAATGATGGTTGGAAAGTAAAGTAGGAGTTATCTTGTTTGTGTTTTTAAATTTTGGTGGAGCTGACAGGTAAAGACAAGGCTTGGTTTGAGTGGGAGTTGAACCAGCGACCTTGGAATGACAGCACTTCATATGAGGAAGTGCCTAAAGACCTGTGCTCTACCAACTGAGCTATCAAGGTGCTGTCTACTCCAGGTGCAGAAAACATAGTGGCTAGGATGACATACTTTGCCCACACAACTAATCCACCTACATGGTCAGTGAAAAGCCCAGCCCTACCTTCAGAGCACAGCTTCTCAGTTTGTACCCAACAGTCATTGCCAGGGACCCAGAACTGATAATCAGGACTTTAAGGCTGGGTGAATAAAAAAATTGATGGTTGGAAAATAAAGTAGGAGTTATCTTGTTTGTGTTTTTAAATTTTGGAGGAGCTGACAGGTGAAGACAAGGCTTGCTTTGAGCGGGAGTTGCACCAGCAACCTTGGAATGACAGCACTTCATATGAGGAACTGCCTAAAGACCTGTGCTCTACCAAATGAGCTATCAAGGTGCTATCTACTACAAGTGCAGAAAACATAGTCGCTATGATGACATACTTTGCCCACACAACTAATCCACCTACATGGTCAGTGAAAAGCCCAGCCCTACCTTCAGAGCACAGCTTCTCAGTTTGTACCCAACAGTCATTGCCAGGGACCCAGAACTGATAATCAGGACTTTAAGGCTGGGTGAATAAAAAAATTGATGGTTGGAAAATAAAGTAGGAGTTATCTTGTTTGTGTTTTTAAATTTTGGAGGAGCTGACAGGTGAAGACAAGGCTTGCTTTGAGCGGGAGTTGAACCAGGGATCTTGGAATGACAGCACTTCATATGAGGAACTGCCTAAAGACCTGTGCTCTACCAAATGAGCTATCAAGGTGCTATCTACTACAAGTGCAGAAAACATAGTCGCTATGATGACATACTTTGCCCACACAACTAATCCACCTACATGGTCAGTGAAAAGCCCAGCCCTACCTTCAGAGCACAGCTTCTCAGTTTGTACCCAACAGTCATTGCCAGGGACCCAGAACTGATAATCAGGACTTTAAGGCTGGGTGAATAAAAAAATTGATGGTTGGAAAATAAAGTAGGAGTTATCTTGTTTGTGTTTTTAAATTTTGGAGGAGCTGACAGGTGAAGACAAGGCTTGCTTTGAGCGGGAGTTGAACCAGCGACATTGGAATGACAGCACTTCATATGAGGAACTGCCTAAAGACCTGTGCTCTAACAACTGAGCTATCAAGGTGCTATCTACTACAAGTGCAGAAAACATAGTCGCTATGATGACATACTTTGCCCACACAACTAATCCACCTACATGGTCAGTGAAAGGCCCAGCCCTACCTTCAGAGCACAGCTTCTCAGTTTGTACCCAACAGTCATTGCCAGGGACCCAGAACTGATAATCAGGACTTTTAGGCTGGTGAATAAAAAAATGATGGTTGGAAAGTAAAGTAGGAGTTATCTTGTTTGTGTTTTTAAATTTTGGTGGAGCTGACAGGTAAAGACAAGGCTTGGTTTGAGTGGGAGTTGAACCAGCGACCTTGGAATGACAGCACTTCATATGAGGAAGTGCCTAAAGACCTGTGCTCTACCAACTGAGCTATCAAGGTGCTGTCTACTCCAGGTGCAGAAAACATAGTGGCTAGGATGACATACTTTGCCCACACAACTAATCCACCTACATGGTCAGTGAAAAGCCCAGCCCTACCTTCAGAGCACAGCTTCTCAGTTTGTACCCAACAGTCATTGCCAGGGACCCAGAACTGATAATCAGGACTTTTAGGCTGGGTGAATAAAAAATTGATGGTTGGAAAATTAAGCAGGAGTTATCTGGTTTGTGTTTTTAAATTTTGGAGGAGTTGACAGATGAAGACAAGGCTACCTGTCGTCCCCCGTGTTCCAGGGGCTCTCTGACTTCCATCCCCAAAGCCCAGGGGCCCTCTGATTGCCGTCCCTGTCCCCCCAGCCCAATTCATATCACCCTTCTCTCTCAGTTTTCTTCAGATATGCCCTATAACAGTGTGAGTAGTCATAAGATCCTTGAAAATACAGGCTCTCTGACATGGCAATCGGCATCAGCATCTATATTGCTTTGCCCCCCCCCCCCCCCCCACACACACACACACACACACGCACACACAACCGGGCCCCTGGACCCTTGGGCCCCTGGGCGCCGGCCCCACTGGCCCGGTCCGCAATACGGCCCTGGGGTCGAGCACTTTGTCATGTGATTCGTCTAAATATGTCTTTTTGAGTAACATTTCCATTACACAAAAATCTGCACTTTGCATATTCAAGCTGTATCTGTGCACACATGCACACATGCACACACAAACCATCAGCCTTTATTTGGCGACAGGAAACATCAGAGTGTGCTCTACTCTCTCTACCGCTCCCTCTCTCTCAAACATATACACACACTCACACACACACACAAACACACAAACTTATACACACACACACACACCAATAACCGTTACTTAGGGGTGTGGGGACATTTTCCATGTGGTTTGAGTGGTAAGGCTCTGCAATTGTGAAGTGTGAAAAAATATCTGCCAGATCTGCTCAATGTAAAGACTCAACTGGTTGAAGTGGTGTGTAAGTGAGACCTATTAGCCTGAGGCTTGCTGACAACTTGGGTAAAAGCTGGCGATCCCTCCTGTTGCCCTTTTTTTAGACAGACTCGCACAGCCTTGTCACGCCACTGAATAACTTTTCCATGAGCTCTGGTGAGTTGACGAGGCCGACTTAGAAAGCATGACATTGTTATAATTTTATTCCCCGAGTTCAAACAGAGTACTTCTTGTGCTCGAGAATCCCCGTCTTCCTTCTTTTGTTTCTTGCTTTCACAATTTTTCTTTGACATGGCCACCTCCTCTCTGACTCATCCTCCAGGTCTCTGGTGTATTGTGGCAAACCGCCGCCGAATTCGCTCCTTTTTATATCCTTTTTTCTCTCCTGAATCTCGCTTTCTCCCTCTTTCTATTTCCGTTTGCTCTCTTAAGCAAAGGTTAAATTGGAGTTCATTGAAGATAGTGTTAAATAATCCACATTTCCAATTAAATATGGATGTGCTAGCGTCTTTTATGAGAGAAAACACCATAAATAATACAGAATATGTCAATCTTGAGAGCTGGGATAGTTCAATATTTTTACAGATGATGATAGAAATATAGTGGGTTGAGTTTTCTGAGGTTTTTATAGGCAGCAGAAAAGACTTGTTATTAACTCACAGGAGCTAATTGTGTGGTTGGTGCTTGAGTTTAAAGAGACTGACAAAATGTCTGTGTGTCAGTGAGAGTGTGTTTCTGTGTGTGTGTGTTTTGAGCCGGCTCCTTTATAAAAGGTAACAGGTCCAGGAGGGCAACAGCAGCAGAGGAGTTTGACTTCTCCTGAACTTTTCTCTGAGATCATTTCAGTGGTCTCCGCAGCTCTTGAACGCGTCACAGAAATGTCATCTTCACTCTATGTGGTCTCTGTGACAGTCTGAGGGAAGGCCGCATTATGTGCTGTCTCTTCACTCCAGCAATTGTGTCATTTTTACCTCAAAAACCTGTTAGCTACGCAACAGTTTGGGCTTCTGGTGTCTTGCCTAATAGCCTGAAATAAATGCAAGTGGAACCGACATAAGCCTGTGTGTTTATCTGTTATTGTGAGTAGCTGGGAGCACGAGCTCTGGGTGTGTTTGTTCACCTTCATGTATGTGTTTTTCAAATGCTGTGGGTAGAGTGGATGTGCATGCCATGGATGTGGATAATATGTGTGTGTGCTCGCTGTGTGTTCTCATTTACTCTCTGTGTTTGTTTGGGGTTAAAAGCCCCTGTCTCTGAGGGTGTTAGCGGGGGTCATCTAAACCGGATCTGCAGCCGAATCGCTTGAGAGGCAGAGGCATAATCTGTGGCTGGCTTTGTGCTCCCAGATTAAAGTGATGATGTTTTAAACCTTTCTCACGGCCGCAATATGCCTTTGCTTCCCTTGCTGCTACCCGGAGTGTGTGTGTGTGTGACAAGAGCTGCACACGGCCGGGTTCAAGAAGAGGACACCTTCCTCGCTATTTATGAAGAGGGGAGCTTTAGCACATTATCTGAGTCGACGCACGCATGTTCTATTCATCTATTAATTTGCCATCAGCGTGGTGTAGCTATAGCGTATCTTCTCCTGTGTTTGAGGGGAAACAGCTGCTAATCCTAATCCCCCCGTCTCCCCCCACGGGATTCTGTCAAATCACAGGCCCTTTAAAAAGCTCTGGCTGGCTGGTTCCCGGGCTGGTTGAGTGGCTGGCTGACTGGCAGGCTCTAAATGAGAAGACAGAACACGCTTACCCACTCCTGTGACTGACATCCACGAGGCCTCCTGAAAGTATGTCACTTGTTTGTACAAGTACGCTCATCCACACACTAGAAATGTCCACTGCCTCTTCAAAGATGCTGTCCGACGCAGATAGATTTGTCCGAAATCATTTTCAGATCCAGAAAAGAATTAATACATTGTGAAACTAACTTGATATATTCAACCATTGTGAGGGAAACTGATTTGCTGATTGTACCTTCTCTACTTCTGCCAGTTTTTGAATGTATTGGCAAAATCCCATTCCTGTTAAGAGGCAACAATGCCTGTTAGTTTCTGAGGGAATAAAAGCTATGGGATCTTATTGTCACTACAACCTACAAAGTTTTCTGTACAGCCCATCTACGTATGGATGACAATACGTCCTCTTTTAATCGGCCATGTCCTTTTTGGGGGGCTGTCTGGGCTGTCCGGGTTTGTCCAGGGAAGCTTATAAAATCCCTCAAATGTCTGCGGTTTTGCACGTAAGTTTCGATTTTGTGTCACGTGGACTTACTGAGTTAAAAGCACGTAAAAGACACTCTATCCAACCCGAAAAAACTCAAAATTAACTTCGTGCAAATCCATGACTCCGCCCCTGCGTAGTTGTGTCCTCTTTTTGGGAAGTCAGAATATGGTCACCCTACATTATTACAAAAAGTGCGCCTTTACGTCCCTCCATCGTGACGTTTGGAGCCAAAATACTGTCTCAGTGGGTGCTGAGGTGCTGGGTACCCCCTCTTCTCAACACTTGAACACCACTAAGCATGATAACTAACTGCAAAACAATCTTCAGTTGTTGTTTAGGTTTCTTATTTGATGTATGTCCCATCTGTTTTAGAATGACAGGAGCGGGCTTTACAGGTTTTGGTTTTGGCCTCACTTGGGACAGCTGTTGTTCTGGCCATGATTTCATGCAGCCTGTGGTCCTGCCAAATAAGAAGGCATCCTCCCCCATCAAACCCCTTCTTTTCATCATTCTTATATCGATATATATTGTTTTTGTGTGTTCCATAAAGGTATCAATGGTTCCCCCTTTTCTACCCTGAGACTGGCTGTTATGCCTGAATGTTCTTTTCCCAGTATACAAGCACCGGGTGAGAATCCATTTATTGACGAAAGTATGTCCACCTCCGCTGTTGTGGGTGGTGATATGTCCCTTCTAGCTTGTCACCATGAGACTGTTTGAGTTAATCTATAATGAAACGCACCAAAACAATCACCTAACAAGTTATTAAGAATCTAACACACTGTATGTCAAAGGGTAAAAACATGAAGAACACAGAGTGATCAGGCCAGTTTAGATCCAGTGTTGTATTTGCAAAATAAAATGGTTTCCGACATGGTTTTCTTCAGTACCGTTGGTTCTTTTCATCCGACTTTATGTTCAGCTGAACATTTTCTAAGAAGTTTGGTTTGATTTTGTGTTTTTAATTTTGTTTGACATCACTCTGTCTGAAGGCTAAATATGTTACAGATAGAGGAAAGGATGTGACATTTCCACCCTGTCCATTTTGTATACAGTCAATACTCAGGACTAACTGTTATTTGGACCAGCCTCTGGTGGTGGTTTAAGGAACTGCAGTTTTATTGGCTTTATTTTTCGGCCTTTGAGGTTTGCTCCTTGAGTGAAAACTGTCGGCAAACTTTGCAGACCTGGAAGACCAAATTTGCGTAGTTGAATATCACGGCCAGATGAATAATAAACAGATGACAATGTGTTTCAAGTCAATAAGTCAAAATAAAATTAGATTTTTTTTTAAACTAACAGAACTCTTTCGAGTCGTCATCCCCCACATGCACCTATAATGTCAGTTTTTCATGCACCCAAAGAACTGCAAAACCAAGCAGCAGTTTCTCTTCCCTAAAACTCTAAGTCTGCAGCTCAATTTCCAACTTTTACTCCCTAGCACAAACACTAATATCTGTCTTGTCCATCAGCCGTTCTCACATCAGTCACTTTAGATAATGACTCTCAGCTGGGAGAGATGGCAAGCAGAGGGACTCTGAGGCTGAGCAAAGAGTATCAGCCGTCACACTCACGTCTTTCTCTCTTGTTCCAGGTCTATAAGGATGAGACGGGAATGAAGAGTGTGTGTGTAACTATCAGTCATCAGTGTGAGGATTAGAGACTGTCATCAGCAGCCATATGCCTCATATTACCCTCCTGATGACACTAGATGGAGAGAGAGAGGAGAGAGAGAGGAAGAGGAGTTGGAGGTGGCTCAGGGGAAGGATTACGCTGCTCTAAGATTTCAGGGTAAAAGTCAGGTAGAGAACAGAGCCTGTCAAAGTACAAGCTGATAAATGTAGAGACTCTTGGGGTGTAAATGTTCATGTATTCACACACATACAGATGCGCATAAGCCCTGCAGCAGGAGCACTTTTCACTACTAAGATCCTTCAACAGAAACACTAGTTCCTGCTGCAGAAAACTGTTTGTGCATGTATCCACAGACATGCATGAACAGTATATACAGCGCTCAACGGTTAAGCTGATATCCAGCTATGTTTTTGCCTGGAGCTACGCAGGCAGACTATTATTCAGTACAATGGACACACATGTGCTCTTCATTGATCACACAGAGAGAATAAGCATGTATGTGTGCGTATGTGCACGTCTGTGTGTGTACAGGAAGGGGAGGGGTCAGCGGTGACAGCAATACAGTAAGTGTTTCCATGTGCTCCTCACACTCACGGACACACACACAGACACACACATAGACAGTCGAGCATGCTGGCAAACTCATGTCAACAAAAACTCACACACAGAAACCGAAGCAGAGCTCGTGTGACTCATTAGGGGTGACTCAGGTCTTGACGGTAAAAATAACATCTGAAAACATTTACCGTATATTCATTAAACAGTTGGTCCAAGTCATGACGAGAAGCACTTTAATGGATTTCCATCAGATGCACCTTGCCAGCAACTACAACTGCTGCTGGTCAGAAAATGCACATGTTTCCAAACGCCTCTTCCTTCTTCTTCTTCGTCTTCTTCTTCCCATTTCCACTTCCTCATTTGACAAAGTTCCTGTGTGCTATCGTTGGGTTATTTCGGTGCATGCAAAGCACAATAATCTCAGAGAAATAGAAACTTTTGTGGGCTGAAATGTTCTACAATATTAATGCAAGGGCCCTCCTCTGGAGGCTTTACTTTATTCTGTTTAAACTGTACGTCCAAAGTCAGACTGCTCTCTGTCTCAAACGAGTCTCGTGATTCTTTTGAATCATGAACTTTTGCCTGTAAGATTAAGGAGTATTTTTGCAAAGCAGAAAAGAACCATTGATTAAAATTACAATAGAAGTTCAAAAAATAAAATTAAAAAAGCAGAATTTTCACAGTGGTCCACTTTAACTCTTCCAAAGGCAAACTGCATGTAACCCCTGCTTTAACGCAGTGTGGAAATGTCCAAATATGAGAAAAGCTTTTTGATTGATTGATCCACCATTTTTCAAGTTTTACTGTCACACACATTGATCAATAGACTACAAATCCTTATGCTCACAAATCTTTTCCTCTTTTTGTCCCTCTAAACCAGTGGTTCACAAGTCCAGTCCTTGAGGCCTACTGTTCTGCATGTTTTAGATGTTTCCCTGCTCCAACACACCTGATTCAAATGATCAGCTCGTTATCAAGCTCTGTAATGGCTTAATAACGAGCTGATTATTTGAATCAGGTGTGTTGGAGCAGGGAAACGTCCAAAACATGCAGGACAGTGGGCCTTGAGAACTAAACAGTGAATTTTACAGGATAAATAAAGAAATTAAAAGTATGTCACTTATCAGCATATTTTATGCTACAGTAGAAACATGGCTGGGCAGGATGGCGGTCTCCATGGACAGGGATCCACTCCTTATGTAGATGTAGAAGGCTCAAGGTTCTTTCTTTGGGCAGAAAATATTACTTTAGCTTGTCAAGTATATGGTAAAAAAAAAACCTATGTGGTGTATATCTTTGTAAAATCAAAACAAACTGTGAGTTCCTCACAGCAGCTTTAACCTCTCGATATCACGTTCTAAGTTTCTGTTTGATGCAATCTACAAACTACCCAAAATAACACAGGCACAGTGGTTTGCTAATTTAAAGACTTCAGTTTCAAAAATTTGATATCAACTTGTTGTTTTTGGATCAAGCAGTTCCCATATCTGGAAGTGTGGGCGAAGCTAAACAGAAAGGAGAGGTTCGCAAATGTTTATTCTTTGAACGTTTACAGAACCTAGCTTTGTCACCAGGTGTACGGATGCACAAAACTTAACATAATAGTGATGGTAGTTATTAGATGAAATTAAAATTGAATGTGAAGGAGCGCAGAAAAAGAAAAGGACCACAGGCTTGCAAAGGTTTTTCTTGTTAGGCTTTAACTCTGGTTTCTGCTGTTTTGATGGTTCCTCAAAGGCAAATTTCATTATTACTTTTTCTTTTGTTTGATCCCAGATGAGCGTTAGGGAAGTTACACTAAAGAAAAACAAATGAAACCCCAGAAAGCGTCAGTACTTTAGAAATATCATTTATAAAAAATGCTGATGAAAGCTGTAATTCTTTTATTATCATCCTTTATTGTCTGATTATGTTTTTATAGCTTCGAGTTGCGGAGAAACGAAGAGTTCGTACATCCTGGGTTTCCATATTTCGGTTCCAGTGAACTAACTTATACCAGAGCAGCTTAATTTCTGACTACTTTGTTTGTCATCTGATGACTGGAACACTACCGTCCTAGCATCATAACACTGGCAATAACTCTGAGACTGATTGAGCATGTTTGCCAGTTTTCCTCATCAGTGGCTGCAGCAGACCACCATGAAGATGGGAGGAGAGGCAGAGCGGCACTTAGCATGTAAAAAGACCATATGTGTGAGTATGAGTGTGGGCACAGGGAAATGATACGCCTGTGGTCCTGCCTGGGCTTATGTGAGTCTGTGGGAGGCAGGCAGAGTATGACTTTGTTCATACTGTAGTATATCTGTGTGTGTTTAAGAGCAAGGGTCTACACGTGTGGGTGTACACTTTTTCCATGGGCTGTCACTTGCACTGCTGCCGTTGAGTCTTTGGTAACCTCTCTCTCTCTCTCTCTCTCTCTCTCTCTCTCTCTCTCGCTCTCTGTATGTGTTTAAGCTTTTGTTTAATTTCTACTTCCTGTTTTATTCTTGGCCTAATCCAAACGCAACACAGCTGTGCAGTCAGCCAGAGAAACAGGGCTTGGGGGATGGGTTGCCAGGTCCTGGTGAGTGGAGCCATGCTCTACAACTGCTACCAACAGATGGAAGGGAAATGGGGTTACCAGCTTGGGCTTATCTTCTCTTTGTAGGCCAGACTGACCCCCTCCCACCATAACTCCCCCACCCCCTCATTTGATCATAACACTCTTCTTAAATCGCTATATTTTGGTGCGGGCCTTTTTTTTCTTCTTGAAGATTAATGATATGGGTTGTACGGAAGGCCAGATTGTCCAAAAAAGTTATCGATGTGTGAGATTGTGTATGGAGAATGATAATGGCCATTTCTTTTGTAAGAGCTTCTTGGCTGTAATTTTTATTTTTCAGAATAAATTCAGTGAAGGCCAAAGAAGTGGACCATCACCAAGATATCAGCCATCACTTTCAGCGCTATTTTTAACCTCAGGTTTCAATTTTTGGGTATCCCCATCTTGATTTGAAGGAGTAGGAATATCCATATTTAGGTGATGTCGAGATTCGCTTTCCTACAACTTTATGCTAGCTGCTCAAAGTCTAGAAGTAGATTTCCTCCTCTGGAAGGACACAATTTACTGCTTATATGGTTAGCCTATGTGGCTAAAGACAACGTGCAATTGCATGTGAATCTGCTGGTTCTCGTGAGTTCTCGCGATTCCTGCTGTCCATAATCCGCCACAAAATTTGTCTCACAAACGGATCCGGTAGGAACTGGCGTACGGCGAAAACCACCTCCGTTCCTGATGCGGTGGAAATCCCGGGTTAGTTGTTTCACTTTTTACTCCAAGAGGATACATCCATTTCTTATGTACACTTTGAAGTTCATAGTTAAACCAAAACATCAAAAATTAATAGTCTGGAATAAAAACACACAACTTTGAAAATTGTGGGTCCTTTCTCTTCATTATGAACATATATAGTGTCTTGTATTACTCTATTGTTGTCAAGCACTTTGCATTTTGTTTGGGGATGGAGACACTTGGAGAAACGTGTTCACTTAAAGCAATGGTGTCATACTTTTTTCCATATTTTAAAAACAAGTGTTAAATTAAACTGTTGGACATCAATCAGTTCTATGCATAAGCAAAGTTTCAGACTGCAAGGTCGATGTGCGTTGAAGTCATCCCCAGATGGGAGTACTGGGGGGCTCTGGATGAACTCGCACGAGAATTCAGCGAGACCACCATGAGATTTCGCTCAAATCGTGACATCAGCATCCAGTGAATCTCCTTAAAAGGGCAAATTTATCATTTTATAAAAACACAATACAATCTTGCTGCACGGCAACAGTGAGGGAGGCTTCCAGAATGCTGAAGGGCTGGAAATGAGGGATTTTCATTTGTTGAACTGTAAATTATGTAAAGCTGCTAAGAAACTATCAGGGGGACAGTATAAAGGCAAAAATAACCCAAAAATAAGCACAACGCCATCTCTTTAAAACATTCCCCTATAGTAACTGTTAGCTTGATAGTCTCAGTATGGACATCAGGTAAATAGTGACCAAAGTGAAGTAAAGTGTTGAAGAAAAGAGAGATTAGAGGAGACCAGATTTCACTCTTGGGTAAGGAAGTGAATTACACTCATAATTTTCGGTGCCCAAATCTCAGAAATACAAACCTTTGTTTCAGAGGGGCTGATCAACCAACATTTCCAATGAAAGATGAAATTTTGTCACAAACTTTAACATCAAACATGAATATTTTAAGATTTTTCTTCTCATGTTTCTGTCACTCTGACATCAGGTAGACAAGCACATCAACAAATCACAATATGTCATGAAAATTCACCATTCAAAGTACGAGTATTTCACCAAATCTTTGCTTCGTCTCACCTCGAGAGATGTTGGAAAAATCAACCATCCCATCGAAGAGCAGATGCTGAACATGTACAAACGAAGCTGTGTTTTGATATTTTAATATTTCAGATGGTTCTGAAGGTGTTTGTGTCTGTGATGAACAGGACAATCAAAAGCAAAGATACAGTCTCTCAGAGCTCCACTGAAGCCGTCCCTCTTCAGTCTAGCCTGCCTGTGGAGAGCTGAGGCATCTCTCTCTGGTCTCTCTCTCTCTCTCTCTTTCTCTCTTCTGCACAGCACAGCACATTCATTATTAATCTAGCAGTCTCTCCCTCCTTTTCAGCTCAGCCAATTACAGCCAGGCCCCTGCGACTGCTGCCTGTCTCATTTGACGCTGCACTGCTCGGCTTTGATGTCTCTATCAACACACAAGAGCCGAGGACTGAGTCTTAATAGAGCAGAAGGGGATTATGTGACTGCCTGCCTCTGGGGGTGGAACATTTTTTTTTTAAATATATAAAATACTGTATATGTTTAATTCATACTTTATTTTATTATCAGGAGACTTTGGCTCAGGCTTTAGTCAGGGTCTTGCCACTCTCTGCTCTCCTATCACAGTGACATGGTCCTTAATCCTGTTACTCCTTCATTTGGGGAGTCGCACAAGCCAGCAAGTGGAGCGGGCTCCTCCACCCCAGGCCTTGTGCTCCTCCCTTCTGGGCTGGTAGCCTTTCCTTCCTCTGCTCATTTCATGTGGAGAACGCCTTCATTAAGCAGCAGCAGCAACAGCATACAAGATCAAGCCTTTAGCTCAGAAATGATGTTTTTTTTAAACCACAGTTCGGGTCAAATCGCTCAGGAAATGAAAATGTACCTTTAGCCGGCGTACATATCAACACAAAAAGTCACCAAACCACAGAGGTGAAAGCGCCACAGACAAACTCAGCATAAAATTCAACAGATGTATATTCTTTTTTTCAGCCACTAGACTGCAACCAGTGTGTTTTAAGTAGGCTTTTCGCCCTCAGTTGAACTTTTAATAGTAATAATCCCTCCATCACATCCCTAACTCAGGTCCCACCCGCTATTTGCAGCACTGACCTTTAAAGCAGGAAGTGACTGTTAACACAGCCCCAGCAGCTGCAACGACGACGACGGCAACCTGCTTTACAGCATTTTCAACATCAACCACAGCAGACGGGCAAAAACATTTTCCTCCCTGCCTGGCTGGCTCGCTGCTCAAAAACTCCACCTCAAACTTTGAAGTAATGACCTCAGCTGTGGTGTCAAGTGAAAGACCTCACTGGACACCTCGTTCGATGACAACTGCATCATTTTTCACTCCATTATTTCCAACAGTGGAGGGAGAACATTACATAAACCCTCTGATGTAATTTTCTGACTCAAAGCACCGGGGAACCCCACGCAGAACACTCAGAGCTGGTTTCTTTAAGAAAAGACAACATTGCATACATTTATTAGGGATGGACGCCAATTCCAATACATGCAAATCACCATTGTCCTTTATATGTAGTGTTGACATTATTGCAAACACTTGTCTCCCTGCTGTTTTGTGTATTATATTTTTATTATCTTAGGATAAAAAAAACATTAACAATTACATGGGATGCCTTGTTCTGCATAACTTAACGTATACACAGTGGGAACAGGAATGGCAATGCTTTAGACATCATCACAGCCTCTTCATAAACCCCCGCCCACCCCCAACCCACTGCCCGCATGCAGTTTGCACTGCACAAAGACCAAAAGTCACGTGAGACAGCCTGCAAAGAGCACAAGAAGCATTCACAGTAAAGGAGGAGAGGAAGGAGGAGAGGATGGAAGGGGGCAGGAGGTGGGAGGGTAAAAGATGAGAGGAGAAAGGAGGGAGGAGGAGGAGAAGAGAGGGAGTGAAACAAAGTGACTGTAGCACTGGCCTTGGTTTAGACAGGAGAAGGAGCAGCATAGTCCTAGTATTTCATTCTAACTTCTCCCACACTTCAACTCCCGTCTCCTGATTGTGGTACTCATTGTCTTTGACACAAAAAAACTTTTATATATGCATGTATATATGTATATATGTATATACATATACGTATGTATATATATAAATACATTTTTATAGCTACAGCACCTTTTCCCATGGGGCAACAGTGTCAATACCTTGCACATGGTACATGGCCGTGCCAAAGAAAAAAAGAAAAATAAAAAAAACAATATATTGGTCAGGATATTTATCTTTTTTTCCCTAAAATTGGCATTTGACAAGATGATATTCTATTGCCGTCTGGGGGAGGGAAGGGACAAAGGTTCTTCTTTTGAGTTTATATTCAAGTTTTCTCCTTTTTTCTGGTGTATAATTTCTTCTTTCCTGTTTTAAAAAGAGTTCACACTTTTGTGATTTGCGTGTGCTGCTCTTCATCAAAAGGTTCATTTTCCGGATCAGAGTCAGTGGTGTCAGAGTATCGATAATGGTCTGGCTCATTGTCGCTAACGTCCGGGGTGACGGATGTCGAAGTGCTTGCTTCGGAATTTGAAGGCTCCTCCACGGTTTTTGTAAAATACAACTTCACCTGGAAACAAAGAGAGAGAGAACACCGATCTCAGTCTGCAGAATAAAAACCAATCCCTGATATGTCTCTTTAAATGTTTACAAACAAGGACATCCAGATTTAGCCGTTACCTTGAAGTTTGGCGAGAAGTAGCGGTTCGCCTTATCCTTATTGGCCTTGTCCAAGTCATTCTTTGTGAGCGTCAGGATGAGGTAGTCCCTGTCCCGGTCGCTTTCCCTGCCGCTTTCCCTACAGCTGTCCCTGCACTCGGCGCTTTGCGGCTGGCCCTGGCCCGGTGCCGGTACCCCCTGCTGGCTCTCTGCATTGTTCACTGCTCCGTTCTCCATCTTGTCCGCACTCTCCTCTGGTCCGGGGATGAAGAAGGTGTTCACCCAGAAGTGAAACATTTTGTCCTGGAGGGCGGAGGTGGAGAGAGGGGAGATGGTGTGAGAGGTAAGTGTGTAAAAGGAGCGATCAGATTCAAACACAGAGGATTACATTTATGTACAGGCTACTTTCCATTTCTGATTTATCCCACAGCTTATCTATAAGGTGCTGCGTTTAACTGATCTTGCAGACTATAGAGCATCTTTTTCTTTTGGGAGAGGATGGATTATTGATATTAAAGGTGGATCAATAATCAGTTTTGGACGATTATTGGGACCAGTATCCACACAACTGTTTCAGTTCTAATCAAACATCAGCAAAAGCAGAGTTTTCTGTTGAAGTTTATTCCAAAATCTCAATTTAATCAAAGTTTTTCACTCTTACTGTCAACACTTCTAAGTTTTGGTTTCTTAATATCAGTCATCGGTCTCATGGACTATGACTGATCAATATCAGCTCTGAAAAACCGATGTTGGTTAACCCCTGACAATTATGGCTCATCTAGCTGCTTATGAGAGGCTGACACAAGTTCAAACAAAACACGTCTACAAGGGTCTCTTTCCAGCTGGGGTAGCAGTAGCTCTAACTTAGAGGGAAATTTCCCACTTAAAAACACTCTAAGGAGCATCTCCTAAATAATGGGCTAATTTGTAACAGGTTAGTCACATGACCAAGTAAAATAAAAAACGGCCACTCCAGAGAGGCAGAGTCTCTAAAATAAAGACAGCGCAACAATTTCAAAATAACGTTCACAAGCCTGGAATTGCAAAGACTTGAAGGATTTCATCGCCTACAGTCCATCTTATTTTTGAAAGATCAGAGCATCACTGTACAAAAGGCTTAAAACCAATACTGGATAGCAAAGATCTATCTGCAGGCCCTCAGGCAGCACTGCATCAAAAAAGACAGACATGACTCAGAAGTGGAAATCACAGCACGGGCTTAAAATCACTTTAAAAAGTTATTGCCTTTGGACAGTTTGTTGCCACATCTATATTTGCCAGTTAAAAACTGCCCCATGCCCAAAAGAGGACCCACGGATGAAAAGAAATGCAACAGAAATGCTGTCTGCTTCTCTGAACCCAAAGTGAGAAACTATCTTCTGGTTTGAAGAGTCAACATTGGACTTTCTTTTTGGACGTCATGGACAACCAATCCTCCACTCCAGAGAGAAAAGAGACCACCTGGCTCTTTATCAGCACACAGTTTAAAAACCAGCATAAGTGATGGTACGTGAATGCATTAGTGCCTGTGTAGCTTACACATCTGGGAAGGTGTCATCAACACTGAATGATATAAGCGACACATGATGCCACCGAGACAATGCCTTTAGAGAAGACCTTCTGTATCAAATGTATTAAGCACATTCAGACAACAACATGGCTCAGTAGTAGAGGAGTCCACTTGCTTAACTGGTCTGATTGCAGTGTCGCCGACAACATCTGACATATCACAAAATGAAAAACACAACAGAAGAGACTCCTAACTATTGAAGTTTGATATAAAACTGGAGCACGGATTCACATTCAAAACTCCAGAAACTTGGTCGTCTCAGTTCCCAAACGTTAACAGAGTGTTGCTGAAAGACAAGCTGATGCAACACAGTGTTAAACATTTTCTTCAACACATTGCCAGAATTAAATGTATGAGTATTTTTCCCTCTGTGCCTTTTTTTCTGTGGGGTCTGGGGGGTTCTCCTCTCTGAAATCTATTTTTATCATATCACATAGGGCTGGGCGATAAACTGAAAATTTACTGATACTGAAATTTACGTCAATAACCTACGTCATTTTGCCCATTTCAATATATTTGGTGTCAAAAAATAAAATAAATTTAAGTTGGTTTTGGATGCGTGTAGGTAGGCTATGATCTCATGTCCCTTTAAGACACCGTCCTACGTCGATACATGACTCCACCCCATCCAGTCCTTAATAAAGAGGGAAAAACAGGTGAGAAGATGGACGACGGTTCAAAAGTTGTAGCGGCTGAAGTAGATGAAGTTTATGTGGGAGGGGGTGAGCAGCTTGTGGAGTAGTTATCTTCCATTTGTCGTTATCGAGATGAACTGCTTAATATATTGTGATATTGATTTGAAGCCATATCGCCCAGCCCTACATCAGCTATTTAAACATAGCGGGGGTTCACTGTATTTAGCTTCATTACAGTTGGAAACATTCTGGTGACTGTGCCAATGCCATCACCCTTAGGTCTGAATTCAGTCATCGACATGTCGAGCTGTTTACATGACCTGACTGTGGCCCATCAGCCTACCAGAGGACTCATCTGTGTTTGTCTCCCTCTCACTCAGTGGATATTTCTGCCAATAAAGTGTTTTCACAGTGTTGCCTTTGATCATCAATATTTCAACGACAATACTTGAGCTTTGAGAGGGCATTAATTAAACTAATGACTGCATGTAAGATGTTTAGACTCCTACTGTGCTGGAGAGAACAAGGCAGACAGACTCAGACAACTAAATATGGAAATAAGCGCTTAAGTGCATTTGAGTTCTTGCACAAACAAAGATAGAGAAGCCCTTGTCTGTAGCTCAAAACACACAAACTAAAACTTCTTCAAGTTCATCAATCACTGCCCTACACTCTTTATTCTAGGTTATAATGAAGTCTTCATTGTTTTCATGAAGAATGAATCGTAACACAACATGGCAATTCAGGACAGCACGTTATGTTAGCATCAGCAACCCTGTGGTTTACGCGTCAGGAGTGTGAAAGCATTTTTAAACTCGAAAATGAAAGCAGCCCAACGGCCGATTGCAATATTAGCGATAAGATAGTTTGGTGGGGCGGTAGTAGCAGAACTGTGTTTAGTAAAACCACTCTGATGCATCTATAAAAAGCCAAAGAGGGGCCCGCTCTGAACTGAAACTCTCTTCGTGTGCGCGAACATCAGCAACATTTTGAGCTTTTTATACAACACCTATGACCCAAAGATTGGTGCATTCACTAAAGCGTCAAGAAGGAAAGGCTGCTACACCACAGCAAAAAATTCTGGACTGTAATAGGAAGGAGAAATATCCTCAAGAGCAAAAAGGAGAAAAAAATACAGAGGACATCGATGAATTCATTGCTTTGGACAGCCGGCTCATCTCACTACATCCTGACATCTCAACACAACACTTCAGAGCTTAACAGCAGAGTTAGTGACAACAGAGGAGATAATTAAAAACATGATGTAACTGCTGTTTGATAATGAACATGGACTGATCGCTACCCTTTCCTCTTTTAAGGTGTCACAGGTCAGGTGACTACAGTATCAGCTGACCTGACAAGAAAAGACATTGTGAGGAGAAGCTAAAATGATTATATGCTAGTTTGAGAGCAATGCTAGCTGAACTGTGTTAGTTTTGGAGAAACAAGAAACAGCAAAGAAAAAAAAAAAAAAAAAAAAAAAAAAAAAAAACATAATGTGCATTTTTATTTATCTTTCTAGGCAAAAACAACTGACGCTCCTGGACACTCAAATTTATCTTTTAATCAGATTAGGATTTAGGCCGAAAAAAGCTGAGTGGATATCACTACTGTATGTAAGTGAACCTGTTTGATGATAAATCTAGATCGGATTCAGGTTGTGATTTACCAGCATTATATTTCAAAACGGAAACCCCTGGTATCCAATTGTATGGCGGACAAAAAATGCCATCACTGCAAAAAAAAAAAAAAGAAACCGAAACCGAAGCCCGCAGCAAATAAAAAAAAGAAGTGGTGCAAAAAAAAAAAAAAAAAAAAAGCTACAACAGAAGTTAACTACGCAAAAAAGTGGTAGTCTGGAATAAAACTACATCAATAGTGATGATGCACCGGTGTTTTAGGATCTAGCCACAGAAGACGATGGCGAGAAGACGAGCAAAGAAGTTAGTGGAGAGGTTATTTTTTAATTTCACTTCGTTAACTTTTCAATGTGTCATTTGGTTAGGCCATGATGCGCCTGAGTCAATATGAAGTTAAACTGGAGGATGCCGGTGTAGTGTTAGCTTCGGCTAACACGGGAAACCCACTATGCCCCGAAAGACCACCCACGAGAGGACAATCAAGTTCGGTTGCTATAGTAGGCAGACCCCTCACTTTTTTTCATTATTGGTCCCCGGCAGCTCACTTCCATTGTGGCTTTTTTTATTTGCTTCCTTATATTTTCACAGTAACAGTGTTGTTTTCGTTGACAAAAATATTTCGTTAACGTCAACGAAAACAACACTGCAGAATATATATTTAGCGTTTGACTGACGAAAGGCTCATGAATTTTGCAATGCTGTTTGTCGTCCACCACTAACGTTTTCGTCTAGTCTCATCTCGTCAACGTAAACGCAAATTCGTCTCTTCACATTTCAGTCATCTAAGACTTATGTTTAGCTCGTCTTTTTCCATCAGTAACTTCCGTTGTGGCTTCTTTTTTTTTTTTTTTTGCATTCTTCTTCATTTGCAGCAGTGGCGGTTCTCGGCCACCGTACAACTGAGAGAGCAAATAAGTGATTCTTTTTCTTCGACCAAACAACTGCATGAAAACATCCAAAGTGGACTCTTATTTAATGACCAGCAGAATTTTTCGGAGTGACAAACAAACTCATGAAGGCCCCAAAAGTCAACAGCACTAACCTTCTTCATCATCTTATTCTGTTTATGGAAGAACTCCACTTTGATGTCTCCGCAGACGGGCAGCGGCTGGGGGAATTCGAAAAACATGTGCTTGTCCTCGCGCCGCGTGTGAGCAGGGTTTGACGTGTGAATCTTGACTTTCAACTGGTACACCACAAACTGGGGATCTGCAAAAGAAGTGTAAACGTTGCACAGAGAGGGGGGAGGAGGGGGGGGGGGCAAAGATCGTGAGATTTGTAAGGGGACGAGACAGAAAACACAAAATAAGAAAGGTGAGTTAGAAAAAAAAGCAAGAGAGCAAGACGGGGTACAAGTGTTATTATATGAGTTTGGAAGAAAAAATAAAAAAGCACAGCACACCATCACCTCCCCGAAACAGTGAGAGCAAAAATACTGTATTAAAATTAGACAGGGAGAGTAGCAGACCACAAAACCTGACACCCAAAGAGACCCACAACCCAAAGAGACCCGCAACCAGAGACACGGGACCCTATTCTGATAGACAGTCAAAGTTCGGTCTTGGACAAAGCCAACATGTTGCATTTAATAAATCGAGTTTTGACCCTTTCTTTAGTCTGTCAGGGTGGGTTTGGAGATGACATCATATGCCTGGAAGCTAGTCCTGTCCTGCTCGGCTACATGTCTACCCTCAGACTGCTCCTGCCTGGTGGATCTCTGGGGCCATATAAAAGCAAATCAGTGAAATCATAACAACAATAATGGATTAAAAGGCTCATTTACCCCAGTGCCAATTCCCTTTCTTGAAGCCCTGAGGGGTCGGCTCGCTCCTGTTTTTAACGGTACTGTCCCCTTAGAAAGAGAGAAGGAGATTATCACAAACAGAGCAACCTGGCCGGCCTGTCAGGGGGCTCGACAGCACAGCAGGCACACAGACACAAGAGCTCTACAGAGAGATATACAGATAGGTGCATTTATGTCGCTTTTTCTTATGAACATCATATGACGCTTGAACTATTGTGTGCATCTTTGACATGTGACGCAGGACCTGATGTGTGTGATGCACAAAAAGGGAACAAAGGGGGAACTTGGGAGATCACACACAATCATGTACCGCCAAGAGATATGTGCAGTGTTGAGTCAGAGTAACGGACGTATCAAGGAGACGTCTGCTTTTTTTTGTATGAACAAGGTGAGCTCAAACCTGAGGCTAAAAGAGCATGGCGTGCGTGTATGTGTGTGTGCGTGGAAGACGTCAAACTCAGAATAGGGCCTTTTTGATAAAAAAAAAGGAGAGTTAAAGGGAAACAGGAAGATCAATACAGTCATGTTAGGATGAAAAAAGCCACAGAAATGACAGAGGAGAGGCATTTTTTCTAGACAACATTAAACAGACAGATTAAGACACAAGAGAAGCACAGCATAGAGTGACCCAGGCATCTTTAAGCAGAAAAGCTCAAGCTAAGAGGCTGCTGATACAAGTTTGAAGACATGGTATTGACATTTTTATAAGTGACCATATTCATACATTTCAGCATTATTATTCACATCAACCCTAAACTTACGATCTAACAGGATCTTTGAGTTTCCAGACTCATTATTAAATTGATCATAGCCAGGGATGCACAATATTGTCCCCACAAAACCAGCCTTGGCAGATAACGGCTAAAAAAGTTAACAGCAGCATCAACAGATTTACACATTTCAGACAATATGTGCTGCGAATAAGGTGGTTCTTTATCACTATGAATGCACAATGTCAGTTTACACCCATACAAAAAGATGTCAGATGTATGGAAGTATTTCGAAGTGTTGGAAAAAGACAGGAGACACATTTGTATATGACCGTCACAATAAGAATAACATAATTCCGGTACAGGAGAGACTTTGTGTTCTTTACTACAAAACAAAAAGTGTGGATAGAGCTGTATCAGCCAAAATACGCTTGAAATATCAGCATCTTGGGAATCGCCAAAACATTCATATTGTGCATCCCTGGTTTCAGCCCACTTTTAAATAAATCAAATCCAGTTCTGGGTCTAACTGCCTCGAGCCTGTATCTCTCAGGAGATCACAAATGCCACTGTTAGCATTCACAGTGCTGTACGACAAAGAAAGCAGGTGGATATTCACCGTTCGGAAACTGAAACTAACCGCAGAGGCTTATTAACACATGAGAACTGCGAAAGAGAAACCGCTGGCTGTAGTGTTCGATTCCTATTCCAGTCTGCTTTCACTGCTGAGATCAGTATTCAACGACCGGTAGACAACTAAGCCTGACTTTCTAAAGATGATAACTCACTCACAGGAAGCTCCAATTTGAAATTTTGCTGCACGTACGACTCCTTACTTCACTATGCAAAGAATTGAAGGGGCTGAATTTCGGTTTCCACGTCACCGTGATTCACCAAGTTGTTTTGGAAGTGGGCACAGCATAAGTTGGCCACAGTGTAAGCAGCAACAACAGGACTTAATCAATAAGAACCTGCCCCCCTGTTAGTCAAAAGGTCCAAAAATACTGCGGCAAAATCCAGCCACACTTGAACCCCCCCTACCCACCCCTCTGCACAGGACTCTACCCGCAGATGACCCTCTGTGTTTCTGCGGAGCTAAAGCGGAGCGTGGGTGAGCCCTACAGTGCACAGCACACATCCAAGGCTCTCGCTCGCTGCCGTTTGAACAGCGGTGTGCATTGCCTACGCCCTAGTTTGGAGTTGAACATAAGCGTGACTCACTGCAGGTGCCCCCGCTGAACATGGGGAGAGTCTCGAACACCATTTTGTGGAAGAGGAGTGCCACCGGCTTATACTCCAGCTGGTTCTTCAGTAGGTAGCTGTAATAGTAGACATAGCGGCGCTGGCTCGGGATCGTTACTCCCTACAATGACAGAAACAATAATTAAGAACATTTCTTCTATATTGAACGAATATCAGCAGATTTTAAACGCGGCCCTGGGAAAATAGTTATCATTTTTCAACCAATTGTTTAAGGGCATTAAACATTCAGTCGCTGCCCGATTTGGAACGGTTTCTCTGATGTAACAGCCATTAATTCTCAAGATTAACATCTCACCTTCTTGTCCCTTGTCCTGACTTCACCGTAAAAGTCTAGCGCTTCTTGGGCCTCCAGGAATTTGCCCCGATGGAGGAGATAGGCGCAGATCATAACTCCGGTGCGGCCCTTCCCGGCCTTACAGTGGATGGCTGCCACGTGATTGTCATCCTCGCTGAGCCACTGGTCCAGGTCTTCACAAAACGGCTTAATTAGCTCCAGCTGAGGAGGGTTGTGGTCTTCGAAGGGGTACTGTGCAACTGATGCGTGACGGGATGCAGGCCCACGCAAAGTTGTAACCAGAGAGGAGAGAGGGAGAAGAAAAAAAAAGAGGAGAGAAATATGGACAGGTCAGAGGAGAGGGAGGAGTAGATTTTGATCGATCCTTTGTGTCATCACTTTTATGAAGGAAAGCGTCCAAAGAGCACGTGAAGCCGCCTACCTCTGCAGTTAAATTTGGCAGCATCGTAGTGTCTCTCGGCGCAGCTGAAACGGGAAGAACGAAATCCAGTTAGCAGCCACAGAGAGAGGAAGTTATTAAATAAACAAAAGAGCGGCTCAGGTAGGGAGAAAATGTGGGACACTTACAGGTTGTAGATTTTGTAATGGTTTTTATGCTTTGAATCCAAAAACCTGTTCGCAGCAGGGAACAAAACCACAAAGGAAATTCAATTTATTACAAAATGTGTTTTTGTAATCGAAGAAATATATTCTGTGATGCATTTTTCATCTGTATACGAGCTCAAAGCAAACAGCACTCACCGTACTACATCGTCTATATTGTTTCTGTACACGCCTTCGAGTCTCTCTGCTGGAAAGCCCATAGCAATGATGTTTGGGTAGATATCTGTTCAAGCAGGGGTTAAGGAAACGTGACAGAGGTCGAGCTTTCCTTATGAAGTTCAGTTCTTTACACACAAGACTCTACCATTAGGGCACAATTACAAGAACGCAGAGATGAGCAGCAAAAAAAATCCAGCCTATGTCAATATGAGGGTGGCACAGTGGTCACGGATAGATGGGAGCAGAGATCAGTGTGTGTGTGTGTGTGTGTATTTGTGTTTATGTGTGTTGTGACAGATGGCCTTGACAGTGAGAAGCAGGCAGAGAGGACGGGAGTTAACAGCACTCCTGCATGAGCCAGGCCCACATGTGGGTGCACGAGGAGACTCCGCTCCATGACCTGCATTTATTTTTAGAGCCCAAAGTTATATTGGGCTGATCGCAAACGTTCAGCTTATCTCTCCTCCGAGCTCCGCCGGACCAATTTGAATATCTACCAGACCAGTCAACGCGGAGACACGCAGGTATTAAGAAAAAAATGTAAAAAGAGGTACCTCCAAACAAGACATCCTTTGTGTTTGAATTTGTGAGTCGAAGTTAGGACAACAGAAACATTATTACGAACCACAAACACCAGATTCCACGATAAGTTTAACTTCCTCCATCTGGCTCCACCTGGCTACCTTCACCATCCAACATGAAACAGGGCTCTCTGTAACGGCGAGGGGGCTGTGATGGAAAATGCATGCTGCCATACATCCAACCTTTAAGGCACACATCAGCTTCATGTTGCAGTGAAAAGAATAACTTGAAGGTGGCTTGTGTGTCTTTGAGGCTCGGCTGCGACGCCTACCTGTAACTGAAGTCTGCCTGTCACCATAAGCCGTGGGATTTCACACTTTAACCACTGACTAAAGGGCAGCCTTTTCTTACACTTCCTGTGCCACGGTGTCAAAAATAGAAGAGCCGAATAATTCTAATTGGATGTGTCTGTTTCGTTTTTTGAGCGGGCCTTATTTTTCCGAGAGTCAAATCACTTTTTTACTGGTCAGAATAATTTGACACACGGATCTGACAACTGTGGCGAGAAAGCCGGCTCTGTGCACAACTTCGCCGGTGCGAGCCGAAGAGGAAAGACATCGCAAATTTAGCGAACTTAATAAATTTCAATAAAACTGTAACCTAATGATCCTGAATAGTGCAGGAAAATCCGTTTTGAACGTTACTATAGGACAAAAATGATATTTTATAGCAAGTATCTGCATATGCAAACACATGAGAACAACCAAACAAACATAGAAAGGATAGACAGGGATACCGGTCAGTTACGTGCATGCACAGAGTTGATGCAATTAAAAATATTTGGCTGCAAAAATGAACCTAGAAGTGCATTAAATAAAAGCAGTACTACAGCAAAGGTGAGTTTCACACATGCATGAATTCAACAAAGCCTATAACAAATTTATAGTATTATTTGCACACTACCAGCTACCTTCCTGTAGTAACCTTTCTGTACATACTGTACCAAAAACCCATCCATTAATGCCTCAAAGACCTAATTAGGAGCCAAGTAGAGGTTTTCTGTGCTACTTGATGGGCTACTTTAACCCTGGGACCTAATGCCGAAAAGATCCCAGTCTGACTATTATAAGTGTTTTTAAAAAGCTCCACAGCTCCCAAGAGAGCCTCAACCCAGGGCATGGGGGGCTTGGACTCTGCAGCTGGGAGGAAATGCACATACGGGACCCCCTGACGGAAGCTCCATGTAGGAGGGAAAGAAGAAAAAAAAAAAAAAAAAAAAAAAAAGAGAAAATCTGCCGTTTCAGGCACGCCTTTTCTTTAAAGCCAGCCCTGCCTGAGCTCTATGCAAACGCCAAATCCACAACTGAGAGCAGGAGAGAGAGGGTGGGGGGGAAAGGGAGAGTGGGAACCGGCAAGCGCTGAGCAAGGAGGGGGTGGGGGAGGACAGGAAAGGAGGAGAGCAGAGGAAAGGGGGCAAGCAGAGGGAGGGAGTATTAAGAGTGGGAGTAGTAAAGAAAAAGAGCAAAGGAGAGGTGGTGGGTTGAGAGGGTAAGAGAGGGAGAGAGCACTCAGACAGCAAAGCTGATACAAGATCACTGGCAACTCTATTTTAAGGGCAATTCCCAGAACTGTGATACTGCATTACATAACTGCAGAGAGCCCATATTGTTTTTAGACACCGTGCCAAAAATGATAAAAGGGATGGTTTGAAAGGGCCCACATCTGAACAAGATGAGACTGTAAGCCCAAAGAAAGATGCAAGTTTAGTGTGGTGAGCCCCCTTCACACCTGCACAAAGCTAGAGTCACCCAGAGACGTGCCACAAGCTTCACCACGAACTAAAACCAAGCGAGACGCACCGTGATGTTTCAGCATCTGCAGTCACACATACATCCCAGCTGATGGTTCAGCCTTTAAAATCAGGTCAATATGCTATCTATGGAGGCAGTATCAATAAAAGGGTCTGCACATTAGTTTAACATTCAACGAGAACTCAGGCAAGCACTCAGAAGTGATATCAGCTTCATGCTACAAACTGATAACCAGAGCAAATTAAGTCCATAAATACAATGACCTGTTTAATTTTTCACAAGCTGCACAGAACGAGACAGGGCTGCAACTTCCAACCATTATAATTATCGATTAAGCTGCTCAATTCCTTCCTCGTTCGGTCACGTGATTGTCCGGTCAATAAAAAATATTGAAATAGATAAAGAAATGCAGTTTAGGATGACATCTCCAAAATGTCTTACTGTACCCAACATATTTCATTTTCTTTGACAAATCTAGACAAAGAAAGGAAAAAAATCAAATACTTGTGTCTCAATTGCAGAAACTCATGACAGGAAATCTTCTGCATAGAAAAAAGGATAATCAAAACTGTTGTAGTTGGAGTTTGTGGCATCACTTTTAGACTATCTTTGTGCTCTGAAACTTTAAATATGATTGAGACAAAAAGGGCAGAAAATGGGGTTACACATCCCACTGCTATGTCATACGAATTACAGCAATGACCTAATCTCTGCACTGATACACATTATTGTTATCACATTATTTTGCATCGATTTGACTTTGACCAACCGAGTCTAGCCTATCACAAGCCCAACAAGTAAAGATACCAACTTGAGTAACCAGACACACTGTGCTGAGGAACCAGGTCAAATATTATCAGTGGTAATAGATGAGGAACAAGTCATGCACAAGGGCCAGAAATAGCAATACTTTAACCTGGAAATCATTTTATCTCCATAGATAAAAAGGGAGCAGGAAATGTTAATTAAATTTTACAGATTTGTTGCCATCCATCAGTGAATGCTCTGCCATAGAGGACACAAATGAGGTGAGCTTTTAACAGGGATACTAAAACTGAAACCACTTTCTGTCAGCATATCATCCATCCTAAAAACCCATCATCTTGCTTTTAATATAGCTCCTAAAAAAGATTATCTGATGTACTTCACAACATGAAGCTGGGTCCATCACTGGGGGACTGGTATGCAGGTTGAGAAATACTGTCTTTGCCTCTTAAACACACAGTAATGTCCAGTTGAACGGGCTTTTCCTGTTATAATATGACAGTGACATTTATGTGTGGTGGTTTGACAGATCCACCATCTTTCAAACATGCTGGGTGACAGCAGAGCTGCGCTGTCTGACCAAGTAGCCAGCCTGCTATGTAGCAGAGAGGCTAAGTACTTCACATTTCTGCACTGACAATTCAGCTTCCAGCTCAACCAAACTCAATGCAAATATCACACATTTACCAGCCAAGATTTGGGGTGCTGAGAAAATAGTAACCACACGGAAGGATACATGTTAAGTCCAGGTCGAACCCATCCTCCTGATATCTCCTTTTGTTCCGGCTGACCATTTCTTTTATAAACATAGCCATTGTGGCAGCTGACAGGAGTCTCTGTGGGGGAGATGGTGAAAACAGGTTTTTCTCGAGGTGGCAGTCTGGTCCAGACAGTGGGCTCTGCTCTCTTGAATTTTGGTGGTGGTCCTCGTATAGACTCGTTAGCCAGCAGAGCTAACAGTGGCTGCTGTCGGTAGGATTAGAAAGGCTTCCTCTGGATCATAAAGACGGGCCTTGCTCTGCTCCTCCGTGCAGGCCCGACTTTCCCAATCCTGCAATTCGTCTCGCAAACACTCCCGAATAAAATACATGCAGCTATCCACAGAGAACCCTTTGGATGTCAGACGCGGTCCAAGCCGACGGCTCAATCGCAGCTGCCGCGATTGACAGCGAGAGGACCGAGAACTCACCGGTCCAGAAACCCGTATCCAGTCACTCAGACGCAGCTAGCCTCGCTCGCTAGCTAACTGGCTAGCTAGCGCAGCTAGCTAGCAACAATAGCTTACGCTCCCCCCTTTTTCGATCCAAAAGCCTCCTAACGATTCAACATTGTCATCGACTGATTGCCAAGAACACATTTGAAAAAAAGTGACAGGCTCCACCTTAAATGTATATAGACTATACAAAGATCATAAATCTGCACAGATTGGTTTGACAGTTCCGTCCCGAGGAATCATCTTCTTTTCTCGCTGCTGTCGCTCCAGCTGAACTCTCAGGCTCCCATCATGGCCTCCCTCCACCGAAGGAAAAAAAGAAGCTAGAGCAGGCTGGGATTTTAGACACAATATCACACCGCCTTCAACATATAGTCCCACTGTTTCATCTAAAAGGGAACACTTGGGATTTAATTTTGGTTCAGCAACGATTAACAGTGGATGCCGATTAACAGCTGCCGACATCAGAAATTGGTCCAACCCTAAAAAAGCGCAATAAGCAGGTATTTTGTGCTTCTGGCGGAAGGATAAAATGAGTCCGCATGCGACTCTCCCTTCTGTCAAAGTGGTCACGTGTGGCTGTAATTAGGGAAGTTTCTAACATAATGTCACTTTTCGCGGTTTAAACTGTCATTTAAAGGCATATGAAATATATTTTTCAGCTATACTCATCCACAACGCGAAGTAATCGACAACAACAAAAAATTATTGACTTTTCAGGGCTGTCATAGTTTTCTTTATTCAATATTCTCACATTCATCCATTTCTAATTTCATTATTTTTCCAACCGTGTCCGGCAGTTTAACAGTTCACATAGTTTCAAATGACTATCTTACACAGCACCAAATTTTACACAACTCTTACTCACTTTGCCCGCAAAAGTGTAAAAGTAGCACGACGTAAGGGTTCAGCTAAATAGTGTCTGTCGTCTAAACATTTAGACTATTATATTGCATCGACATTTTAGGACTGACTCAGACACAAGTATTTACTTATTTCTTCCCACTTACCAAGGTTTTTGGATTATTGGTAGAGCGTCAAATACGTCGTCTAATTATTTTTTAGTTTACTGGCGAGTCATTAAAATTATTGATTAAACAATTAACTGGCAGATAGAGAAATTAGGAAAACTTAGAACAGATCAAGGACATTTATGATGCTAAATAATGGTAAAAACGCCCCCTCATGCACTCTTTAAACCAAGGTAACTTTTTAAATCCCTGGTCCATCCATTACAACAACAGTTGAACAAACCATTCCCAATATGTAATGAAAAATACATATTTTTTTTGCTCAAATCAGCCTTGAAATTTTTTTAACTATTAAAAAGATCCAAACATTTCTAGCTCTATTTCAATTACTACACACTTGGGAAAACACAGGTTGTGTTAGGAACATTAGGTTTTAAGGGAACAGGGACGATTTTTACCAGAAGCCTTCCTGGTCATTTCTAAACTGAGATGACATGCTTGGTGCACATGAGTGGGAGATCTTATCAAAGTACTGAGGGTCCAGTTCAGCATATTTAAATGGGGTTACCTGGAACATAGCAGATTAAATGATCTTATCCCATGTGAAGCTAATTAGGAATCTGCTTCTTACAGGGGAGATTGGTTCCCCAGACGGAAGAACACTCATCTGAGGCAAAGTAAGCCCTTGCAGCTTAATGATTGACAAAATTAATCAGTCCTTCAAGTTCAATTAACCATCTCTTAAGAGTAAATTGAGAGCATCTCATGAGCTCCTTAATCTGTTAGAAAGGATCTGGCTTGCGAAGCCAGTCTGAAATCTAAACCTGATCTTTTTAAGTACATTCATGTACAGAAATTGAAGTATTTTTAAGAACATTTTTACTATTTGAAAAATATATCTAGATTTGAAATCAAAACATTTAAATGAATGATGTTTATAAAAGCAGAATACAGGAGTATGGGTCATTTTAAATGCACTAACAGCACTTCCCGGGTTGTTTTTTACTCATTATCCAGCAGATGGCAGTGTTGCACTTTTGGTTTTGCAGCTCTTGACTCAGTCGCTGCCAAATGGACTTCCACCTTTTATCGATATGCATGCACCTTGTACAGAGAAAAGTTACTGCAAAGTATGTTGCACAACCAGATTCAATCAGGACGCACATCTCTTAAACAATAAACAAGAACATTCAATTCTCTCATACAAAAGGACATGACACTTTATATTTTATGAGAGTCACCAACTCTTCAAATTCACAAATCAGGTCTTTTATTATTGCACTGGACAAACCTTTGTCCTCCTAAAACTGCAGGTTTTATTGAATGAATGCACGAGCCCTCTTTTATTTACAATCATGTCATTCTCAGTGTAATTTCAGGCCAAGACCAGTCAGAAGTTTAAACAGTTTAACAAAGTTGTCATTTCTAAGAGTAAGGCACTTTCACAATTTTACACATTTATTCCTATGCAGTATAACACAATAATATGAAACTAAACATGATGAATTAATCAACATCCATTCATGCAATAAAAAAGAGGCACAGTAGGTAGTAATTTGACTTCAACTGACTCTCACTCAGCTCTTCCAAATAACATGACATGACATAATTTCCATAAAACGCTATAAAAGGTGAAATCTACATGTTTTTGTGTAACAAATCCTTCAGAAAATCACATGTAAATATTAGATATATATTCATATCTTTGAATGTAACCCTAATCCTAAAATACTAAAAATAAAAAAAAGAATCTCAAGTTACTTTTAATTTATTAAAATACATAGCTTAAGTTAATAATATGCACATTAACATACAATGGATGTATAAATCAAGTTGTTTTATAGGCATGTAAAAATTCATTTCTTAACCTCTGTAGGAGAATTCTTTTTGGTTTGGCGAAAACTGGTATATAATATCTAGACTGACTCATTATTTGTACAAACTCTACCACTCTACATGTTTATATTTATATATGATTCAATCAAAATCTATTGAAGTACCTTCCTAAAAACTAATCGTATCCTTTTATTGAGTGTCGTTTAATGGCAAGCTGGTCCTTGTGTTTGTTACTTGTCCTTCTGAAGAGAAGTGTAGTACTCCACCAGCACTTTCCAGGCCTTTGGGGCCATGAAACCATCTGGGGGGTTCTCTCCGCTCCGAGCCATGTTCCTCATCTTGGTTCCTGAGATAAACTCAAACTCTGTGTGTCTAAGAAGGGTAGAACAGCAGGAAAGTTTATTAAACACACTGAATCTACAAGAGCAAGCTTTATACTTTGCACTGTCAAGTGTTGGGGGTTGTCTATTTTGTGCTAAAACAACTTAAAGTTTTGTGTGTGACATAAATACATCTTAGGTTAAGTGACAGCTCTAATAATCTGCTACACTTTATATTTCTTTGACTTTGCTGCCTTTAGTTTAACATGAGACAAAACTGTTCAAGGAGCAGATTTGAAATCTGTTGAGTCGAATTGTGATGTAAAGAAAAGAGCTTACAACAGTCGAGCTTAAGATAGTTGAAGCTTTACCTGCCAGGTTCTCAGCTGACTTTGATTGTGATTTTAGGTAATGATTAAGTCGAATTAAAAAGCTGCAGACTTTTGTTACCCACCTAGCTTTGTCGTAAAAGTCCATGGCCCTCTTTGTTTTATTATACGCAGCCACTCGGAATGGGATGATCTCCACAGAGGTAAGACCGGGTGCCATAGTAAGGACCTTGCCCCCATGGGTGGGTTCATAGAGGTCCTGTTTGGTCTCTGGGTGAGGCATACCAGCAGGGTCCCGGCCGACAATGTAGAAATTTGCTCCGGCGATCATCCTTGCTCTGCAGTGCCACTGAACCTGAGAGGAAATTGAGAGACATAAAGGTTAAAATTAAACCACAAGTGTACAAACTGTTCCTGACCTATGATTTAACAACAAACCAATAACACACCACACCTCTGTGGGTCCGGCATACATCATAGGTGAGGGGAAGATTGCCACAATGGTGTTAGCAGGGTCCAGGATGCCCTCTTCCAGTACAGCAGCATGCTGCTTCATCCTCCAGTCCAGAGGCACATCGTCGTCTTTGGTCCAGCCACCAAGTGGGTGCAGCAAAAGGACTGGATTCTTGTAGCCTCGCTCGAGCAGACGCCGCTTGGTATCTTGCATCAGCAGGGCATGACCATTGTGGACTGGGTTACGCAGCTGGAAAGCGAATATGGCATCTGAGGAGGACAACATGGAAGGATGTGGTATAACATTCAAATAACAGCAGTATCACTGACAATAAATTCCTATTAAAAGACCGGCACTTTAATGAATTAAAGACTGTTTACGTAATGTGGATTATTCATTGTTTAGAGCTTTATTCAAAAACTATCTAGAACTTTTCAATTACATAAAGAAGTAATGTTAAGTTTGTGCTACAGTATCCAACCCTCAATTTCCTCCACAAATTCACCCTTTGTTTTAGGTTGACACATCATCGACCCTAGTTTTTTTACATTTATATAAATAAAAACAAATGCTTTGGCTTGGGTACAGAGAGAAAAGTTAAAAATGGTATTGACCTTTTTCTAAGGTTTGTTAACAGTAGATAACACCATATTTTCAGTTTGATGCTTCAGCTTTTAATAGGACTGAAATTCAAGATGAGAACAGAATATCTGTAATAAAAACATATGCCTAGATTCACTCTGTGTTGTGAAAAAGATAACTTATTGACACAATCTTCTACCCAACATTCATGTCAAAGTGAATGAGCGAGAGCAGATGCAGGTGATCACTTCACAAACAAACAAACACCATGCAGCTTTAAATTTACCATTTTTTTCTTATCTGGTCTCTTTGTCAAATTCTTCTGGAAGAAAGAGTAAAAACACTGAAATAAATAGATACTGTTCGTATTCAGTGTCTGTCCATTGGCAAAGTCCATTTTGCACTCTGACCTGCTTTCATGTCTTTGAACTTCTGCTTAAGCTGCAGTGGCGTGAGCCGGTAATGGTCCAGTCCATCGTTCCATTTGATTCGCTCCAGAACCTCCAGGTCACCACCTACCAGCCAGTCACCTCCCTCCAAAACCATCTGCACAAACAGAGAGCATCATTTTTCTCTGTGACAATGCAGCTCAAATATTTACCCAGTAATTAATAATATCCTGGTCAAGTTATTGTCTGACGGTTGCTGACATATATGTGTGAGGCTATACTTTGGTTTTATAATTAATAAACCACTCGAACTACAGTAAGTTCAATATTTACACAGTGACAGTAAACACTGATGTAGGAGTGAGCGGATTACACTGTCAGGTAAGATTATGGTATTGACACTGAGGTTATATCTGTATGTTTTGAGTACAACAACTGAAATCTTTGTTACCTTGATGTAAGGGTGCTGTGGACAAGTGGTGCCCCACTGTCTGGCACAGCGCTCCTCTTTGCGGTGTTCATAGAACTCTGGGTTCCTGAGGATCGCCACGCGTGTACCCTGATACTCCAGAGCCAGGGCTGAACAACCGTCCAGTCGCTGCTTGGTCTCAGCGCTGACAGGCAGGACGATGGGAACTGTCAGGTTGATGGCCCCACCTGAGGCAGAAGAGCAGGCAGTGATATCAGCCAGGGAGCCAAGGAGGGTATCAGTTCAAAGTTTCATTTACAAAACATAAAGAATAACCAGTTTGTCTGTTTTGGCAGCAGCACACTGAACAGTGATTCCCTTGCAGTGTTCTTGTGCAGCTGCAAGGGAATACGGGGAACAGGGATTTGTAAATTCAGGGTTGGGTTAGGGACAGTTAACAAAAAGTCATAAATATTTGACAAGAAGAAAAGGACAAGAATTCAAAAAGCTATAATCTTTGAGTTGACATATTGATTATTCAGCTAAAAGATGGTCACAGGGATGAGCTGTACTGTATGACCAAACTGATGGACAAATAGTTTAAAAAGTGAGTCAACAAGATTTTTTTAAAGTGCTGCAAAGAGTTTGATCAGTCAGCTAAAAAGTATGGAATATGTTAAATTATCACCTTGTGATGGAAAATGGTCATAAAGGTAAACTAAATGTAAGGATTTGTTTTATCAGGACTGGATCTGCTGTTTTAGAATTGCTAGTTTTGTGGGAGAATTTTGTCTAACATTGGCGAAATATAAAGTGACTCCTTAACAGATTTCTTTTATTTAACCTTTTCAATGAAATAACTTGAAAATTGAAAATCATTCAATTCTGTATTATGAGAAAAAGCTGTTCATTTTTTAAGAAAATCTTTAAGTATTTGCAGCACTCCCCCTCTGTTTCTATACAAACGAGCCAGACCTTTGCGTCCGTCTAAAGAGAATCTTTAAAATGTTAGTCATGCCCCCAATTTGACGAGGAAGGTGACATAAACTGCTCATTTTTTGCCGTTTGTATAGAAAGCACTTATAAATTTGAGGCTATTTCTTACCGTCAAGCAGGTTTCCAAAGTGTAAGACCTGTAGGAACTCCCTCTCTCTCATGAAGCCTTTCAGAGGACTGGCCCAGCCCTCAGCCAAAACCTGCACCCACTGCAGATCCAGCTGTGGATGAAGACATGTCTCATTATAAACACAATTCAACAATGACAACATTTCTTTTAATCTTCAATGTTTAACCCTTGACCTTTCCTTCATTATCTTTAGGGTCAAACCATACGGCTTCAGAAAGATGTGTTTAAATGAGAAATGAATAGCTGCTGATGTATTTATGATTAATGCTATATGCCCATTAAAAGATGGTCTAATCATCTGATAAACAACAGACTGGGTTTGAAATTATTATTGTCTTCCTTATGAGCTGGCTAACTAACAGATAATCCCATCTGAAGTACTTGAAATTTGCAAGGATTCAAATTTCTATTAACCTTCACAACAGTATATTATTCCTCTAGAGCTAAGAGAGTGCTTTTGTCCTTATTCTGTAAGAAATATGCACTCAAAGTTTTCACTCAGCTCGAGGGGTCAGAGCTGAACGGTCGGTAAGTTTTTATGTCTTTATTAGTGCCAAGGGAAGTCGGAGCAGACTATTAGCACACAGGGAACAGAGGAGAATGTTTATGGGCTCATCATCAGCTCCCTGCCATCTACCAGTACTGACCCCCTTGTCCATCTGCTGGGTGATAAAAAGAAGTCTATATACCGGAGTGGTGGGTTACCTTGGTGATGCTGATGGTGGGAAGCGTGTTTGCGTCAGCCAAAGCGAGATTCAGCTTGTTCTCTGGGACAAAGAGCTCATTCACCTCCTCCATGATCCCGCCTGGTACAATATCCTACATACAAGGAAGAAAGGGTAATATGAGTGCTATAGCAAGATAAGGTTACTGAAAAAGGGTATGACTAAAGACTGATTTTATTGCAGCAAATTTCTTGGTTAATTACAAATGGATTCCATCGAATGAAACTTCAATGTAGCCCTACATCCAACATTTCAAAACCCAACATATTTTATTTTATATTATTCATCACACCAAAAAGGTTCTGAATAATACCTAAAGCCATCCATCGACAAGTTACTTCTAGTTTAAACTTCTGGATTGTGTCATGATGTTGTCTTTGACTGTATATAATGCAATTTAAGTAAATACCTCATCTATACTTCGCAAAAATGAGAAAGAAAGTTGAGAAAATATTGAATTTCTTCAAAAACTACACTTCTCTTTGACATACATTTTTACAAAAATTGTGTCTCACTGTCTGTCAGTAAAAAAAAGAGTAACTTCAACTTTTCAGCTTTTTTAGTTTGCTGTGAGAGCTGAAATGTTTCTTGTTTCTAACTGGGCCACGAATATATGCTTTCAATCCACATGGCTTTAACCAAAATACTGCCAAAAGCATCAATTCATCAAATATATATCTCCTTTCAGATACATCAAAGGATAGATCAAGAGGGTTTGTGTGTGAAGATCAAAAATACTGCTGATATTTGTTGTTTCTTTGTCTATTCTCACTCTGTCTTTCTTTCAAACATTTATTCATGACCATAAGTCTGGGGTGTTGTTGTTCCTTATCACCCCAGGTAGGTTTATTGGGATGTGCCTGGTGTTTTAAGTCAGAATACTGTCACAAATGAAGAAGAAAGCGCAGACTTTAAAGAAATACACCCTCCATTCCAGCTGCTCAGCTCCCACAAACTAAACTTTTCTCTCCGCAAACTTATAAACTTTTACAAGAGCTGACAAGTACAAAGTGTCTGTGTATCTGCCTGCCTGTCTGTCTGTTTTCATGCATTAATGCATGAGTGAAAATGTTGAAACTCCTGTCTTAGACTGGGAGACTCAAATTAACAGTCATGCCTTTGTATGCATGAAAACAGACCATTAATGACAAGACTGGAAATTTCGTGACTGTAAATTTTAAAGCCTTTAACCACTTTGAGGAGGTTGGTGTGAAACTAAATCATGAAAAAGCTGAAGAAATGTCCTTGTTCACTTTCCCTCTGCAGAGAGCGGATACATACAAGGATACAGTGCACAGTCAGCAAAATTGCATCAATACAAACATTAAGTTCGTCACAGGAGCTTTACAAACTATTTAGAGAGGATTTAAAGGATGACAACAGGTTTTGTCAATTTATCATCAATGCTTTTTTTAAAGTAATCTGCACAGTCACAGGCTGATCCAATAACAATAAAGAGTGATGTACCCGCCTTTGGGCGTTTATTTGACAATACTCATGTAAGAGCCTTGGCGCCAGAAACATACGTTAAGAGGAGGACTTATATCCATGTTTCTTTTTGTTTCCTGAAGGACTCTATACAACTATAGTCAAACTTTTTCCTTGCACTGTGACCATAGCATGCTTCTCAGATCAGTCACTATTCTCGAGCTTCTCCCCTTCACAGTCATCAAAAGTGTCACGTAGCTTGATGCAACCAAACACCATCCACTGGTCACCATGGTGTTCTTTGTCTCCGTCGAGCTGTCAATAACCACTGCCCTTGTGTGCGAAAGTCTTTATAGCTAAACTGGAATATCCAGGACTAACAAAACACCCTTTGATATACTTAATTCAACCATGTAAAATAAACATTGAATATTAAATAATATAATATTTATTTTTTCCCATGCCAGACTATGAGCTGAATTGACCTTTCTTTGTGGCTTGAGCTGCTTGTTTAAATAGGGATTCATAGTCAGGGTCATGGTTGGTAGGATGTGTCACTCCTGATGGATGATGACGCCTGTGTGAGGTGCAGCATTTGCAGTTCAGTCGTGTTGTTCTACCATGAAAAGCTGGACAAAATTTTGAGATATTCTACAATAATCTTTGGCAGAACAACTAATAACCCTGGTCTGTGTCACCCACCCGTTCCCTGAGCAGCTCCAACACTTGGTGGAGGCATTCATTCACTGTGAGCTCTCCAGTTTTCAGCACAAGGTCTGGAACCTCTGGCCGCTCATAGTCTGAGTCAATCCCAGTGAAACCTAGCAACAAATACAAAACAATAACAAGAGTAAAGCTAAAAGATTGGTATGATTAATGGAGTGGCTGCATGCAAAATAAACATTAAGTAGAGAGTTTACTGAGCTGAATATGGCCAAACAGACCTTTAATCTCTCCTGCACGAGCCTTCTTGTAAAGCCCTTTTACATCTCTGCTCTCGCACACTTCAAGAGGAGCGTGGACAAACACCTCAAAAAATGGCAGCCCGGCGCTCGCATGGACCTTTCTTGCCTCTTCACGATCCTACAGGACATAACCAGTGCATAAAAATATATGTTTTAATCAAACAAAAAGTCAAAGGGTTAAGATACGTCTTGGATTAGCAGCCAATAATTTCCCACCTTGGAGAAAGGAGAGATGAAACTTGCGATGCACACCAGCCCGGCATCTGCAAACAGTTTTGCCACCTCGGCAATACGACGGATATTCTCCTCACGGTCCTCTGCAGAGAAGCCGAGATTCTTGTTCAAGCCGTGACGAATGTTGTCCCCATCGAGTGAGTAACAGGGAATTGCATGGGACACCAGATACTCTTCCAGGGCAAAACTGATGGTCGTCTTCCCAGCCCCGGACAAACCTTGTAAGACAACATGGAAAACAGTAGGTAACACAGTCCTGGATTTGTTCAGAACCGATGCAGCAAGTAAGTATGCTGGCATTATAAAGGCCTATTGAGATCTACCTGTGAGCCAGATGGTGCAACCCCTGAAGCCTCCTCTGGTGCCCACAACCTGTCCCCTTTTGCTCCGGCTAACATGGTGGGCCTGGTACACCACATTGGTCGACCTGTTGAGATCCTAAAAAACAAGAAACAATCGCATATTAGAGGAAAATAATGCTCACTTGATAAATATAATCATCGTTGTATTTGCGTGTCACATAACTTTTAGTAATTGTCAGTATCAGCAGATCTGTTTTTCCGTGCCCTGTTTAAAGTGACTATGAGGGACCGGGCTGTGAATAAATGGGGCTGTATTGACTCTTAGAGGGGAGGGGGGTTAGAAAGGGGAGGGTGGCATGGAGGAAGGGAGAGGACTAACTGGACAATGTGTCCAGTGTGCTGCCTGCAGCCCAGCGATGATGTGGCAGTGATCGTGCCCACACGTTCGCCCTCTGCATCCACTCTTCCTTCATCCCCACACCCATCCCATGTCTCCTCTTTTTGCACACTCACTCTGCATCTGTAAGAGGTCTGAACCCTGGGTTTTTCCAGAGCTTTTTATGACAGATATCCCTAACACATCATGCAAAAATTGATGTTTCATTTAGAGATGTGAGAAAACGTTATCTTATTATTTATCAATTTGATGATATGAATATGGAATAAATAAATAAGGAGCTTTAATACATTATCGCTTGTCCTATCGGGTAATTTTGTTACACCACTAATAACATCTCAAAGTCACCCGCTGCTCCGACTCACAACTAGAACAAAGTCACAAGCCAAATGAATGACCATAATTCTCCCCATATGACAAGTAGCCTCAACTATGCGCACATACACACCAACACAAAACAGCACTATTCCTCCTAAAATCAGAGGCACCCTCTCTCCTCCCTTCCATGCGCTGCGATGGGAACATGATGTATTTTTTGAGTCAGTGCGCTGTCATCATTCTTGCCAAGTAAGAGAATCGTTATCAGCCTTCTGCTTTCTCTTACATCTGTCAAGTTGAAAAGCCCATTGAACAGTATTCCTAAGTAAGATTTATGCAATAGACTCGGTTTTGGGAACCGTATATGACTCATCTTCTCTTTCTCCCACTTTAGTTCACAGCCTGTTTCTCAGGAAATGTCAATTTGGTAAAACTGAGATACTCAAGTGTTGGCGAATTCCTCAACGGAAAGCCTTGGCATGATAGTCATAAGGTAAGCAGGGTCATCGGAAGAGCTTGCATCACAGTAACTACTTGAAAGTATTACAAGGCAGCATTTTAGAAAGCTGTCTTCTATTTCTCAATGACTTTTCCTAATATACTGAGAAACTTTTGTGAAGAGTTCACCCTTAAATTATTGTGTGAATCGTCTAGTCCAGACAGAGTAGGCTACAAATCCCAAAAATACCTAATAAACAATAATTAAAAAGAAAGCAGACACTTTTTTTACATTTTATGACGCTGAAAGCTGCATAAGTTTTCCACATAACTGACTGTAAAAGTTAACGAGAACTGTTGCTTGGACTTTTCTTCTTCTTCTTACATAGTGTTGCATCCACTGTTTGCAACAGTGCAGACCTTGAGAATGGGGACAGAAAACATATGACAAGTCCATAGACAGAGTAGGCTACAAATCCCAAAATACCTAATAAACAATAATTAAAAAGAAAGCAGCCACTTTTTACATTTATGAAGCTGAAAGCTGCATATTTTTTTCCCCTAAATGACTGTAAAAGTTGACAAAAACTGTTGCTTGCACCTTGAGTGTTGTAGCAACAAAATGCAGCTGAATGAGTTAGAAAACATATGACAAGTCCATGCATGAAAGATAGTCTGAGCTTACAGTGTGTGGTGGTTTCCCCTCTGATTTCACACTATTCCCATTCTTTAGATAGTCCTACCTCCAACATATGGTCTCCAAAGCTAGCAGCATTCCTGTGCAGCATCAGACTGCCGTTTCACAGAGGCTTCTTTCTCCCACTTTCAAGACAGCCTCAGTTATGAATGGGCCAAATTGACATGGAAGCGTTACTACAACAACCGGCCTATTCAGAGTCAAGGCTGTAACCATCACACCTGAAGCAGACAAGTGAACATTACTTAGAGTTTACCTCAATTTCTGTCTTAATTCGCTACTTTTCCTCGTTATCTTATTATTAAGTAGCCAGGGGGAGCACATAGCGGATGGTCAGACTGTTATAACTAAGTAGTTACCATCTGACATATACTTGGGAGGAGTTTCAGGGCTTCGTCTGAACACACACTCCGCTCCACTTGGACACATTTTAAAGCGTAAATCTGATAGAGTGAATTTCAAGAGTTCCTCCCTCTTTCCTCCCCGTTATCTCCACATCTACTTGCCGTGCAAAGCTTCTTCACCCCGGACATTTTTCCCACGAGCGATTAACTCCGCCGATGGACCGCTGAACACCGGACCGGTTTCACACACACACACACGGGCCTGGGAGGATGAAGGAGTCTGCCGCCGGTCGCTCGACTCGTAACCTCCAAACTTTTGGCTGCGATACTCCTAAGAGACGAAGGGGGTTTAAAAGGGACTTCCAAGACACGTAGCATTCCGCTGGCCCGGCCTCCAGCCCTCCTCCTTCGACGTCCAGAAATCTGCATAATTTGCCGTTTTCCAGCCAATACTCAAGCATAACGACACGACGGGGCTGAGCGTGAAAACCGGCAGCGCTTTGTCGGAGGTTGTACATCATGTACATCACAATTTTCCACTTTTCGAAGAGATGAATTTAGTCAGTGAAGAGTTGTCTCATCCGTTCATTTCAACTGGACAGCCAAAAACACACCAGCTCTCGTCGTTTTACTACAACCTCTGTCGCTGCGTCGGAACGATAACTCGGAAACCAAACTTAGTCGACTCAAATCAGTCCAACTATTACCAGAAGAAATGAAGAAAGTTGAGGATTAACTCTTCCTGGTGCTAAACATTTCCGTCATGGCAGTATTTGAGCTGAAAAGATTAAGTTGTAAACAAAGTACCGCAGCTTCACTGTCATATTTGCTCAGGGCAGTGGCGCATCACGCTATTTCATCGACAGGGGTGAAAAACAAGAATAAAAGGGCACCAGCAAACAAAAGGTTGTGATAAATGGATTTCTCTGCTCTGCCACATCCAGGGGGCACTATTTTATGCTGCATTCAGTGGAAAAGGGGGGCATCCAGATGTGCTATGTGTTCATTTGTGTTGTATCTAATGGGATGGTATCTATATGGTACTTGGTGTGTTTCATATACTGAAATTTCATTCTGTCATGGCAGTATTTGACCTGAAAGATGAAGTTGTAACAAAGTAAGTACTGCAGCTTCACTGTCATATTTGTACAGGGCAGTGGCACATCATGCTCTTTCATTGGCAGGGGTGGAAAGCAAGAATAAAAAGGGCACCAGCACACAAAAAGTTGCGATAAATTAATTTCTTTGCAGCTTTTTGATGACTACTTTGAAAGCTCTTAAATATCTGTTTTCCTACATCCAGGGGGCACTATTTTTATGCTGTTTCCAATGGAAAAGGGGGGCATCCAGATGTGTTATGTTATTTTGTGTTTTATGTAATGGGATGGTATCCATATGGTACTTGGTATGTTTAACTTACTGAAATTTCATTCACAAATTTCATTCTGTCATGGCAGTATTTGAGCTGAAATATGAAGTTGTAACAAAGTAAGTACAGCAGCTTCACTGTCATATTTGTACAGGGCAGTGGCACATCACGCTCTTTCATTGGCAGGGGTGGAAAACAAGAATAAAAGGGCACCAGCGCAGAAAAAGTTGTAATAAATGAGCTTTTTGATGACTATTTTGAAAGCTCTTCATTATCTGTTCTCCTACATCCAGGGGGCACTATTTTTTGCTGTTTCAAGTGGTGAAGGGGGGCATCCAGATGTGCTGTATGTGTTATATTGTGTTGTATCCAATGGGATGGTATCCATATGGTTTTTGGTATGTTTCATATACTGAAATCTTATTCGGAGGGCTTTTTCCACATTTTATCCACTGTAAGGGCACACAGAATGCACTCACTCTTTAGAGGGGCAGCTACTAAAGCAATTTTTCATGCATTTTCCAAAGACAGGACAAGTTACGATGCTTTATTTACTTCATAAGCATCCAGGAGTCCAGGAGGGCACTTCCAGATGTTTTTTTCATGAGGATACCAGGGAAGCAATCCTATATAAGCATGTAAGCATAACCACTGACTGAGGTGAGAAGATATTTTTTGCGCCTGTTATTTTTTTATGCAGACAAGTTTTGTCTATCAATCAATGATTTCCATAGTTTCAGGGTGATACATGTAATTCTTATGGTGTCAGGGATTAAAGGATCTCTGAAGATGACTTCTGGTCACAGCCAAGAAAAGTGACACAGCAGGGAATCAAGAGTGAAAATGCAATGTGCTAGTTATAAAATGACAAATACACTGATCCAAAACTACCAAATCTCATTGGAGCAAGTCTATATAGACAGAAGAATCAAAACTGTCAATAACAGATGTGCCAATTGTACATTTCTGGCAAGTTTTAATGGCATGTAACAACCATATGATTTGGTTAACGTCATAATTTTTTTTTCTACCACAGTGAGCACAATCTTTAGCTCTCTCAGAAAACGCATCACTGATTTCAGTTACGCAATATCACCCACAAAGTGCTGAACTCTTTGCGAAATCTTTCAAAGCTTCTTGGAGATCAGGAAATGATTATGTGATGAGTCAAGATATCTAAACCCTATGCACAATATGGCAAACACGCACACTGCAAAAATGGCCTCTACTTCCTGTTACAACTTGTGCAACTGTGTTGTCTTGCAAAAATACTGCAGTTGTAATAATGTCACAGTGAAGGTGAACTTAAAGTCAAAGGTTAGAGTCATGTGTTTTCTCTGAGAAAGTCTGCCTTTCTGCTCAAATGAAAATGCAAAATGTAGAAAAAGGCGACATGCAAAACTGTTATGGTTCTGTTTGCATTTTTAACGCATAAAGCTAATAGGCTCCCTTTATTGCTGCAAATTTTACTCCATTTTGTGGACAAAACTCAATCAAACCTGTTCCCTACATTCTCTCCAGGCCACCTTGTCCTTCTAGGCATCCTTGAACAGCTGACACTCTGTCTCAAAGTCACAGCCCTGGAGCAGGTCCCTGTAGCGCTCTCTGACTTCCTGATACAGAGGCATGGAGGCCTCGGTCAAACCAGGAAAAGTTACAGGCTTCTCATTGAGCAGCGGCTGCAATCTCAGCTCACCATTTCCACAGTCATACAGCACCAGGACTAAGTTAGCTGCGTAAGGTAACATGTGGCTGGTGCGGAAGGTGCGTTGGGTCTGAGTGGCGTAGTTGGTGGAGGTCAGAGGATTGCTGTCCTTGGAGAAGCCCAGGAGGGTGAGCAGGGGCAGCAGGGTCTCTGCATGTCCCACCTGGATAGTCACAGCTTCAGTGACCCGCTGGCCTGACCTTGAAGAATAAACAGGGTTATATTTAAATTAGTGCTGTATACATTGTACTTATTTTGGCAGTAAATACACCCTTAAAAAATGTATCCCAGGCAAACTCCGGGCTCAAGCCTTATCGCTGCTAACTTTGACTGGAGTGTTGGCCAGAAAAACAGGATTCTTTAATAATGCTGACAAAGTGTGCTTTAAAAAACAGATATACAACAGAAAAAGTTGAAAATTATGTTTAAATTATGATTGTTTATCCTTTCTATATTTTGCTCTTCACTTTGAATAACTATTATCTGGAGAATAGTTGCTTTTTGAATAGTTGTTAACAGAGACTGCAAATAAAATCAACAAAAATATACTTTTAAACTCTTTCTTTGTTGGATTTAATTGTTTTAGATAAATGTCTGAGTGATGCCAGACTATTTTTACCAGACGAACAGGATTTCATGATACAAATTGAAGGTTATTTGAGTGAAGAAAAATAGTGTTGTTTTTTCCAAGCTGAGAGATTAAAAAATAAATAAAAGTTGTTTGCATTCAAAACGGTCAAAGTAGGTCTTGTTTGAGAACTAAGCTTCTGTTGACATTTGGGGCATGGTTATTATTATTATAATATTATTATCCCTATTATTGTAGGGATTAAAATTAGTAGACTTGACTTTTAATATAAGGTCTCACAAGCCCTGAACAAAAATCTATCATCTCTACTTTGTGTTTAACTTGCTAAGTTCACATAATTTCCTCTGATGAAAAAGTCTGTTTGTATTTCTTAGCACTGGGCAGTGGATAACCTCACTCTACTTTTCAACCCCTTCTGAACCTCTTGGCTGAAACTCACAAACCCTGGTGACTTAGTGGGAAATAATTAGCCATGTGTTATTACAGCAGGGACATTAGGTACCCTTTCAGATCTGCATGTGGGCTATCTATCATTCTGAACTTGATTAGCAACTTTGCTTTTGGGTATCCTCCCAGACTGAAGCCTTACATTAAGTCACACCCTTTTATTTTAATAACATATGTATGTGCAGGGAGGGCCTTGATGTCTGTCCAGTCTGAAAGACAGGCAAACATTTTGGTGCTGGGCTCTGTTGACCTTGTTACTTTCACTTGTCAATGCCAAACATCAATGTGCATTTAATCAAAAAGACATGCAATTCAGGCTTCAGATGCAAAAATATATGTATCTTAAGATACAAATACTTAGAGGTGACATCAAACAGAGACAAACAGCAAGCTTTTACACTGCAAAAGAACAAAACAGAGAAAAGATATGCAAATGTAAGTCTCAATAAATGTATTCTCACATAAGATTTATTTGTATTTTCAACCCTCTGTTATTCTTCTCAGTGTTAAGGTACTTAATGAGCCACATTATTCAACAGTGCACCAATTTTTTTAGTTCCAGTGTTTTATAGTAGTAATACATAACATTTTTGCATTTATTTGTTATTTTAAAGTACAAGACCTGAGGTCTTTTTCACATCCAGTTGAGTTTTGTTGTTAAATGTTTTAAAAACAACAGTTCAAACCTCATAAATTTGCAGTTTTACGACTGTTACAGTGTGTTTTATTTTGGAGAAACACACAAAGCAAAGGGTGATTGCAACTCATTATGCATGTCTACAAAGCTTGTCCTTTTTTATTTACATAACATTACCCTGCACCGATAAAAATGACTTTTTATTATATTTATAAAACCAAACTACCTCACATATGAATATTTGTTGTGCCATAGTCACGTCAGGTGGAAATTTCTAGTTAATAATGTTTGTTTACATATGCGGACGACAACCCCCATAATTACACAATTTTTAATAGTCTATCTGCTCATAGTCTATTGTTTGATTGTTGACTGAGAGTAAATATCATGTATTGCTGAACAAAGGAACTGTAGTACATTTTGTGGTCATTTCACAAACACTGTCTTGTTGAATATCATTATATGAACAAAAATGTATTCACCGGAAGCTGAGTGCTTTGAGTAATGGACGTTCAGTAGAAAGAAATGTGCTCAGACTGAAAGGAAAAAATCACTGTATGGTTTAAAATATTGTGTGATGAACCATAGCAGCAAAGTCCTTTGGCTTCTAACTAGCTTTACTTATAATAAGAAGTATTAAAAGGAACATTACCAACTGTTACCAGAGACAATTAAGTTTTACTCACTTGTTCTCGTTTGCTGCGTCGTCCAGGCGACTGAACACATCGTGGAAGAGGATGCAGCTTGACTTACTGTTTATATCATAACCATATCCCCTTTTCCAGAATTGTTTCAGGTCATTTGCGTACTCCATCACCTGTTGAAACAGAAAGAACCATTCACTGAAAGTCAGGATGAGGATTGGGAAAGCATTCTTTGTTTTAAACCTGAGGTTAGATTACAGGTTATTTGTTAGGTCAGCTTGTAACACTAGACACAAATACTCTTTGTGACCTGAATAATGCCTTTTGTAGTAAGCAGGGGGTAAGCATTGCTTATTTCTTTATCTTGTTTTATTTCACATTTTAGATCTTATTTTTCAAGTCTGTGTTTTTTCTGTTTCTTGCCGACTTTCTCGTAATGAATGACCAAAAGTTTAACTAACTCTCTACTCATGCAGAACAACAGAACATCTCGTGCACACTTAAGGAACTGGTCAAATTTTGATACAGTGTGCAGGGAGGCATTTGTCCACATTGATAGAAATGATTAAATTACAACAAGAACCTCAGGTTACTTACCTCTACACCTCATTATACGTTATCTTTACCCACGTGCTTTCACAGGCTGGTTAGTGTTTGACAGTCTGTTTGACAAAGCTGGCACATTAAATTGAAAACATTGTTAAGCAGAAACCCATACCTGCGCATCCACCTCATCGAAGAGTTGACACCAGGGGGAGTTAACCGTTTTGATCGCAAACTCGTAAGCACATAAGTAAAATGCTGCTTCAGCCATATCTGGGGGAGAAAGTTGCAACAAAAAAGTTTAAAAGTAGTGACTTCAGACAAACCAGGGAGCCATTCAAAGAAACACTGAGAGGTTTGTTTGCTTTTTTTCATAACTACATTAATGTTAAGTCTGTTTGTGTCAAGGTCATAAATTAATTCAGTGATGGTAACAGCACATTCTACATAGTTTATATCATAAACAGCACCCCCTACTGTACAATAATTTAAATGTGTAATATGACCAAATATGTTCAACATTATATATGTGATATGATGATATAATGTGTTCTTTATTTACTTTCCTATGCAAACATATAAATAGTAAGATAGTAGTTAAAAATAGAAAAACAACATTTAATAAAAGAGACAAAATAAAGTATAGATCTGACCCAGACAGCTCTTTTAAAATACATTAAGTAAAACTCTTCAAAAAGGAAAGGGACGGTTAACTTTTCAAACTTTTTAAAGTATACAGACTCTACAACTAGCCGTAAGGGAGAGGATAAATATCACTGTACTGCCTTTGGTTCAGTGAAAGGGAACAGGATTGCACTTTTGCTTTGTTTTATTGAACAAAGGAGCATCCTGTTTGTGTACAGACAAACACATCTTTTGTCTTTGCTCTGCTTTTCCATAACTTTAACTTAAAGCTCCAACACTTTGGTTTTAATTGGCACGGTTACTTGTTGCCCACAGCTGTGAAGATGGTTTTATGTGGTTCAAAGTCTCAGAAACAACACTAATAACAGCCTATGGGAGTACAATGAGTGAACACTCCTGCACTCCGAGTGCAAATTTCACACTCTGCTGGCATTGTGTTGTCTGATACGAATGCACATGGCTTTTGATTGTGACCAGTCCAACACAAACCTGAGTGATAACCCTGCTGTTTAATCAGCATCATGATATGCTGCACCTATGAGGTGGACAGGTTTTCTTGGGAAATTTTTTTTTTTAAATAAATCATGTGCAAAAACTTCAAATTTTCTGGATTCTGCTTTTTTTTTAAAGTTGAATATGATTTTAGTGGCAGGGCAAAACGTATTCCTTATTCCTGCTCTGTTAAAGGGATATTCCGGCATAAAATTATTTTAGGGTCAAACACACCGTAACACCGAGTTAGACACACCGTGTTGAAGCAAGACCTCGGGCCAGCCCATTATGGACGACAGCGGGGGGACACAGCTCAAGGAAGAACATTTATGATCATTCCTTGAAGTAATAAGCGGTAGTTCTTCTGCCTTAGCGTCTCGGTCTGATTGCATTTTCATGAAGAAATGATCATAAATGTTCTTCGTTGAGCTGTGTCACCCCACAGCAGTCTGTATTAGACTGGCTGAGGTCTCACTACAAACAAGCAGCTTCTGGAAGAGAGTAGGTAAGCTGTGTTTAGTCTCTTTGCTAAAGAAATTAGGTGAAGCTAAAAAGATGTTTGGTGTTTAGTACTATGGCTAGGACCCTATATGTACTGTTGATGAAGTTAGGTGCTCTTTTCAGCATTATTTGTGGCTATAAAGTGGCGTTTTGTAAACTGAGTGTTCTTCTGTACTTTCACAACAGATCATACTGACCGTCTGATATGGTGTTGTACGGCACTCTGAGACGGTCTGCAATCTTCTCCTGGACTCTCCTCATCTCAGGTCCCTGCCTGAATTTGTCCAGCTCAGACATGGCCGAGGGGTTGTTATCAACTTCCTCCAAAAATCTGGTGCACTGGTCAAAAAATCTCATGAGGGCATCGTTCACTGCATGGTCAAACTCCTTATCTGGGTAGAAAATGAGAGCGATAACAGAAAATGCATTTTACTGTGGATTGTCTGCAATAGCCTCTATAATATCACGTGGTCATACCTGTGATGGCCCACAGCTCCGTCAGGCCTGCCTTGAAGGACAGAGTGCTGTTGACACACCTGTGCTTTGAGCTGGTTATAAATCTGATGTGTCCATTTCTGAGCTTCTCCTCTGAGATCAATGAGGGGAACAGCTTTGACAGCCTGACAGCTAGATGCATGTGATCCTTCACTCCTTTCTGAACCAGTCTGCCGTCCATGTCCTCTGTGTACCACATCGTCCACTCAGTCTTGATCTCCTGCAGCCAGCTCTCCTTACCTGAGGCGCTGCTCTTCACCAGCTCGTACAGATTTTGCATTTTCTTCACATTTTTCACCGTCGGGTATCTTGTTCCGTGTCTTATTATCGCAGTCAGATGAATTTCTTGGCATTGTGCAGATGGAGGCTGTAAAATAGATCTGTTCACAGCGAGAATGTCCTCTATAAGGTACGGGTTCACTTCCTCGTACCTCCCTTTGGTGCTGAAATATTTGGCGATAGCCGGTATGTCTGGACTGTTCCCGGGGTTCACATCGTAACGCAAACAGCAGCAAAAGCAAAACAAAGAGGAGAGATGAATCAAAGTTATTTTCCACATTATTTTCGGCATGATGCAGCCGAGTGGATAGTCTGGTCTCATTCACCCCCAACTTCCCAAAACTGAGTGACGTAGTTTGTGGGGGTTTGTGTATGGAAAGCCAATGATGCCATAATTCTCTATCACTATAGGCGGACTGAACCATAGACTGTAAACAGAAAGAGTCTGAACTAAAACTCTTTTTTGTTGTTGTTTGTAACATATCTGTACTGCTGCTCCCAGTGTGACCCCTGTCCTGTACTGGGATTCACAGCTAGCTAAACTCTTCATGGCATCACATCCTCCAAGGAACAGACAGAGTTGATTCTGGACTAGATTTAATACCAGAAATCATGAAACTGAAACATAAAATACAGACAGCATCAATTAACAGCTGATACGGATTCTTAAAAAAGTTCAAATGAATGAATGAATGAGATCGCAGATCCCATATATACATGTGTACAGCAGAGACTGCAAACCTCGTCTCGTATAAATTAACCAATCACTCATAACTCGTTACTTACTCTCTACAACAGAGTAAACATTTAAACAATGAAATAAGAAATACTTCATGTCTTGCTTACTTATATTGCCACTCCAAGGGCTCAAACTTTAAATTGGAAATGGAATGAGTAGAAGAAGAATATGTCTGTATTATGTCACTTCCTACTAGGAACACATAAATAAATGAACTGCGCCCTCTAGAGGCCTAAAAAAGCAACTTAGAACAAAATATCCCTGCGCTGAGGTTTTGTTTTACATTTCACGAGTACTATTTCTTCATTGCATGAATGTTGAAAAGATGGCTGTGTCCACTGTTGAAAAGACATCCAAAAGTATGCTAAATTTACTTTTTTTTAACCAAAGTTATAAATGTGCAATTTTAAGTTTACGTTTGATTATCATTAATGCTTTGTTTTAGTTTAGGTGTTATGAGTTTGAGTGTTAGAGTGTTTCATAATATAGGATACTTGTTAGGAGCAAGACACAAAAGAGTTTGAAAAGCTATTACAATAAAGGGTATTGATTAAACACTAGTGTTTAGACCAGACATCAACGGGAATCAAACGGAGTCTGCGACAGATATTGCCAGCACTAATCCTGATGAGCCAAACTGGGGGCTACAGATAATCTTTGGAACACAGAGCTGCTGCTTTACCACTGGGTTGTAGTCCTGCCTGCTTTTTAGGAGACTGTTAAATTGATAATTTGTTGTAATGCCTAGTTGAACTAGAACTAGATGGAAAATCTGACTTATGCCCTTGTGTATATGGGAATCAAACCAGCAACTGAAGTTAATTATGTTGTAAGGGGTGGTTGCTCAACTGCTGAGTCAAGCTTCCTGAGGAGATGTAGTTGTTTGGATCTGTACAACAGTTTGAATTATGGTTTGCATAATTATAATGTAGAAGCAAGTTTTGTTGTCAGTTTCAACACGAGTTATGGCTTTCTTGGCTTTCCATACAAAAGTAACTAACGTGATGTTTCCTCGGAAAAAAAAAAGCCAGTGTCAATAGTAACACTGAGATTACATAAAAGACTATGATGGACATTGACTGCTTTGTATCACATTTGTACTTGAGCTTATCTTCATTCCTCATATATCTTCTGGTGTGAAAAACAAAATCAGTAACTTTTTTTCTTTTATTGTAGATACATCCTATTAGAAACTGCTTCATCTCTGATTCTGTAGTTTGACTATTCAATAAAAAGAAACTTCATGTACTTTCTCTTTCTCTGCCAAAGTAGCCCTGTAAGAAATACAAGTAAGGGTACATGATTTACAAAAATCTGCTTCAATTACAGATGCATCATTAAACAAGACACAAAATGAATGATCAATTTAGTGGTTCTGTATTAGTTGTGCCTTTATTGATTTGCCACAAGAAATCTACAACACAATGGGTTATCTTATGAAAAATTTTTGATTCAGTGCTTACAAAGAGCTGTCTGAAAATGCTCATTTTGAGCAAAAAAGTCATTTTCAACCAGCTACACTTGAGTAGAAGGAGCATGTCCAAAGTAGAGCAAATAAAATCAACTAATTCAGTATCATTTCTGGCCCATCTGCCATAACTTTATCAGGATTCTTGGGCAGCTGACACTCTGTCTCAAAGTCACAGCCTTGGAGCAGGTCCCTGTAGCGCTCTCTGACTTCCTGATACAGAGGCATGGAGGCCTCGGTCAAAACAGGGAAAGTTACAGGCTTCTCATTGAGCAGCGGCTGCAATCTCAGCTCACCATTTCCACAGTCGTACAGTACCAGGACTAAGTTAGCTGCGTAAGGTAACATGTGACTGGTGCGGAAGGTTCGTTGGGTCTGAGTGGCGTAGTTGGTGGAGGTCAGAGGACTGCTGTCCTTAAAGAAGCCCAGGAGGGTGAGCAGGGGCAGCAGGGTGTCAGCATGGCCCACTTGGATAGTCACAGCTTCTGTGACCTGCTGGCCTGTTCTGGTGAGACCAAATGGATTCAGAATGAAGTACAATTTTCACTCCAGCACAAACAAGATGTACTTTATAAGGAAATACATGTACAGTAAAGCAGATTCTACTAGTGCACTAAGCAATGATGAGTTATGTTACTGACTTGTTCTGTCTTGCTGCTCGGTCCAGTCGCCTAAACACATCATGGAAGAGGTTGCAGCTTGATTTGCTGTTTATGTCATGACCGTAGCCTCTTTTCCAGAATTCCCTCAGGTCACTTGCGTACTCCATCACCTGTGAGTGCAGATGTATCCCAAAGATAACCTGGTGTGACTGTACTTATGAGAAAGCTTTTAAAAAGAGGAGTATCCCAAGAGAGTTTGTGAAGCAGTCTGAGATGACATCTCAGGTCAGGTTAGGTCAGCTCGAAACACAAGACACAATTGCTCTTTGTTGTGAGCATAATGTCAAGGGCTTTCTTTCAGAATAAAAAGCAAACAGAGATGGAAAAGTCTTTCCTGCTATTTTAAGTTGCTTTTGACGGCCATCCCCTCTTCTCAGAAACAAGTAATTGGATATCTAAATGATTTGTCTGACTCTGAAGGTGCTCTGTGCCTCTGACCTAGTAAGATGGGGTTATTTGTTTGCTTTGTCCTGTTTGTGTTGGACTCCAAAGCTCTGGTAGTTTCTGTACATTTCTTTGCCCTCATTTGACCCAGTGTGCACCTTAAACGCCTCTGAGTATGTTTGCTTCAATATAAGGGCAAAATAAACATAGACATATTTCTGTGATGAAGGTACTGGTTCCTTGCCTCACCTCTAAAATGTTGTGGGAGATAAGCTCGGGATAAATATAAACAATATTTGCATATGCATTTGCAAATATTTGCATTATGTACAGGAACATCTTGTTACTTGGTGACTGAAAACTCCTAAAATAAACAAACTTGTCAGGATAAAACTGTGCATATATTTTATGCCAAAGCTGTAACATTTTTGAAACTCAGCACTATTTTTGGGATGTGCACTCCTCACAGGATACAGGATAAACATGTCAAAGTTAAAAATGACAAATGAATAATGCCTGATTTCCATTTAGCTGAGCGGCCACTCAAAAGCCACATATCCACCTCTATGCTTTCCCACTGTAAAAAAAATGGCCATTTGTGTATGAAACATCCCCTTTAAATGCACTGTAATAAAGGCTGAGACACTTGAATCTTCAGTTCAGCTTCCTCCTGGATAAATGTCATTAGGCCAACAAACATAAGTACTTGTTGCCACATTCAAACCACTTATAGTCGACCACCATTCTCTCCTACCTTTGCATCATCCTCATCAAAAAGCTGACACCAGGGGGAGTTCACCTCCTTGATTGCAAATTCATAAGCACACAAATAAAATGCAGCTTCAGCCAAATCTGCAGGAGAAAAGCAGGAAGGTTTTTTCAGTGTACGAGATAATTATATTATTTAAGAATCTTACAAGCCAAAATACAATAGTACATATTATTCAGTTTATGGTTTTGTATCACTTTTAATGGAACACTTCCAGACTGTTTGTATTAGGAGCAATTATTAAGGTTAAAAATCTAAGGAAGGTCAATTTATTGATGCTTTATGATCTTGTGACAATCTCGTGACAACTATGTATGTGTAAAAACCTGTAATACTATGATCAAAACCTGTTGTGGAGGCCTTGGTACTGCAATTTTTGAAAATAGCTCCACCTATTGGCCACTGTGATTTGTTTTAATATAGTAGTGCCTAACTCCTGATATTCATTATTTTACCTTAAATAACTAACATTAAGTCTGTTTCAGGCTGTAAAAAGGCAAAAACAACTTTACAAAATGAAGGATCACTCTCTTCACATAAGACCACTGAAATCATGCCTTTGTGGAGTAATGCAGAAGGACAAATACTGAAAGAAGCGTGCACATATCACTCAGAAAGGTTAAAAGGTAGGTTTTCTGCAGATACAACCTTGTGTGATGAGACTGTGTGGCACTCTGAGACGGTCTGCAATCTTCTCCTGGACTCTCCTCATCTCTGGTCCCTGCTTAAACTTTTCCACCTCCTCCACAGCTGAAGGGTTTTTATCAACTTCCTCCACAAATCTAGCACACTGGTCAAAAAACCTCACAAGTGCATCGTTCACTTCATGGTCAAACTCCTTATCTGCGAAAATAAATCAGCAGGTTTTAATGAAAGTGAATGGAAGTGCTAAACCATAATGATATCACGTGGTCATACCTGTGATGGCCCACAGCTCTGTCAGGCCTGCCTTGAAGGACAGAGTGCTGTTGACACACCTGTGCTTTGAGCTGGTTATAAATCTGATGTGTCCATTTCTGAGCTTCTCCTCTGAGATCAATGAGGGGAACAGCTTTGACAGCCTGACAGCTAAGTGCTTGAGTTCATCCACTCCTTTCTGGACCAGTCTGCCATCCATGTCCTCTGTGTACCACATTCTCCACTGGGTTAGGACCTCCTGCAGCCAGTTTTCTTCACCTGAGGCATGATGCACGGTGATATTGTAGAGCTGCTGCATTTCCTTAATGAGTTTGCTTGTAGGGTACCTCGTTCCATGTCTTATAATCGCAGTCAGGTGAATTTCTTGGCATTGTGCAGATGGAAGCTGTAAAATAGATCTGTTCACAGCGAGAATGTCCTCTATAAGATGTGGGTTTACTTCCTCGTACCTTCCTTTTGTGTTGAAATATTGAGCGATTGCTGGTATATTTTGATCCCCCTCAGAGTTTCCATAGATAAAGAAAAAGGGTGAGAGGGTGAGGAAAGTAAACACAGTAGATGTTCTCAGAAAAGTCAGTATAATGCATCCGAGAAGAGGCTTGAAATCAGCTGTCACTTAAACTTTACAAACCTAAAACAACAGTGTGACAGCATTACGAACGGAACAGAGCAGAGTCCAGTACTGCGTGTTTGCCCAAGTTACCTCACAGCAGCATTTTCCACAAATAAGTAAACACATTGTGTATTTGCACAATAGCCATTTGAAGGTTGTCTTCAAATGGAAAAACAAGTCAAATAAAAGCATTTTGTCTAATGGGATAACAGGATGTAAATGTAAAAGATGTTACCAACTGTAAGGGCTCTGCAGTACATAATGAATCTACAAATACAGACATTTTAGGGATTTGGTCCTATTGTAGAACATTGAAAAGCGCTTTTCTGGTTTATTGAACTCAATTAAGTCATTCAGATCCCTTACAAACTTTGATGGCTAACTGTGCTGCCTGCATTTATCCTTGTAACTTTTCTGAAACTTAGCAATTATTTTTCTTAAGCATTTTTCCCTTAAGTCTTTCTAAGTAATAAAACAAACTGGGTTGAATGTCTTTCTTCTTATAAAATGAGCAAGACCATCAGGATGAACACTAAATTCTTCATGAATACCCTAAACTGCAAGTAGGTGTCAGATGAACTGATTGACTGCACGCTGCAGATACAGCCTGAATCCTATTTTCAATGGCAAAGATTCACAACAAGATGAACCTGACTGTTGGAAAAAGATGGATGAGAATTTAAGAAACACAAATTAGGCATGTACATAATGAAATAAGCAAAACGACAGGAGATACATCTTTGACCACAGGGGGGGACCAAAACTGGTAAAAGCCAAAAGTTCATCACAGGAGGTTTAATTGATGTCTACATTTCAGAAACAGTAAGGAAAACTCAAAAAAGTATGGTATCTCAGCCAGTAACTTCTTTTCTATAATTTGCTGTCTGTGGACATCCTTAGCCATCATGATTCAAACCTGAAACCAAAAGGTAAAGGAAACATTTCACCTGAGGATAACATCTGAAAGATAAAATGAAGAGTTTCAGGTTTTATGTTATCTTCAGACCTGCAAGTCTTACACAGACCGTTTTGAATTAAAGTGATAACACCCTGTGAGATGAATAAAACGGATCAATGCTGAAATAGTGATTCATGATTGAGTCACATATCAGCTGGGGTGGATAAGGATGTAACCAAAGAACAGAGGGTGATATTTAGGACAAAATCAGAGAAAATGTACTCAGTAGATATCTAAACTGAGTTGGCCTGATTTATCAAGGTAGTGTGTGAACAGAGGCATCAAAGTAGCTTTATTCATTCTTCAGGAATACAAGGCATGATCATTCAATTATTGTGTTTTTTTTTTGTTCAGAAATGGGTTTCCAAGTTGTTGATGACAGCCAATTAATAGCTGAAATTGTTACTCTATGACCTTTATCTACAATAATTTGTAACAGTGGAGAAAAGCACACGACACAGTAGATGAATAAAACGACTTTATGATAATTTTGCTCATTAATTTGGATTCCATCCCTTTCATTTGCATGTGTTTGCTGAAGTCCTTCTGAATTTTGTTAGTCTACTGATCTAACAATTAAATCATTTTAATTCTCGGAAATACAAACACAATTTTGGCGTCATCTAAATCATATAACTTCCTTTAAAAAAAAAAAAATTAATTCTGACTTTTTTTTTAATTTTTACTTTCACCAATAGATGGCCTCACTTAAGGCAAAAAAGGGTTTGCTCGTGCTACTCCAACGCTGCATTTTTTGCGTAGTTGACACGTTTGCTGCGTTCAAATGCTCTCTGTATGCTCCAAAATATGAAACTCTGTAGGTGGCATTAGGCTGACACGTGTTCTAAAGAGCAAAATCATGATCAGAGTGGGGTTTGATGTTTACTGAAGTTAAGATTTAAGTCTTTACTTGTATTTAGCCAACTTTTTAAAAAATTTTAACTAGAAATTATCTTTGTGAAACGTGCTTGGGTTGTAAAACTGTCCCATGCATTGTTTCTGATGGTGTCTTTGAAAGATTATGTAGGACTTCGACTAATTTACAAGAAAAGGGTTGTCTTATTTTATGATAGACATGCTAAAGGCAACAATGTTTTATTTTTTAAAACCTCTTTATTTTAGGCAAGTCTTACTTCGTGAAAAGAAAAAAAATGACAGTTTCAGAAAAGAAATGACAATGTTTGTGCTCATCTGAAGGTCTGAGAATTGTTATTGAGACAGTTACGCTTTCAGTTTCATTTCTTGTGCTTCCTTGATGTAGGTGAGAGGGGGGTAAGTTGAGTCAAAAGGTAAGTTGCTTGGAAATGGTAAAAGAAATTGATCATGTGACCAAATATTTAGGAGATGGGCATCAATTCATGAGTCTGTGAAGGTTCGAAGCACATGGGTGAAGGGGTTAGACATTTATTTCCAAAAAAACACCTTTTTTTACTCTTGAAAGTAAATTTAGTCCATCATAAGTTTTATTAGAATTGTGTTCAGACCAAATAAGATCATTTTAAATCTGTTTTATACATCAACTGTGGTATCTATGAGCTACAACATGGAGTCAAAAACCTAGCATAAAAGTCCACCATTTTAGCTTTGATGACTAATAAAGTCATCATAGTAGTTCTGCGGTAAGTTGAGTCAGTGGCTCAAGTGAGAAAGTAAATGAGTCTGATGAGAGGATCAGAGTTTCAGTTCAGATTGTTGAAATGTTTTACTTTTTCTTTTCAAAAATACAGTTTTGAATGTTCTGAATCAGTTAAAGACATCCTCGTGTTAAAATGGCTTTTTACAAAACAGTGAATAGCATATGATAGATAAAAACATGAATATGAACAAGTGACTGTTATTTAGGGATAGAGAAGGTGAGGGAGGGCTGGGGTGGAGAGTGGAGGGGTAGAAGGGATACAGCGCAACTTACCCCGCTCCTATGGTCAACTTTCCCCATACACAGTATAAGTTGACTATAGGAGACCACTTTTTTTTGGCATGCTATATCATCAAGACAGTTATGTTTACACTCATTCTGTTGCTTTCCAGGGATACACAACATCTTGAAATATATGCAGATACACTAGATAGAGACAAAACTATAATTGCTTTGATTGTAGTGATCAGAAATATGAAAAATGGCTCATCTTACCCCACTCTCCCTTATGCCCTTTAAACGTCTTCTGCTTAGAGTTTTTATCGTGGGTTGAGTTTTCATAATCAAAAATCGTTTTTTTCCTGATTTTTCGTGAAGACATCATATGACGTCATGAAGGGAACTCCCCGCTTCTCCAGTCACAAACCGCCTCCCCATGAAAACACCGGACAGACTCACAGAGAGGGATCCTTGGCACATTGCGGTGACATCCACAACTCAACGAAAAGAAGCCCTTCAACATTTCAACGACAAGGTAACAAGCCGATTAATTTAACACATTAATATTTCTCTAGAAGCAGCAGTTAATGGCCCTTTGTCGACCTTTTGTGGTGTTAAACATAAACAGTGTGTTACTCAGGCTGTGCTGAGGTGTCTGTGGGTTCTGTCTGCTGTAACGTTAGCACCAACTCCACACAGCTGCTGCTGTTGTAACGTTATGCTGCGTCCCTCCTGGTATGCATTGTTCTTCCCGTTATATGCACAGCCAAACCACCCAATGTTAGCTGACTAAACCGCCCCCGTGGCCTCGTACTGAAGCATTTTTCTCTATTTCCCCTCGTTATCATTATAATCCTGATACAACGTGATAGGTAAGGAAGCTACACTCAGTCCGCGCTGGGTTCATTTTCAACTCGAGGGGTTATTTATATTAGAGTTATGGCAATAAAACAGCAGATACGAGAATTAAAATTGTTAATAAAATGCTAACAGGTATGCTGTTTCGTGCTGAGAATACACGACCCCAGCCCAGTTTAGACCGCCTTTTAGCATACGAGCTAGCTAGCTTAAATGTTGAAGACGCCAGCTTGTTATCTATTTTTAGGTGGTCAGACTGTAAGCTCTTAAGCCACTCTTAACAGTGACCAATGAGGCCTTGTTTTGAATGAAAGAACTGTGTTTTTACCACATTGAACCACCTGTGTCCGCCATGGTTTCGATGTAACGCTATTCCCAGGTGTGTCTGTGGATGTTACACTAGCAGTGGATAGCCAAATATTCCCTCATCTGATCTTCCTCCCTGCTTGTGTGTAAATATTAACCCAGAGCAATAACTGTAGTCAAACATTTGTCTATGTTCTGCCTCTGTTGGCAGGGTCACATTTGGGATCTGTGTTTCTTTTTCCCTTGGTTTATTCTCCTCAGAGGAGGGCGGAACGAGTGACTCGTTTTAGCCTCGTTTTTTTTCCGCAGACATGTCTCTTTCCTCTTTTGGGGAAAAAAAGGGGACAAACTTGATCGAGGGTTGTGTCGTTGGAAAAAATACACGTGTGCTCTATTGGCAGGAATCATTAAGTGCCAACCAAGCTGGAAAATTAACACAAAAACCAGATCATGGACGTTTGAGATACAAAAGTAGATTTATACATATGTGATGACTTCTTTAAACATTTCTCCATCAATCCATCATACTTCTGACATCCTTTTTTTTTTTTTTAATTTAATATTTGTTAAATTTTTAACCACAATAATGCATCTCAATACAACTAATTTCTTTTCCTCCTTCCAGCCTAATGAGTATTTTCACATACATTCACAGATAATGTAGGATTAAAGGTCCTCACACACTAAGACCGACTTAAATATACAACGCGAAATTACGAAATATTCAGAGGCGAATTTTGATGCGCCTGACTAGACACATCAAGCGCAATGCGATTTTGTGACTTTCCAAGGGGAAAAAAGACAGGTCCCGGGTGGAAGCGAGAAGACTGACACAACACCAGACTGATTGTTTTTCAGTTCTGATTAGACACTAGTGTTGAGATGGCTGTCTGTCATGATAGCATGTACTGAGTCGGGGCCAGTACCAGATAAGCACATTAAACTGTAATCCATAAATGTAAGGTAACAACCGAGACCTTACGGCGCTGTGACGGCAACGCAATTGAGTTTGAGACAGTGAAAATACATATGGTATGTTGTATCTGAACAGGTTAGCTTACGTTACTTACGTTAAAGTTACTTAGCAGAGATGAAAGTTAAAACAAAAACGCTTAGCAAACTGTTAAAGCACACAAACTATCCAAAACAATCAGCCATGTTGGATATACCGGTGAATCAGACGTCGCAACAACACGCAATGTGATTGGTCAGAAGTGGAAACACTGTATGCTGCTTTAGAAAAATCAAACGTGATCCGAAAAAATAAATGCTGCAATATCACAGGACGGGAAAACGTCGCTGATGTGAACGCTCGTATTGACAGGACAGGTTCGAGAAAAAAAATACTGACGTCCGAAATAATCGCACAATAAAAACGGTCCGGGTGTGAAAGGACCTTTTAGTCAAAGAGAATAATCATAGTAATCATCAAAAATAACCAATGTCCGCTTCAAAGTACAGATTTATAGGCACCAATTCTACTCAGGATGACAGTATTTTGATATGAATAGAAAGTACTTACACTATTAACATAAACTTTCATTGCATCAATAAAAGTACCACAAGTTCCCATCTTTCAATAAGCCTTAGTGAAAATGTGATCTGCTCCATTTGATAAATATCCCAGACTTTATGAATTCAGATATTGTATGAGGGAGGTTCTGGTTTCAGCCGTCTGATGGTTATAGACTTCAAGGCTGCAGTCAATAAATAGTATGTTTAAGATGTATTTGTCTGACCTCCTGTCCAAACCCTCAGGCGTTACTCCCAGTATTGCAACCTTGAAGTCTTGCAGGATATTCATTTAAGAAAAAACCTCCTTCAGGGTGTTGAAAACCTCCATCCAAAACACACTTAATTTAGGGCATAGCCAAAATATGTGGATGTATTTAGCTATTTGGGCTCCACAGTTTCTCCAACATGAACTGGGATATTGTGGACCCATCTTGGACTCTATCTCTGGTGTTCTGAAATATCTAGTTATTCTTTTCCATTTGAAATCCCCCCATGTATAAGAATTTGTAACCAGATACATACATTGTACCAATCCTCCTGAGAAATGTCTATGTTTGCCTCCACCTCACATCTCCCCTTTGTTTGTAAAGAGTTATTTTGATTGTAGACATACATTTTAAAAGTTAATTTCCACACTGCTGCTTCCCACACCATCCACTAAGTCCACAGTAAACCTCCAGGACGGATAGATGAGCCAAGAGAGACAGTGATTGAAACAAACAGGGAGTTGTCTGAGAAGCGGATCTGGTGAGAAAGCAGTTTTTCACAGACATAAACAGTGTGACTGCAGTGAGAGTCTAAAGGGGGCAAAATGTTAAAGGAAGTCAATGGGGTCTATTGTCGGCACTGCATGCAGCCCAGTTGCAGAGCAAGCCTCATTGCTGAAGCTGAGCATGTCAGAGTATCAACAAGTGGAAACAATGAGTTTTCTGTAGAGGAGGCGGCCATGATTCAACCCCAAGAAAGTGTCTCAGCTGAAACCCTAACCTATCTGACTAATAGTAGCTTAGATGATTCATTTTGTCCATCCTGAAGAAAAGCTAATGTATGGCTGTCATCCTTAGAGTACAGTTTAATTGTTTTCATATTCTGAAAATATTCAATAAAACTGTTTATCAAGCTTAATCTGCCCTAACAATACATCTAACCAATAAGACTTCTCCCTTAAGGGGGATTTCCATTACTTTAATTAGCTGCAGATTCCATCATGACCAGTTTAGAATTTAAATCATCTTAGCTCTACTGGATATGACTCATTCTCAACTTAAGATATGGCATGTCTTAGTTTACTGGTACTTGTAATTCTCTTAGTCGTATTTATACTTATCTGTTGTAACCAGTGATGTTGGCAAGCTGTGCAAATTTCTGATCTTAATTTTGAAGGGAAAACGTAAATTGAAATAGAGCACATCAATAATACAAGACAAGGGCAACGGATAAGATTTATACGGACACTCAGTGACAAGAAAAAAGATAAATCATAATATCTGACCAGACAGGGACAGATAATAAATTCACTTGATAAATAATCTTAATTTATGACGGCTGTCTGTGACAAAGACCAATATTTGGTCATTTTGAGACCCAGTTTCTAAATTGTATCAAATATTTTGCTGTTGTTTTGAGATCTTTTTAAGAAAAACACCAATAGACTTTTATGTTGTTGAGCAGTTTTCACTTTCTTTCACTTTAACTTTTTTTCCCCTCATGACCACATACGTAGTACGGAGCACAAACAAATATTAGACGAGACAAATAATCAGACGTAGCAAGCAGGCAGTAGGGCTGTGCGTACTTTTTACATATATCTCTGGCCAAAACATAACACATGGAACAAAAAGTATCATTTAAACAGAGGAAGGACATGCCTCAGGAAGGCACCCAGCTGATATATAACTTTTTTTATCTGACTGTAATAACAGGATTAGTTTAAACATAGATGAGCGACAAACATAATATTTAGGAATGTATTTTTCTCTTAGATATGCGATACATGCGATACTTGTGCAATCCATTCCCTCACATATTTGTTTGCTGACTGACTAGCTGTTGACCAACCCTACTCCCAGGTGAACAGAGTTTGCATTAAGTGCTTGATTATGTTTGTTGTCCTAATAGACTGACCCAGTTGAAGAAAATCTGTTTTGGATTCAAACACTGCTCCATTAGTGTCTTGTTACTGTTTCAGTTTTTACTTCCAAGGAAAGATATCCCACTATTTGGGATATTGCACTTGTTCTTTCAGGCTTAGATACCTCAAGGTAACCACCGTGAGCTTCCTCTGAGGATAATAAGTTGAAATACAGCTGATATTTGAGAATCAAACAAATACGAGTATCTATCTATCTGCCTCTGTTAGTGTATTTTGAACCTCAACGGTCACCGTAATGGTGTAATTCTACGACTTAATGGCCTTTGTCTGTTTGTTGGTCTTTGGTAGTAAATGGAGACGGCCAGTAGCCATTGATCATTTGATTTCCATAATAGATTCTGCCTCCAGAGCACCAATACATAATGGCTTTAATCTTGTTAGGGCCATAATTAGAAACACATGAAGTCAAACTACCACTCACATGATGTCCCAGTTTCCTGTGGCCTATACTGCTTTTTTCAAATCTAGGCTATTAGCAGTTGGGTGTAGCCTATTTTGTGCTTTTTAGACTGTAAACTATGCCACAATAAGAGATCAAATGTTGATTATCTTTGTGGAACAGAAAGGCAGTGTTTAGTCAGTCTGATGTCATTTTCCTATCGTGGGCTTTGTATGAATAAGTAAAGAAAGCCACCCAGACTTCAGAATGAATGCTGCACAGTTTGACAGTAAGGGAGCATGCGTGATGTAGTTGTTTATATCGAACCAGTTGCTGCAGAGAAATAGTACTGATGTGCATCTGGATAAGAGTGAGGAAGGAGAGTTTTTGTAAGGAATTTTAAGTAGTGCAAGCTGCCTCTTTGTTGTCCTGCTTGTTGTGGGTTTGTCCTATTGTCTTGCCTGCATGGACCTGAGCTGACAAACTCTCTGCTCTGACTTGTTTCATGAAATCTTCTGTCCTCCTCCTGCATTCCACTCATCTATCAAGTTTCATTGGGTGTTTGGTGTACATGCATTTAATTGCACACATGGGCTCAATCTCTACTCAGACTCCTCTTGGCCTACCACCCCTCCCCTTCTGCTTTGCATAGGGTTGGGTGTCTGGTTTCTTTAAGGGGATCCAGAGTCGCGGTCATCCAACCCTTCAAGATGTGAGGACAAGGATCAGTGAGGGACAGGAGTTCATATTCCATGTTTTGTATGTGAGTCTTTAACACATGTTGTGGTGGTCCACTTGAATTGGAAACTCTGAAAACTCTGAATGGACCTGAACCCAGACAAAGGCAATGAAGAACAAGAGGGGGCAGAGGGGATTTGGGATTGGACTAAGTGAGATTATTTGATGTACGCCTGCTAATACCCTATTTAAGAAGTATTTTGGCGTTTTTCAAACTCAAAGTAGTGCCATGTTCGTTTCTGTATAGGGGTCAAGAGGGTGCTTGTGTACCTTGGCTATGAATTTTGTGAGCAATGACTCTCTTATTCAATGTGCATCAATTTCCAATATTTCAAAGTTTTGGCATATTTGTGACTAGGGCTGGACGATGAAACGATAATGAGGTATATCAAAAATGATTTTCCCTCAATATCGATATGAAACATGGTCAATATGCTTTTTGATAGCCGGCGTTCTGCCATGTTTTGGTAGACTATACGAATAGCCAATGAAAAGGGGAGTTGCTCCAGGTCCGCGCCGCACTGAACTGATGATTTTGTCCGTTTTCTCAAGCGTAACGCCTTACGACAAAACGCTGAATAGACACAAAGACCTTACAGATGCAGTAGCTTATTGTATTGCGAAAGACCTGCTACCTAATAAGCACTGTTAAATTATTTTTTTTATATCATGATATATATCAAAATCGACTTATATGGAAAAAAATATATTGTGATAAACTTTTTCCCATATCGTCCAGCCCTATTTGTGACTATATCTAAGTGTAGAAGTAGATGTAGTGGAAGAAAACTTTCTCTGTGGTTACTGCAAGAGCTCTTCTCAGCCAACACCTTGTAAGCCTGGTTTAAAGGTGTGAACTCAATGGTTAGAGGGTGCAACAGCGTGCAAATCTTGGAGGTAGCATTGCTGAAAAGTGGAACAACTGGAAACCTTGACTGCATCTGGAAGTTATTTGTTTAATGTTACACCCTATGAGGCAATTAAGAAGGTAAATGCGGTATTGTGTAGTTATACATAGGTCTTAGAAAAGTCATCTAAGGCCAGTAGAAAGTCTTCATGTTGTGTCAGGTTTTTTTCTTAAATAGAGTCTAGCTAAGACAGACATTTGTGGTGATATGTCAAGTGAAAAAGAGGAACCAAAACACCTGTCTGTAGTTTTTCTCATGTCTTTTCTGTCAAGCTGTCTGTCTGGTTGGTACAGACTTTTTACCGTTCAGATAGTTGATCATTTAAAAGACAGACAGAAAGCTTGGCTGCCAACTAATTGTTCCCTGTTGACCAAAACCCTCCCTGTGTGTTATCTTAGATATTATTTCTGATGTGCCTGCAGCCGTGCAGTGGAACAGAGAGGCTGGGCAAGTTGTGTGTTAGTTCCTCTGGGGCTGTGAGGGCCTGACATCCAGATAAGTGACTCATAAAACCACAGGTGGTTCCCTCATTAGCAGACAGCAGCCAGCAGTACAAGAGTTGTTGTGTCATTCAGCTCAACTCCCCCAAGACCTCTGTAAGGGCAATCTGCGCTTTATGGTCTGTCTCATCTTTACCCTCTGCCAAACACACAGCCCTGTTAATTAACAGGCTGACTGGACATAACACAGCTCCAAGGTGGCACTGTTTCCAAGGTCTGCATGATGAAAATGTTGCATCATGCTATTGTACTTAAGTATTTTCAACTTCAGCTTAAGGGATTTCAGGTGAGTAATTACAGAATCAAGGTATCAGGTCTAAAACTGATGACTGACAAAGCAGGGAATAAATGGAAAGGAAATTATCAAAGTAGAAATTTTAAAGTAGGTAATTATTAAATAAATGTTGTATTATGCAACTGAAGTATCTCAAAGAGAAAAGTACACTAGCTACAGTAGCTTAATGATAACAGCAAAGAAGTAACACTTTCTGAGACATAGATGTGTAATGTTTTTTACTTGGGGGGTGTCAGGGTTTTGACCAATGTGTCATATGGTGATTAACAGGCAACCACTGATAAACAGGAAGCATGTTTGAATGTTTCATTGTTTGTAAAACGGAAATCAATTGATCCAGTTGACAAAGTGCAAAGACAACATCTCAAACAGTGACACTGATCAATGTTTTTTGAGAAAAAGGAGCTCCTTCTAAATCTGATGTCAGCATGTTTCAAAACTTGGGACGGGTTGTGTTTACCTTTTTGTTGCACCACCTCTTCTTTCAACAACACTATGCTGATGTTTCAGAACTGCGGAGAACCAGTTCCTGGAGTTTCAAGCTTTCAGTTTGCGACAAGTCTCGACTGCAGGCAAACCGTTTTAGCACCTGGACTTTGCTACTACGCAGCTATCAAGTTGTAATGTTGGCAAATTGCAGTTTGTCAGGGTCTTGTCTGAAAAAGGTAGCATGGCAGCATGTGTTATTCGAGAACCTGTTTTGTTCATTATGGACAGTGCCTTCTCAGATATGGAAGCTACTGATGCCAAGGGCACTTATGCCTCCCTATATTATCAGGAAAACTGGCTTTTGAAATGTGCTGATAACAAGCGGGGTCCTCCCCCTGGTCTTTGAAGCTGAGGACGGATGTACACAATTTTAAAAGAGAACGCCAAATTAGGTTTGTCAGACCTCAAGACAGTTTTCCACTTTGGCTCAGGCCGGCATTTTTGTTCCATTCACAGAGATAATCATAAAAATGATGACTTCCCTCTTTGAATCAAAGAAGTGTGTTCACCAACAGTGGTTTATAGAAGGGATTTTAAGACCATGTAGGGTTTTTCACTATAAAGTTAGGTCTTTTTTTAATGCACTTCTGCCTGAGGGCCTGAAAAACATGGCCTTCCAGTACTTGTTTCTAGCACCATTAATCCATTGGGGACTGTTTCCAAGGCGTTCTTTTTTCCCTGTTGTTTAGCAACATAACCTCATCAGTATTTTGTTGTCTCTGTTCAAACTGTTTTAAAATAAAGTCTTAATTGAGGATTTTAGACTTGGGGTTGTATTTTGATCTCTGGGAAATTTAGGTGAGTTCATCAACTGATAACACCCCTTGAATGGGCAAAAATATCTTTTTGACAGCTGAAGCTCATAGTTGGTTTCCAGCCTGGCAGCCACTTAAAAGCTAAGTATTGGGACCTGAAATGTTGTGTGTAGAAATCCTACAAATTTTGAAATGCATCTGAGGTGGTGAATGAGCAACAAAGGTTATCATTTTATCCTTTTTTTTTTAATATAAAGAGAGCAGTTTGAATCTCCAATTACTACAAGAGTAGTCTAGTTATCTCACAACAGTAAAGTGCTATATTTCCAGGGCAGTAGTAGGTGGATGTTATGTAATGCACGTGTTGGAGCTTCTGTTGTCAGCTGGTGTAGCTAACAGATTGATTACTCACTGATAAAAATAGATATCTGACCTCACTGCAGTGGACTTAATTCAAAGTAAATCTACTCTCTCAAGGCCACCTTCCTCGTATATTTTTCTAGCTCTGACTTGTTTGTGTGACTGTGTTGAGATGTTTGCGGCTTGTCCTGTTAGAGTTTGTTTTTCTCTAAGGCTGTTATGACATATCTGGTGAAGGTTGCTAAAGTGACTTTCAAAAGGATCTATCACAGCAGATAATTTATCTAGGATCTATGTGTTTGTGTTGCAATGTGTTTTATCACCATGTCAGATATATTAATCTGTCTCCATGACGTTGTTCCTTGAGATGAAGAAAAATCTGCATCTTTTCTTTAAAAAAACTGACTCTGAGTCGAAGTGGGGTAGTAACGCTTTAATTAGGTTTTATCGATTTGAGGACAACAAGAATCTGGCATGAAAACATTAAAAATATGAAAGAAACAAATTAAATTCTATAATGAAGCTCAGCTAATTGAATTAAAGTCATAAAAGAGGAGCTGTTTCGAAAAGTTGAATCTTTTTTTTACCTATTTTTCCATCATTCTTGCTTCCTAGCGACACATCCACGCTATTCTACCCCAGGCTCAGACCAACATTTTTGAAGTAAAACCGAATCTTATTCTCCTTATTTTATTTCTGAAAATATGGTCGAAAATCGGCGAGTTTTGGCCAATTACCGATTAGTCTCAAGCAGGCTAAAATTGGCAGATTTAATCGGCTCACTAAATCAGTCAGGCCCTAGTAAACATGACAGAGAAAATCAATCCCTAACCGCTTTATCCTGGTATGTTAGTCCAACTCGAAACCCAAATCAGAGTAGCTTTCTAACTGTCAGTTTCGGTCTTATGTCTACGATAGGAAAGCTTTACAAAGTTATTAAAAAATCTTTTAACAAAGTTTAGAATATGCCTTTTTAGATGATTAAGTTTTCTTAGATAATGAACTAGATAATGGAGAATGATGTGCAGTGAATTGCTAGGGCTGGGAGTTGAACCAACACTGGTACCTGGATGAGAGCCTCCAAATCTGGGGCATCCTGTCTAACTGCTGAGCCAATACAGCTGAAAACATTGTCTTTTTAGCGGCTCTAGACTTTTCCTCAAGGTTTGATTTGGGCTTGGTCCTGCTCACATATTTAAAATGATAGTAACTCTATGATCCAATTATAGGAACAGTAACACAGCAGCTGTGTTGCTGCTCGGTTTATTCTTGGTCCATCCAGATGCTGCATACAGCTGTTCACTTGAGTCTAGTTCTGCTTTTAAGTTTCTGTCTTATGTAGTTGAACATTTGTGAGAGGTAGAATACATCAAAGAGTTTGCTCTAGACCTGTTCCCTTTTGCCAAGTGTCCTGAGACAGTTTTTGTTAGAGCTGGGTTCTATAAAACTGAAGGATTTTTGATTGAGTACTTGGAAACCCAACATGAGAGTTGATGGGTGTTTATTTTTGGCCCAATAAAACACTTTTTATCGGGCCGGTGGGGTTTGGTAAGGAATTTGAGCTCTGTGAGAATGAGTTCAAGTCCACACTATCTGGCTATTATCCATCATTGCTTTTATAGTGTTTTAAATTAATGGGTAATCAGCTTATTTTTCATATGTATTCTAACTGTTTATACAGGTTGGATAGCAATTCATTTTGTGACTCACCACTTGTTGACTAATTGATATGAATATTTTCAGATGTCAGGCCAGAGCTTCCCCCTCTGATTCTGACTCATTTGACTCAATGATAATTTCAATTTGCCCAGGGTTGTTGGATACAAAGCCAGGGAAATGTCAATCAAAATGTGATCTACGTCGCCAACACAGTTTTGTGAAATCGTCTCAACACCAAGAAGAGCTGTAGTTTAATCAAGGATTTGTAAAAGTGATAAGTGATATTGTTCTTAGCCGAGCTTTCAATATGGACTCTGCCAACGTCACAGTAGTGCTAATGAGCTTCTTCTGGTCAACTTCAGTGTGTTAAACCTCAGAGTACAGACAGGTATTGCGTCAGCTTGTGACATGTTTTTGAGGTGGGCGAACGGATCCTTGAATCTTCAAAATGCTTCACATTCCGGGCATATTATTCATCTCTTCTGTGTCCACTGAAGCCAACCCTGCTGAAACCATTCCCCTGACCCTCCCAAGTAATTAAACAAGGACAGACTTTGTGCTGCTGGCCAGTGGGCATCTTAACATGTCATAGTTTAGCACAACTGCTTACTGTGTTAGAGCGAAGCCTCTTCTGTATATCACCCTTCAGTTACTAATAGGAAAATTCATACTTCATAAAGCTTAGTGGGAGTATATGAACTGGACTTTATGACTAAATCAACTACTGGACCATACATAGTTAATACTTAACCACATATCTGTCACTTTACCAGGCCGGCCCCAGCAGTGCAAATATTGGCTTTGTATTGTCTCTGTGTTGGGCGTTAGTACAGAAGGTGTAAAAGGATACAGGTGAGAGTATGTTGTTCACTCTTTGTTAGTTTGTCTATCTGGACAAAAAAGACCTGTAAAGGGATACCTCTCTTTCAGAAACGGTATAAAAGCACGGACAACACCCTTAGGACCCAATACAGGGAGACCGCAAACAAAGCATTCCTTTAACAACAGTGATTTGAGGGGGAATATCATGTTTGTTTGACGTAACAAGAGGAGAGTATCTCATGTATTGTCGTGGTCGATGGCAAATCTCATATCAAGTCGAGCCTGTCAAACATTGAGTGACCCAGTCCTATTTTTTTTTCTTTGTCAGCATGAATAGATAGAGACGACATAACTCTTATCATCACACTGCCAGCACAGTTTTGTCTCTGTTGCAATCTCCCTCCTCTTTATTTTTGGCTGCATCATCTCACTTGTTAAATAACAGCTAAATCACTTCTTCTGTAAAGTCGCCCTGAAAGACTCTCAGTTGCTTTTTCCTGCGTTTTACAAGACGATGATTGAACCCTGCTAGGATACCCCTATGTGGAAACTCTGGAATTGTTCGAGATTCGTTGTAGTATCCAGCTCAAGCTCAGGCATGTCGTTGTTTTGAGAAGTTCTTATTATGACGGCTTCAGGAACTGGGTGTTCAATTATTCCGAGTGTTTCCCAAGCGGCATCCTGCATTTGTTAGAAATGAGCTATGTATTCCAGATGATCAAGTGTTACTGTGGAGGCTTTTACAGGGGGGACATGCATGTCTGCGTGCCTATCTGTCTGCATGCCTGTCTTGTGTTTACAGCCTCCGGGCTATACGGCTCTGCGCTAACATCTCTTCAGTATTCACGCACTCCTGACACTTTGACAAAAGCCATTCTTTTCACCATCAGATTTTAATCTCAAAAGCCGCAAGTGTTGTACAAACCGTATAAACAACACAGAGTGAAATGAACTACAGGAAACTAATGTGCAGGAATAGAGATAGAGTAGTAGAAAGTAGAGTCAACAGGAGCTGGCTTCTGGTCATGCTGGCAGGGAAACGAATGAAGGAAGAGGCGAACTCTAAAAGACAGAAGGTGAAGATAGGTCAGAGAAACAATTTTCTTCCCCTCCCTCTGAGGCCGATGCTTTTGAGTTTATGAAAGAAGGAGAGGGAATTTAAAGCGGTACAAGTTCCTCTTTATTATGAAGCTCAAACTCCCATTAGGGATTTTCAAAAGGCTTAAAACTTGCAAAGTAGCTTAGTAATATACACGAGAATTTGTCAAGGCTGCAGTGCAAAATAATCAAGCAAACTTTAGCAGAGGTGCTGTGGTGTTAAAGTTCGACTATGTCCTTATTGCATGTTGTTGTAGGCCTTTGTAGTGGAGTTGTTCAGTGCCACTCTCGGCTGCCTAAAGATGGGCTAAGGATGGACTGTTTGTGTTTGTGTCAGCTTGACATATTGCACTCTCGGGTGGGATCTTTTTCTGGTGATGTCACATGGACCGCCTCGTACATTTCCCCCTTCTGTCGCCCCCACTGTGCTTCTCATAGGAAAGATTAGCACACAGGGGAGAAAAGCAGATACGGTAAGGCTTTAATTGAGTGTATGTGGTCCTGTATACAGTTATAGATTCACTAAAGCTCATTTCTTTCAACTGATCCTACTGTTACTCTGTTGACTTTCTTGTGTTTGTGTTTGAAAACGTGAGCTGTGAGGAAGTGATGACATGAAACCAGTCAAGGGTCTGACCTTTGTCCCTGAGGTTTCAGCGATGTTCTATCTTTGAATGGAGCGGCAGCTGCAGGATGCCTGTGGAAGCCTGCTCCTCTTTGATAGCGATGTTTCGCTCATTATTTATGTCTGTTTCCTCCTGTGTCCAGGCTGCACTAAAAGCCCTAAAAAAAAAATATTCTCTTTGAAATGTATTAAAACTAACTATATTTACATCAGAGAGGCATTTGATTGATATGAGACAACTAAAGAGATAACTTCTCAGCACAGGCGTGAGGACACTAACCTGCAAGATGGACTAAAGGATAGAGGTGCTAGCTCTGCAAGAGTTAGCCACACTGGCCATTTTTTGATTGCTTTTGGACGAGGGCTGGGCGATATGGCCTCAAATCAATATCACAACATATTGAGCAGTTCACCTCAAATGGACGATAACTACTCCACAAGCTGCTCACCCACTTTTGAACCCTCCTCCATCTCCTCACCTGTCTTTCCCTCGTTGTTACGGACTGGATGAGGTGGAGTCACGTCTCTGACGCAGGACGTCTTAAAGGGACATGAGACCACAGCCTACCTACACACATCCAAAACTAACTTTTATTTATTTGTTTTATTGACACCAAATATATTAACCTGGGCAAAATGACGTTGGTTGTTGTTTTCTGATAATCATCCAGCCCTACTTCGGTCTAGTGAGCTAATATGGAAATAAACTTCCCGTTGAAATGACAAGGAAATCAGTCACTTTGAAACACCCATAGTCCCAGTTTTGTTTCAGACATATGTGTACAAAAAGATGTTTGCATTATGCCGTCCAACCAAAGGCTGGATCAGAAAAGACCAGAAAGAAAACTGCGTTCTAAAATACTCAGAGAAAAGGTGGACAAACATTTTTGTTCTCTGACAAAAAAAAAAATGCTCTGCACATATTTTTTACACCTCAGGGATACACTCAATAAACAAAACTGTGTTTGTGTACAGGAAACCCCACAAGGCTTTTTTTTTCAAGTTAAACTTGCTCTGCTATTGTTCACACCACCAAGGGGGGCCTTGAGACAGCCTTGTCAAGTCTCCACCCAAAACCACGATGCAGCACTTCCTCAAAACCAAGTAGAAGATTGTGACTGAGTGGGTGTTTTGCAAAGCTTTAACATCACAGATTTGATGAAGTGAAAGTCAAGTGACAATTCATAATAGTAGTTGATTTTTACTCAAGTGCCTCAGACTGAAAAAGTTACTATTTCACTACAGATCATGGCTGTTAACTTTAGAGTAAACGCCAACGTTTTTACAGCCTCATCTAAAGACGAAGAGGGTTGTGGGTGTGGTGTCACTTTGAACTGAGCGACTCACATGCTGACAGTTCAGACAAGTTGTTTGAAGCAGGGCAGGCTGGGAGATGCTGAGTGAAACCCTGCTGGGTAAATATTGATTTTGGGGGAAGAAATATTAGGTCTCAGTAAAATAATAATTGTAAACCAGTTGGCTAAGTTTTCTCAGACATGTGAGCACACTTCAAACAATATGGGACTGTAATAAATATTTCCAGTAGTGCTATGAAAGCATGCGGTTGATTATTCAACCCGGAGATAAGGTGTGAGTTGTAATGTACACCTCAGGCTGTCACACAGAAGCATGGTTGTTTTTCCATTGCAGTGGGTGTAATTTGCATGATTTAAACAACCGTAAGATTTTCCTCTGTCCTTCAGGATTAAAACAATGAAAGTCGTGTTTAATGCACCTCCAGGGTGTGTATTTCTTGCTTCAAGTCAATGCCCACGTGTTTATTGTTATATGACACATAGCTGAGATGATTTATCCCTGACAGTAAGTGTAAACTCTCTGTCGGTTGGTTTATGCGCACACTCATAGTTCTTGTTTGTAAAGCATATAGATCACTGACTCTTTAAAACCTCAAAAACCTGAACACTGTTTTCTCCTGCTGCGTGCGTGCAGCGCTGAGTGCACCTGCTGTGTGTTGTTTTAATACGAGGTGTTGGTTAAAAAAAGGTCACTTCCTTCTTACGCATCAAACATCCTCAAATCAATGATGTGCGTTCTCTAAGTACAAGGCGGCTTCACAATGTGTAAACACCCGACAATAGAAGTCCCTGCTCAGTAAGCACACACCTCACCTCTCAAAGTAACGATCCAATCTCTCTCTGTGCCGTCTTCCTCCTGGTGTTGAGAAGTTTTTGTGCTTGCTAAAGCGAAACAAAGGCTTTCAAGTGGAAAACCCGGCTTTGTTTGGACAGTTGCTTCAGTTGTTTTCTTTTTATCTTGAGTAAAAGGCTGAAGTATTTCTGGACTTTCCTCTGTCTCTGTAGTTCAGTGCACTTAAAACAGTTCTGTGATCAAGTCAGCCCACTTCTGATTTTCACCTGTTAAGCCTCTGGCAAGAAACTATAGCATTAAAGGGATATTCTGGTGTAAAATTAATTTAGGGTTAAACACACGGTAACACCGAGTTAGACACCCCCTCGAGAGGTGAATGTTGCCGACCGCTTGCTTCTCTAGTTATACCAACTTTAGTAACAACCGCACAACAGCAATACACAGCGGTCTGAGGAGCCATAAACAAAGCTTTTCTTCGTGGAAATGCAATTAGACTGAGACGCTAAGGCAGAAGAACTACAGCATCTGCAGTGCAAAATAAGTAATATGGTGATTATTACTTCAGGGAAATGATGAAGAAATGATCATAAATGTTCTTCCTTGAGCTGCGTCACCCTGCAGCAGTCCCTAATGGACTGGCCTGAGGTCTCTGTACAAACAAGCAGCTGCTGGAAAAGAGTAGGTGAGTTGTGTTTACTGTATTTTTTGCACTATAAGGCGCACTAAAAATGCTTTTGGCTTGTCGGAGCACTGCAGCTACTGTAGCCTCATGGAGATGCGTGCATTGATGGTGCGCCTTATAATCAGGTGCGCCTTATAGTGGGAAAAATACGGTAGTCTCTTTGCTAAAGAAATTAGGCAAAGTAAAAAAGATGTGTGGTGGCTAGTGCTATGGCTAGGACCCTATATGTCCTGTTGATGAAGTTAGGTGCTGTTCTGAGCATTATTCGTGGCTATAGAGTGGCGTTTTGGTTGAGGTTTGTTTATGGCTCCTCACACCACTGTGTATCGCTATCTGCGGTCGTTACTAAAGTTGGTATAACTAGAGAAGCAAGCGGTCGGCAACATTCACCTCTTTAGGGGGTGTCTAACTCGGTGTTACGTTGTGTTTGACCCTAACTTAATTTTATGCCAGAATATCCCTTTAAAGGCCCCACCGCTTGGTCATCATCCAGTGTTTGTTTACCTCAGCACATCAGGCTTTGCTGTGGTGGGATTTTCCTCAACCTCGTGTTAAATGCAGATTCCTTATTAGCCTACAGCCAGTGCAATGTCCCGTGTGCACCACAGCTGAGTCTATTTGTATCATTTTACCCACTCATGTTATTCTGATGCATGTCGTTTTAGTGAATAACCACCCACAACTTAATACACAGCTGATTTTAATCGCATTGCAACCTCATATCCACGATTTAGTTCTTAAACAAAGATTAGTTTATAGTTTCAGGATTAATTTGTTTTTCCTATTGCCAGTTAAGTTGAGTGAGATTATTTCCCCACCGAGCTCTCTGTAAGCTGATTCATAGACCAAAGGTCCTCTGCACAAAGCTGACTCAGTGACAGCTAATCTCTAATGTGTCTGAATTGTACACACTGTTAACCCTCTGATGCAATAGCTCCTTTTTTTCCTTTTCAATCTTTTGCTCTGCTCAGTTCTGACTCCCTTTGCACCCTTAACTCTGCTAGTTTGGCAAGTATTTTCACACTTTCTCTTAAGTTTGTGTGTGTGTTACATTCAGGGTTATAAGGTCAAATTATTCTCTGAAGCTTGGCAGGAACAAATCAGATGCCAGGTGTTTGTTGGAGTTGTGGATGACCCAGCTTGTAACCCATTTTTTTGGCCCTGTTTTTCTGGCCTAAATGTGCAGGCCTCTGAGCTGAGCTGAGCTGAGCAGAGGGGAGGAGAGATGAGGTACTGATGTGCAGTTTGTTGTCCTGCCAACCAGCCTTTTGGCCTGCTAGCTGAGCTCGGCTGGCTGTGTCTGGGCCTGACTGCTGGCTGATTGCCCTCTTCACAGGGGTGGGGCTGTCTCACTGCTCGGTGCTGACCTTCACTCTGATTTATGATTTCCTCCTTGCAGTCTTCCCCCCCCCCCCTCCTGACTCTGTCTTTCCCTCTATGCATGCAGTAGATCAGGACATGCCCTCAGATGTACCTCACACTCCCCCTTGAACACAAGCAGGGCCACCCCGAGTCCACCGCCGACATCGCGCTGTGTAAACAAACTCATGATATGTAGCAGATGTGTGGGTTTGTTTCTCGTCTTGTTAATTTGGAGCTTTGCTGTTGCCTGAAGCTGGACTGAGAGAAACACACACTATGGAAAACAATATTTACAAGTTAAAAAGCTGGTTAGACAAAATTCCCCCTTTGCTAAATTTACATTTTAGGAACTTCTGTCATTTATGTCTTTGTTTTTGAGCGATGTACCGTTACAGTAAACTAAAAGACATGTTCAGATTAATTTGCAAACTCCAGCATTAAGGTCCTTTCACACCGGGACCGTTTTTATTCTGCGATTATTTGGGACGTCAGCGTAGGCCTGGGCGATTTGGCAAAACAAATGATCACAATATATTTTTTCATATCGTCCGATCTCGATTATTATCACAATTTGTTTTTAAACTGTTTAAAAATTTTAAGTTTTAAAGCATCTGTACTAAAAACTGAAGAAACTAGAGATTAGTTCAACATTTTATTAAACAGATCTGTCGTGTTGCCGGTTTTTGAAGCCATCGACGTACCTTACACATAAGCGGAATTTTTCGTCGTCACTTTGGAGATACCCGAACCACCACCACACAACCAACGTTGAATAATTTTCGTTCTCAACAATAACATCTTAGGAGGATGACTCAAAGTCACGGTTCCCGTTCGGTCATTCTCTTTACTTCTCCGGCAACTTACAGAAGTGAGCAGTATAGACTCTGATTGACTGTTGTGACGCACATTTCCGCCATGATTGAATGAGTAAATACGCTCACAGCTGATCACTGTGATCGAACTGAAATTTATCACGATCATCGATCACAATCATATAATCCCAATTCGCCATCACTTGAAGTTGAAGTAGTCCTCTCGCTTCCGCCTGGGACGCTGTGGGTTGTTTAGGGAAGGTCCCGCCCTCCTTCGCCTCTGATTGGCTATAAGTGCTGACCGTTTGGCTTGAGCGTGTGATGACATTTCCAGCATTACTAGCCAATCAGAGGTGAAGGAGGCGGGAGTTTCCCCCCGGAAAGTCTTCCCGGGATGCGTCTTCCCCCCCCCCAGAAAGTCGCAAAATCGCATCGGGCTTGATGTGTATAGTTAGGCACGTCAAAATTCGCCTCTGAAAATTCGCCTTCTGTAATTCATGTCGGCCCCGTGTGTAAGGACCTTTAAACTGTAGAAATCAAGATTTACGTTTTTGACCCTGCCTGTTAAACATTTCAAATGCATGATTGATCCCTGCCCTGTTAAGCGTGTCCTTTTTTCCCTCCATATCCATCATTTCTCTCGCCTTCACTGCTGTTAGAGTTTTCCTAATCACAGTGGTTCGCTGAAAAGTACCATTTATTCAATCCTCAGTCGAAAAGAGATTTATATATCAAGCATCATTTGTAAGATCAAGTCAGGATGTGGTCACTGATGTACAAAAGTGTTTCCCTAATGCAAGACTCAGAGTGCAGAACCCTGCAGATTCACACTGTTGCTGCTATTATATAGTAAGAGCTTTTCATAAATGTTTCATGGCTGTGAAATGGAGCTTAACTTCTTAATTTTCAGTGATTCAGTGTTGGCAAAACAACCTGTGACTCAGCCTGCTTCTTTATTTCCTCCAAGAGTTCCAGCTTCCAGGTCGGACCAGTCATCCGGTCCATGACTGCGCCCAGTAGATTTTAGGGAGTGGATGTGAGAGTCATCACTAGATTCTGATTCATGGCGTTTTCCTTTTTTTACAGGGAACATTGTGCAGGAAAGAGCTGATGAGGTGAAGAAAGCCCGAAGGAGATCACCGAGGTTCAACTTCTATCTATCAGCCTCGACCCTGAGTCACCCTGCCGCCTTCTGTCTGCCACGTCGCTTCAAGAGGAGGCAGGGCTCCCTCTGGGTGCAGGAAACACCATGTGCCAAAACAGGAGAGGACTCGCCGCTGCCCCATAGACCGCAGAATCCCTCGCCGTCTTGCTAGTCCGAGGACCCTGCTAATCCTCTGCGTTGCCCGCCGGCCAACATGAAGAAGGTGGCACTATGGTCAGCGGAGGACGTCTCTGACTGGCTGAGCAAAGAGGGGATGCCGGAGTACATCGATGCTCTGCATGAGACAGGAGGTCCCGCTCTGCTGAGGCTCTCAGAGGTTGATTTCCAGACGCCTCCCCTCTCTCTGGTTTCCTCTGATGGTGGACAGCAACTGTTGGAGCGACTGGAAACGCTGCGGATAGAGAATCACATCGAGGCTCACAAAAACGGGCATGCAAACGGACACATCGGTGGGCTCCCGAATGGAACCACCAAGCCTCAGAGGAATGGCACATTAGGGATGAAGGACTTCAGGATGGAGATGGTCCACATCCCCATCCCAACGATGGAGACCGCACGGTCCTCATTCCCCCCAGAGTGGGGGAAGACGGGGATCGCTTTCGTCTACGCAGTGGTGTGCTTTGTTACGACCACTGTGGTCATCTCAGTGGTGCACGAGAGAGTTCCACCTAAAGAGCACACCCCACCACTACCTGACAAGTTCTTCGACCTCTTCAACAGAGTGGAGTGGGCCTTCTCCATCTGTGAGATTAACGGCATGCTGCTGGTGGCACTCTGGCTGATACAGTGGATGCTACTGAAGCACAGGTACAGTCCAGTTTGTTCACTCTTTAGTTTGAGGTAAAAATCTAGAGTCCAACTGAATCAAAACTTCTTTACTTTCCTTTTTTTCCAGGTCCATTGTAGGCAGGCGGTTCTTTTTCATTGTGGGCACACTCTACCTGTACCGGTGTATAACAATGTACATCACCACTCTGCCTGTTCCTGGGATGCACTTCAAATGCTCTCCAAAGGTAAAATCAGCACACTTTATCTTCACTCACTACTTTTTTTTTTTACTTGCCTGCTTTTGGCACAAACTTGCAGAAGATAAATGACTTTTTGTGAGCTAAAAGCCTCTGAGTGCTCTCAGCTTACCACGATGCGAAGAAACAAATGTGCACGTTCAGTTTTGTTTTACCAGATGGTAATTGCCCTTAAATAATGTAGCAACAATTTTCCAGTTGAAAAGCAGTTTTATGTCTTTGCTTTCATTTGAGATGCTGTCAGATTTAGCTTTTCTCTTGGGGTTTTCCCTAAAGTACTACCAAATGGACAAACAGTTTCAGTTCAAGGAATTAAAAATATATATTCAAAAATATTACAATTAGTCTGGTTGTGAAATGTCAGTGTTAAAGTCATTCAAACTGTTAAAATAAACAAACTACTAGTTAAGGAGACATGTTACAACTCATTGACCTCCAAACATTTACTTTTTACAACCTTATGACATTATTATGACATTTAGTCTCAATGTACAAACAAGAAAATACAAATGTAAATCGTCTTGAGATCTGTGTTAGGCACAAATACAATATATGCAGGGGAATTTACACTTAACTAAACTAAATTTGTCCAAATAGTTGCTTAAAAGACAAAAACTGTTGACACATTATATTTTAAAACTGAATATTTTCAGACTGTTAGAAAGGCCATTCTTTATTTTCTACTTTTTTTTCTGTTAACCTCATTTGGCTGCTAATAATGTTGAATAAAGGAGCGTAGCTTTAACTGAGATGCTTATTTGCACAGTTTTTTTGAAATAATATTTTCTAATTTAAGGATATTGATTACCTTTTGTTCTTGGGCCCAAAATGAGATCAGAATCTGATTTTAAAAATTCAGTTTAAATTAATCACTGAAGCGATTAGAAAGTTATTTAGAAAAGAAATGTGTTTGAAAGGAAGAATCAGGCTCATCTAACATTACGGTGATTTGTGTCTTTCAGCTGCTCGGGAACTGGGAGGCACAGACGAGGAGGATAATGAAGATGATCGCTGGTGGAGGTCTTTCTATCACAGGTTCACACACCATGTGTGGGGACTATCTGTACAGTGGACACACCGTCATGTTAACGCTAACTTACCTCTTCATCAAGGAATGTAAGTCGCTCTATGTTCTTGTAGAAATGCTGAAAATTCACCCTTTATCTCGCTGCATTTTCTCTAACTGTGATTGAATAATGATGAATGTGCAGCAGATAATCTGACAGCTCCATCTGCTATAACCTTCTGCACACTTACATGTTTATTATGAGTCCTGCTTGATTTCACAACTTCCAGGATCTCCCTCACCACAGTTTTCACTTCCATCTGTATCTTCCTGACTAAGTGTCATTCTGCCGCGCTCTCGCAACACGTCTACAAATAGTCTCAGGAAATGTTGACAAAGAAAATGCAGAGGAAGCGTTTTTGCTAACCAATCACATGTCAGTCAACACGTCAGTTTGAGCATGTCAAAACATTACTGTTATACAATCACATGATCCGTGCCTCAGCCTCATCTCTATTATCTCACTTATTTGCTCCATAAAGCCGCACTGTTGTTTTCCCCGAGCACAAAGGTCACACAGAGTTTTTACTGCTTGGCCGAGTGGCGGATGTTACATTTCTGTAGCTGCGTTTAAGTCAACAGTCTGTCCTCTGCTGAATCATACGGTCCCTCAACATTTTTCAAGCAGTGACATCTAGTGGTGAAAAGGAGAACAGCATGGTTAATATTTCTCCTCTGAACTTCTGAGGCCTGTCCGTATTTTTCCACCCTGTAGCTGAAGCTCAAGGCCCTCATGGTATATTGAGCTTCATTATTTCAGCCTGCGTCTATGATGTTGCTCATCTTCTCATGTTCATTTGGCAGATTCCCCCAGGCGGTTCTGGTGGTACCACTGGTTCTGTTGGAGCTTGAGCGCAGTAGGGATTTTCTGCATCCTTCTGGCCCATGACCACTACACTGTGGATGTGGTGGTTGCATATTTTATCACAACACGCCTCTTCTGGTGGTACCACACCATGGCCAACCAGCAGGTGAGTGTAACAACAAAGACTGTGAGACAGTGAGCACAAAGGTCAATTCAGTGCTGTTTAGCCCATAATAAATGCTGTACTGAATGTGTTACACTGAATGTGAGTGGAGGGTTGCCAGAAGTCCACAGCTCACTGATTTTATCAAGTTCGGTGACTCAATTAAGATCCGTTAATCCTATAATCTAGGACGACAAATATGAGAGCAGCTACAGTTGGCACAAGCTAGCTTTGCACACTTTAAAGATAACACCCCTGTTGTTTTATTCTTTGACTTTTGTCCCCAACATGTCACCGTGTTATACATTAAGCCTCTGAGGTACTGAGAGGTTAATTTTTGGCTAGAGCATAGCCAGCTGTACCCAGTCTTTGTGCAAATGTAAGCTAAGCAGCTCCGCTCTACAGCTTCTGGTTAACTGCACAGACGTAACTGTAGATACTTTTCAACTAGGGAAATTAGTCTGATCCAAACCGATTGATATGTTTAGCTTTGAAGAGCGTTTAAGACTTTTTTTGCAGGTATTTCATTCACTTGTTCAGCAAATAATCAAAAACACTTTACATCCTGTTATGAACTTTTAATTCAGGACAACACCTGTCAACTTTTCAATCAGTAAATCAATCAGACTTTATTTTTAAAGCACTTTTCATACATTGAATGTAGAACAAAGTGTTGTCTATTCACACAGGGTATTAAAAAACAATGAAGTAAAATAAATAAACATACAAATACCAACCCCCACTCAACACATACAGCTCTCACATGTTCAAACATACAGATGCACACCAGATGAGGACTCTTCAACCTGCCACAGGTGACTGAGGAAACGCTATCATAAGTTAAAAAAGATGAGGAAACATTGGATCTAGGACTAAAACGATAAAACCATGATAAAATATAATAAAGGTGATAAAGCGGTAAAAGTCAATTAAATAAAACAGTCTTAAAATCAAACAATAAAAGAAAGTAAATTAAAAAAGAGGTAAAAAAAACACAAAATAGTCACTCTAGGACTAAAATAGCATAAAATCACATAATGCAGATTAAAAGATTAAAACAAAATTTAATTAAAAGTCAGACTAAAAAGGTAGGTTTTTGATTTACTTTTAAAAATATAAACAGTAGGTGTTGCTCTCAGGTCTGCAGGTAGGCTGTTCCACAGCGGGGGAATGTAATGTTGGAATGATGATTCACCGCATGTTTCAGTTTTTAATTTGGGAACAATTCAAAGACCACTACCTGAAGACCTGAGGGCTCTACTAGGCTCATACGGTAAAAGCAAATCAGACAAATAAGAAGGACCAAGACCATTAAGAGCTTTAAAAACTAACAAAAGAACCTTAAAATCTACTCTAAAAGACACAGGTAACCAATGCAGAGATTTTAAAATTGGCGTGATGTGAGCTCTCTTTCTGGTCTTCATCAGCTTTTGTCTGTAGTCTTATTTGAAATATCAGTAAAGTTTATTTAACGAACCTAATTGACCTTTTTTTTTTTTTTTTGGATGTTTTGTTTCAGTCACTGAAGGAGACTTCCCAGAGTAACCCGTTCTCTCGGGTGTGGTGGTACAGACTGTTCCAATACTTCGAGGAGAACGTTAACGGCACGGTCCCTCGTAACTATCAGCTGCCATTGTCATGGCGAGTGCTCCCGTGGAACCGTGGCGTGAAGTACAGCCGACTGGACACCCAGTGACCACTCACCGTGTCAGCTGGCAAGAAAGGACTTTGACTTCCATAAGTGCTGTTTTTACCACAGCGGAGATGGCACTGTTAAATGTAGCGCTGTCTTTCCCCCTCTGGTAACAGACACACCCCTGTCCACATGGGTAGCACTGTGACCCACCTAGTATTTTTTTTTCCTTCATATACATGAGTATACATTAAGGTATATTATTTACATAAAGTATATTATTTTTGTTTTTCTCGTCTTTTTCTCCTCTGGTAGTTTTTGTCAACGCAGAGCACTAATTTATATCAGTTCCATGTCTTTTCCTCTTTAATGCCACATGATGGTTTGTGTTTTTCAGCAGAGCCTACAAAGCATTTCGATAAACCTCTAAATTGCAATTTTTTGGGGGCCCAAAAAGGCTTAACTTTCCTTTTTCCCTCTCTCTGCACAAAACCATAGTTAATGTCTTCATGTTTTTCAAGATTTTCAGTGCATACGGTGTCAATCAAATATTTGATAACCAAAATGCCATAAGCATTTTTTCATTTTTTTAAAATAGCGATTACTTTTTGTAAAATCGCCCTTGCTAAAATGAGTCAAAGGTGCAAAAAATAATTTTTCTTAAGTATGTCAAACTTTATTTTTCAAAAACAAATGATGTCCAAGAAAAGATTTTTAGATTTTTACCTTTTTCAAGATGGATAACTGAGAGCATCAGAATCTAATGTGGTGAAACATAAATCCAGTGCCTTCCTTAGCTTGATTGTAAAACAGTTCAAGTACTATGTGTCTTGTGTCTCTGTGCCACGGCTGTGAACACGCTGTGGTACAAGGTGGTACTTAGTTATCAGTCTTGTTCCCATGAATGTAAAAACAACTAAGCCAGCCTTACAGTCAAATTGGTTTCCCCCTAAATTTAGGTGCAGTGAGTGAAATGTCCAGTCTGTTAATTTTTGATGCTTTATGATGTCAGTCTGGGTGTAGCAGCTCAATACTGTTCTAACAGAAAATCAAGGACTGTTAATAGTATTTTTATGTCTGTATCATTTCATTTCTATCAATCAGTCATTAACAAACACCAGCCATGCTTAAAGCCCAATCACATCTGCTCAGTCGCCCGCTGTGTCTGCTAGTTTGACTTTCCACCATGACATTACTCTTTGGCTGAGTTATACTGGACCTTACACTCTTGTGCATCATTGCTGCATTTCTCACTCAGGAGATAATGAGCCCCCATGCTCTTGTTCCCCACAATTTCAACTCCTTATTCTCATTACCGTCTTTGTCTTGTGTCTGTGTTTTAGTGAAGAGCTCTCGAAGGAAATGTGACACTTCCTTTGAGTAAAGGGAATGTCAAAGTTCTGAAAACAGAAGCTGTTTAGAGTTTCTGAGCATGCCTGACATGAATCTGTACATGGCTTTGTTTGGCTTTTTTCTTGTACTATATCAAGCTGCTACTTTACAGTTCGAGGACGACGTCTCCTCTACATTTCCTCCTTAAGTGCAAACGCCACAACGATCTCTCTAGGAGTAGCAAACACCTAGCATGGGACTTGTTAATGGGGAACAAGCTGAGGCATGATGCACAGAGCTGGTGATATATTTGGATACCATTGATTTCCATGAATGTGAAAATGCATTTGTATTGTTGTTGTTTTGGCTCTTTTTCTTTGTGTAACTATGACTGAAAGTTTAAAGAATAATTATTGCACAAGTTCATCTATAGGGAAAAATTTAACTCAATGTGAAAGTTTAATTTTAAAATACAGCATAAACAGTTTAATGAGAACTGCACTAAGCTTCAGATGATACATATTCCAAATGAGTAATAATGATGTAATAAATTATATTGTTTAAGGAAGAGGTGAGAACATAACTTTAATGTTAGCTTAAAAGTCTAATACATTTAAATGCCAACATGAGTCTTAATGTTTAAGATGAATAGCAGCACAGGTTAACCTTCCTTCCTTCCTGTAGCATCGTCAATCATTTCACCTCGACAGTCTTTAAGAGCACAGCAGGTTCCATAAATACAGCCAAATGTTTGATTTGTGACCGTGTTGGAAGCAATGGTTTCTCTAACTAATGTTGTACCAGGGTTTTGATGAGAATGAAGGTTGGAGTTCATGTTAGTCCTCTAGTTTGCCAATCATTTATTTTTGTCTGTAAGAAATGAAATTTTGTTATCCTGTATGTTTCTCTTCAAACTCCTCGCCCCTCTTTGTCCCTTTTTGTGTGTATACCAGATGTTTGTAAGATATGATAAAGGATTCTACTTGGGACGCTTTTGAATAAAACATTTTACTATAATGTACATGATTACCTCTCGGCCTCTGTCTTTATAAACTGGTATCAGTCTGTTTTTCTTACATCACATGATCTGATTGTGCCAAAAGATGATGTCATTGCAGACCTGATTTCCACCAGCAGGGGGGGCTGTTGTCCAATAGAAAAAAAAAGTCAGTCAGTTTGTTTTTTTTTAAATTTAATACTTATTTGTTATTATTATTATTATTATTATTATTATTATTATTATTATTATTTTATTTATTTGTATTTATTTATTTATTCATTTTTTAAATTGGCTTTATTCTGAGTGAACAAAATTACAATTCCAAACATAGCAGAATCAGTTCAATACAGTAATTTCAATATTAAAATAACATATCAGTGAGAAATATAAGGTAGATAGTGAAGAACAACAATCAAACAGAAAAATTAAAGTAAGTTAAAATAAATAAAATAATTTATGCTATGCAAAAAAAGGGTTTTCTTTTTTTAAAACAGTTTTAGTTGTTCATATCAATGGGGAAAATTCTTTAAGTGATCATATAACTTTTGTTACTTCAAACCAGTGAACGTTTTAAGAGATTTTAAATAAATTTTAAATTCGTTTATGAAAACAATAAATCTGGGGGATGATCTGATAACTTTATTCTTATGGCTGAAATATCTAGCAAGCAATAGGATTACATTGAAACAGAGTTCATCATTTTTATTTAGTAGTAACATTTCAAAAGTAACATTTTCTAGAGAAATACATTGTGGGTATACTGTAATTTCTTGTTAAATCCATTTGTGAATGTTAACCCAGAATGTTTGTGTTTTGTTACATGAGAAAATTATATTGTCTAAGGTTTAAGTATCAATTTCACAAAAAATGTTGTCTTGTATATCAAATCGCCGTCTGAGTAGTTCCTTTAAAGGGTAGATGTTGTTCATAATTTTTAAATGAGTTTCTTTTGTTTTTGGGGGGGTACGGTAGAGTCAGAGTGGGTCCCGGAAATGATTTTTTTTTTTTTTTTTTTTTTGGTAGGATGGTAGGGGAAGTCCCGCCCTCGTTCACCTCTGATTGGCTATGAGTGCTGGGCTCCGATTGGTTATTCCCAATGGCTGTAAAACCTCATCGTCTGTCAGGTTAGGGTTAGGGTTAGACTAAGGAGTTAGGGTTAGGATTAGGATTAGGATTAGGATTAGGGTTAGGAGATTCAGAAGTGCGTGAATGTTCTCTAATGTTCTGTTCGATGTACAGAGCCGACAAGCCCGCGCTCGGTTTGAGCGTGTGATGACGTTTCGCAGCCAATCAGAGGCGAAGGAGGCGGGACTTTCCCCTACCATCCTACGAAAAAAAAAAAAAAAAATCGCTTTGTACTGCGCATGTGCGGAATGCAGTCACTTCCTCTCCTGGCCATCTACTGCACTTGTTCACAGACAGATATGTACAGATAAACGCATTCTCTCATCTTGTACCAATCTCTTTTAATAGTTTGGAGCTGTAATCCAGCTACCGTGAATTTTCTGTGGCTTTTTAGTCACTGAAAGTAGAGAAACAGAGCTGTCATCTTCCCTGAACTGAAGCTCTAAACTGAGAGGATTTTTTTTTTTGTATCACAGCTGTAGTTTGATGTTCAGCACTGAGATTTAACAGCTGAGAATTTATCTGTTTTGTAGGCTCCTTTTGTTGTTGTTTTGTTTCTGTGGAGAAAATTATCTGACACTGTCACTCACAGAAACCTCTCTGCAGCCTCAAAAGTATCACAATGAAGGTTTCAACATAATCTAAAGGAGCCTAGACTCCATATTTATGTTTATTAATGTTAAATAAATTCTCTTTAGCTGAAAAAAGGCTGTTTTATGATATACTAAAGATGCAATTATCACGGAGTAACTTGAAAGTGATATTACTCTGTATTTCAACACAGTAAAGTTAAAAAAGTGGAGAGAAGCTGAAAACTAGAAAAAGCAGATCTCAAATAATAGATTTATAATTTTAATGTTATTGTTGTGCATTTAATGAAGTAATACAAACAAAATACCAGAAACAAAATTGCTAAACTTGAATAAACTTGCTACAGTAAAATATTAGGATATTAACTTTGGGTTTTTTTTCCTAATCCATCAAAATAAAATAAAATAAAGACAGTGGATGATTGGATCAGAAAAAAAAAGGAAAAAATCAAAGTTCTGTCTAAATGTTCGTCTAACTCGTCTAATATTTATGTTTATATGATCCAGTGACTTGCTTTACATGTTTATTAAATAATAAATGGAATAGAAAAATACAGAGTTGTGTGAATCATTTGATAAAATATGTAAATATAAATAAACAATTCAATAAATAAGAAATAAAAAAAACACAACAATTATCTGAAAATACCATCTGTTAGCCTGATTATTCAGCTGACCAATGAACAATGAACTTTTTTCAAGAATATGTTTTATTCTGTTTTAAAAGCAGCATTTACAGGAATATCAACATTCAACAGAACTGAAACAAGACTGCACATGATAGGAGATTAAAAAATGTCTGTAGTGATGAGTATAAATAGATGTCAGGTATGCTTCACCTTAAAAACTACAAATTTCTCTTGTTCTTTTAGGACTCTACACTGGACCGTCCCTGGAGTTGGGTAGACCACCTTCTTCATGTGGTGGCCTTCCTCCCTCGGCGTCCCGCTCCGGTAGCGGCGCTCGGCTGCTCCTGTGATGCTGTGCAGAGTCTGATTTTCAGTCCACCTTTTCACTGACTGATCCGAGACTGATAGTGAAGCTGTGGAGATAAATGGAGACTCCTCTTTGGGTGGAATTACCTCTTTAATAACTCTCCAGGTGTCTCTTGTAATTAATCTCTTACATTTAACCATTTCTTTATTAATGAATAAAGATGAGTCTCTATTTATCTCCACAGCTTTACTCTCAGTCTCTGATCAGTCAGGGAAAAGGTATGGGGAGAGATTTGTCTCAAAATTATGCACAAATACATACCCACAATTTCCCCGTGATTATCAGATCCACAAATATATTTCCATGATTTTCAAATTAGTTTTTTAATTGTGTGTGTGCATTTATCATGACTTATCATTTGTAAATCTTTAATTCTGCTTGTGAATTGTTATAAAATGTGCTTGTGGATGAACCAGCAAGTGCATTTAATTTAATTAGATGCGCACACACACAAAAAAGTTGAGGATGTTCACATGTGTGGAGAACACCGCCTCTCCCATCCACTGGGCAGCAGTATTGCCTCCTCTGTTGGGAGCAGAGGCTGTGAAGAAGATGATTGACAGCTATCAGTGGGGACAGTGGAAAGCTGTCAATCATCCTCTTCACAGCATATGCCCTTAACAGAGAGATTTATTTTCGATTATCTGATTTATTTGTTGAATTTTATGGCACAGGTGTCCGCAGTTGGACTCCACATATTGGAAGAAGAGGAGGATTATCAAACAGAGCAGCGGATACTCTCAGGTGATGTTATCATCTGTGTTTTTAAAGTTCATCAGTGTTTTAAGTACTGGAAAATTGATTATCTCATTGTAGATGAGACACAACTTAAAGAACACGTAGAGGTCGATTTAATGAATTTATTCACCAAAAATCAGTCAAGTTTTTTTTTTGTTTTTGTCATAACTTTAAAGTAACGGTAATAATGACTGGTCTATATAGACTTATAAGTCATCACTTTTCTGTTTTTCTAGTTATCACTTTTGGGATGACTTGGTTTCTTCTTTTTTTGGTTGGTTTCTTCAAAATGTCACCCGCCTCAGACTTCCTGCTTCATAACTCCCCCTGGAACTGAGATGCTATTTATTTATTTATATATTTATTTATTATTTTTTAAATTTTTTATTGTCGTTATGACACTTTACAATTTACCATATTACATTTTACCACCAGGGGATTAAGGGAAAAAAACAAATTGAGATGCTCTTCTTTTGGGGTTCTCTGCCTTCAGTGATGTAAGTTTCGCACATACACAGTACAAAGCAGGTTTCCTGGGAGCAACAAGGCCTCCTCTTTAAAAATGTGTTTTGCATCAAGTACAGTTTTGTGCCACCTTGTCACATTCTGAGTGTTTAATGAACCTTTTCTAACAGTTTCTCCACCATTTCACTTTCAGTCTACCCTCTTCCTCATCTTGAGCATGAGGTTTTTTATTTTTTTAAAATTACCTTCAACACCCACACACATTTGAATAACACTGAATATTCAGATCTGAATGAGAAACAGTGCGAAAGCTTGGGGGTAAAAAAAAAGCAGCTGTGGTTATTATTTGCATTAAAACTCAGGTTATTCAAAGTTACTAAAGCTTGTTTTAGTTCAAATGTAACTTCATCCTGACTGACAATGTCAACAAAAATCTGATCGAGAAAGTTTTTTCCTTTTTATACATTTTTATACTTTTTTAATTTGTTAGAATATGATCAACAACAAGATTTTTATTAGTATTATCAATGAAAAATATACCAGACAAAACAAAAAGAGCACCAAAGAGCTAAAAACACACTACCATGAATAATATACTTTAAAAAAAGTGTATAAAAATGTTAAAGCACAATAATACAGCTTACTATCTGAGCTTATTGAATCCCTGAGATTGATCCTTTTTGAGCATATTAAAGCCTAATGGTTATGTGAAGTTGCTAAGTGACTACAAGTACATTAAAGCTCTTATGAGAAGTTTTTGGATGCACATACTGAGGCCTTTCAATGACATGCAAAAGCAAACAAGACCAACAGTTAGTATATTTTTTTTATTTTTGAAGCCTGAAGTCAGTCTGAGAAGGTAGATGTCAAGGGCAGCCCTGTTCTCTTTTGAGTTTCCACCTTAATATTCACAATACAAGACACATTTGACTGTGAAAAGTTAGTCAACATTATGGTTTTTGGTTTAATAGACACAATTTAAGCGTGTCAAAGAAAAGTTAAGAAAATACTGCAGATTCTTCAAAGCAGCTTTAAGAGGCAAAAGATTTAGAAACTAGATATGTTTGGTGTGATACTGGCAAATAACCAAAATGGGCTGAAAACAGCGGAAT